ATTGTAAGGGCGGATTTTTGAAATTGTAAAAACCCCTATGTAAACACCAAATAGTCCGTTTTAATTTAAATATAAACTATTAGTACCTTCATTGCTATTTTGTGAATAGTTTTATAAATTCTCCATTTCAAGCCACAAATATATTAAAAATATACAATTATTTAAAATGTTTTGTAAATGAAAGAAACCTACAAACTGCAGCTCTATTTAATAAAACTGACTTTTTCTTGAAACAACCTTGACGCCATAAGATCAAGGAAGTCATCAGAAAGTTCCATCAAATACCTTGATTAGAAAAAAAACGACATCAATATAAATACAAAACGTGGAAGCCATAATATCAACATCATCAGCTCTTCGAGTCGGTTCCTCTCTGCCCCACTGATAAGCCGTCTGGAGGCTATGTTGACTTTAGTCGACCGTCTGGAACTTGCCAGAGATGTTAGCCCAGAGAAATGCCATTAAGCAATTGATTTCCGCTCCCCATAATAATATTTACTGAGAAAACATTTCCCAAGGGAGTGCCGATAGTTGTGGGTGGGGAAAGTGATTAATAAATCTTCTCTTTTCTGAGAGAGTTCTCTTATATTAAAGGAACTTTTAAAAACGTGAGGTGGTTATCTGTTGTGTTTAATAATAATACAAATAAATCGAGATATTTTTGCTTGCATTCAATTAAACCATTATATAAAATACTTTATTTCTATCTTAACTAAATATTCCAAAGAAATATCTCAAGCTCTTTAAGTTCGAAGCTTTAAAAGTTTTTAAAGCAGCTGTGGGTACTAAACAAAATCAGTTATTAGGCTCAATACCCCGTAAAATATCTAATTAACTTTAATGTACAATGTTTTAAACGAAGGTGATTATTTAAAAATGGAAAAAGTTAGCACCTTGAATACTATACCCAATGACTTGGGGTCTCTGTAGCTCTTTACTTCTCTCTTAATTGCTACCCCAAAGAGAATGGGGGAGCACTCCCCCAGAGAGAGAACAACAGCTGCTCGCTAAATTCGTCGCGTGTTTTGGAAGCAACAATTCCGATTTAAATGCTCCACCGCCGTCACCAGAGCTCCATCGCTTTTTTTTTATTGAGCGCGAGTGCGTCATTATTATACACAAATCAAGAAAAAATCAATTCTGAGGCCAAAGTAAAGTGCGTGCAATAAAAGTGTCAAATTAAGATTAAGAAAGTACAAAAAAAAAATCTTTAAAAATGGAGCGTATTTTGAGGGGCATAATGAGGTACAGGAATACAACGCGCGAGCAAATGGTCAAAGAATTCCAGAAAGTGCGCGATAACCCGGAGGTGAGCAGCAATACGGTTTATAGGTCAAGATTTCGGAATAGAATTTGTTCGCATTCACCAAATAAACCTAAGGCTTTTGCCTTGTGTTGAACTAATTGCCTGTGTTTTATATCATTATCACATTTTTTTTGACTTGTCTGTCGCAAACTTTTTCCTCTCTCGCTGGCTTTCTCTCTTTATCTTGGTTCTCTTTTGTGTTTTATTTGGTAAACAAACTGCAAAGGTAAACCGGTTCACCCCCGCCACCCCCTTTTGCTTGTTTAATTTTATATTTTGTGTTTTTTTAATATACTTAAGTGATTGCTTTTCGGTGCTCTTGAGTTTCGTGCACCACTGCTAATTATCAAATTAATTCAGTTCTAATTGGACAGAGGCGAATCGGTGTTAGAAATATCACAGACTATTGCAAAATATAAAAATATATTTATAAAATTTTTGATATTAATAAATAATATTAAGGAATGATTTTTGGATAAGGTATTATTAGTATGGCATTAAACATCAAAAACGAAATATAAAGAAAATAATTAAAATATTTTGTTTATCAAATTTGGATATCTTAATGTAATTCTAAACTAACGTCAGCAACTTTTTACAAAGCTATTATGCTGACTCGAGCTGTTAAAAAACGAACAAAAGACATTTCCCACATTAATGTTTTCTTTATTTTCGAATTTCCCTGTTGGACAGCCTTGAACTGTTTGAACCCATTGACGTTTTGGCCATTTGCCAAGTATGTCATAACTTGCGGTGGCAATATATTCAATGTATATTTACGCACTGGCCGATATCTGTGTATTCTAACTCTTGATAAACTTTATCATTCAGCCCAAGGCCGTATTCTTCACCTGCATGGACAGTAGAATGATTCCCACCCGGTACACTGACACTCATGTGGGCGATATGTTTGTGGGTGAGTATCGCTAGACGAGGGTATTAATTATAGCTTAACATTCTGGTCTATTCCCATGGATTAGTGCGTAATGCTGGTAACCTGATACCACATGCCCAGCACTTCCAGGATGAGTACTTTAGCTGTGAACCGGCAGCTCTGGAACTGGGATGTGTGGTGAATGACATAAGGCATATAATCGTATGCGGTCACAGCGACTGCAAGGCCATGAATCTGTTATACCAACTTAGGGATCCCGAATTTGCCTCAAAGGTATGAATATAAACAATCCGTTGGACAAACAATTCACTTACCTTTATCAAACAGCTTAACCGTCGTCTCTCACCCTTGAGATCCTGGCTGTGTCATCATGCTAATAGCAGCTTGGAGAGGTTCCAGGAGTGGCGGGATGCCGGCATGAAAGACCCGCTGATTTTCTCATCAGAGACGCCGTTGCGTCGGTTTGTAGCCTACATCGATGAGGAGCAAAAGTTCGCCGTGGAAGACAAGCTATCCCAGATCAACACACTGCAGCAAATGTCCAACGTTGCCTCCTACGGATTCCTCAAAGCTCGCCTAGAATCCCACGATCTCCACATTCACGCACTTTGGTTCGATATTTACACTGGTGACATCTATTACTTCAGTCGTGGAGCCAAACGATTTTTGCCCGTTGATGAGGACACCGTGGATCGATTGTCCGAGGAGGTCAGGAAATTTTATTCGTAGGCACAGCAGGAGGACCAACTGGATTATCTGTGATATGTGGGCCTTATACCGCGTTCGGCATTTAAAAGTTACCAATTTTTAGAATTGTTTTGTGTATATTTATAAGTGTGTAATTGTTTTTTGTATATAAACTTAAGGCCTATGAAGGTTTCAACTTACAAATCTACGAAAAATCAACGAAGGAGATGGCTATTCATCGCTCACTTACTTAGACTTTGATAACTCAAAAAGCTATTAATATTACATGGCTTTTAAGTGAGATGCAATATTGCAATATGCACCATCGACCATTGAAGTAAGTGAAAGATAAAAAAACATTTATACGTATTTATAGTTACGGGAAGCGGTAGACTTTGGGGGCGGCACCTTGGGCGCTTCGATGTGTGCACAACAACAGACTGCTTTCATGTCTTCTTGAACGGAGAACGGCAATTGGGGTTACGGAAAACAACGATCTTGGTATCGCCATCAATGATACTTGTGGCCATGATGGTTGATGGTACTGTTGCTCGGATTCTCCAGCTCTTCGAAGTACTTTCGGGCATTCCTAATGTTGACTAGTGTGGCCTCCGAGGGCAGCGTGGGATCCGACATGACCACCATTACATAGGTGTTGCTAGTGAAGGTGTCAATGAAAGCGGCGAAAGCACTGTTGCGCACCTCCATCGATTGGAACTTGGCGCCCAGCTTGGAGCAGCTTAACTTGAACTGTTTGATTATATTGGATACCTTTTCAAAGCGGTGCGAGTCGCGGTTTTTCTTGCTCTGGCAATGGGAGATCACCAGGAAGGTTGCCTTCTCGAAAAGCAACACCTCATCCGCTTCGATAACGTTGGCGAAGTGCGTCACCGAGTTCTCCAGTGCGGCAACATTTGGTATCAGCATGGTGACAATGGAAGACCAGGCTCTGCAATCATTTTGAGGTTGAATAAAGGTCGAGTACTATCCCCTAGCCTTGACTAACTTGTATAGGGTTTCATCCCATATGCTGGTGCGGAAACAAGTAACATTTCCTGGCTTTGACAACTTGATTAGATCCTCCATACGCTCTGTAAAAACGTTTTCACGATGCTCCTCCGGCACCAGATCCATTTTGTGCACCAGACAGAAGATCTTGGCCTCCGGTGAGTTCTGCAGTAGCGCCTCCAGACAGCTCTGGTAGTAGTGTATGTCGCGCTCTATCTCCTGGCTCTCCACATCGAACACATAGATGAGAACCTCAACATTACGGAAAATGTTATCCCGCTGCTGGGCAAAGTACTGCTTCATGAAGCCCTCCTGACCGCCACAGTCCCAGAGATTGAGCACCAGGTTGCCCAGAAACCGTACGTGCGAATGCTCCACATCGACTACAGGTGTATATATATTAAGATCAGTCCTGTCTGACCGATTATATAGTATTACTCACTTGTTGCTCCTAGGCGTGTCGTATCACGGGCGATATAGTTGGCGAAGATAATGGATCGCATGCTGGTCTTTCCCGATCCACTCTTCCCCATGAGCAACACCTGGTAATACAAATAGACTTGAAATCCAATATATTACAAGTTTAAACGAAAACCACACCTTTTTCTTCATTGTGTCTCAAGTTTTTTTGATCTCCAGTAAAATAATCAACAATAAAAACAAATAGTCGATATCTCAGTCGATAGTATCGGTGATTAAGTTTCAGCCAGTCGATTGACGAACTAGTTCCTTATAAAACACCCAGTTCTGAAATCGTGAGAATTTTGAGTTGTTTTTGGGAAATAAGAAATTCAGGTCAAAAAGAAAAAGAAAGACTCCATTTTTTAATATATGTATGTAGAGAAGGAAAAAAATACAAAATCCTTTTGGCATGAAATCAAGCAATCAAACAAAATAATCTGCTAATAATAATCTGCAAAATAATGTTATCTTATGTAAAATACATGAACATTTTTGTTACTTACAATTAAAATATTAATTTTAAATTTTAAAGTATAGTGTTATTTGTTTTAATAAATACCGATCAGTGCAGTCACAATGAACGTGAACAATTTGAGACTATTTTATCGTCTCATCTCTAGCGGATAAGCAAAACTTGTCATTTATTTGAAATTTGACTGTACGAAGAATAGGTGGAAATCAAATGCAAAGCCTAACAGGCAAAACCTTTTACATTGCAAACAATACTAACCCCTAAAATAAATAAATAGATATTTTTTAAACCGCCAAAGATGGACAACCACCACCGCCACATCGTGCCACCTCTAGCGTGCCCGCGTCTCGCGATGAATGGTGAAAAATCGCAGAGAAAACATGCTTAACAATAAAAAAAGAAGAAAACCAGCAGCTAACGCTGGCTGATTGATATAACGAGGCAGGACAGCGGCGTAAGAGACAAAAATTATAAGTTAGTGTAGAGAAAAAATCGCTCTTTGCGAAGAAAAATCTGGTGACGAATTGTTGGCGATCCGATGAGCAACATAAACATAAACACTGTGCCCAGGCCGAGTCCGAATGCTAATGGGAATCCAAATCAAAATCCAAATCGCAGTGTGGATTCTGAGGAGGAGGAGGAGGGCGATGGCCGGATGAGCGACAGCGGAAGCAACACGGCTAGCAGTCAGAGGAGTCGAACGTCGAGCAGCAGCTCATCGGACTCTTCGAGCGGTTCACTTGAGGAAGATCCTGATGGTGAGGACGAGGACATGTCTGAACAGGATGCGGCCAGCGGTTCGGAGACGGAGGACGACACTACCACCTGTCAGTCGGACGAGCTGGAGCTGGCACAGCTCAGCGGACGGGATATCTTTCGGTTGCCGCGGGGTTTATGCGAAAATGCAGCTATTTTCCATGAATTCTTCTCCATGGAGACATGGCAACAGTTGCCCCACCATTTCCAGGCTCGCCTGCAACCCATGTTGCCGGACTTTACTGGCTTGGTCACCGGACAGGCGCAGACCTGTGCCGAACAGCAGCGTACTCTGGTACAGCTATTTAATGGCGGCCTTGAGCGATTCGGGCACTCACCGCTGCTCCAGCTTCAACGTCAATTGGAAGAGGGCAACCTGCGACCCGATGTCCTTCAACTAAGGCGGAGCATCCAGCACTCGAACAGAAGGGAATTTCGTTTTCAACAGGCCGAACGCTTCAGCCAGTTGGCTAAGGATCTATTTCTGTCAAGGGATCATCTTCTTCAGCATGCCTACTACTCTGCCCCACCCTCCGAAGGCGCCTTTGGAAAATACCTGCCAAAACCACGCCCTCGGAAAAGGAAGCCTCCCACGCTATCCATGGAGAACCGATTTTGCACTCAGCGAGCTAAGAAACGCTACGCCCAGGACCTCCTGGATATCTTGCGCGAGCTGGAGGTAAAACCTGGCGACATTAGTGCGGATGAGGAGGAAGAGGATGAGGAATGCTCCCAGCTAATTGATCGTCTGTTCAAGACACCGCAGGATTTCAAACTGGAAGAGCCTAAGGCTCCGGAACCTGTAGGTCCTGGCAGACCCTCGAATGCGGCGGACAAGAAATGCATTTATAACACGTTCTTCAAGCGGCGACCAGGTGTAGACGATGACAATGTACTGCGGACCATGCAAATGGAGAGAATTCCCCAGCTCAATGACAAAAACTTCCGAAAGTATTTGAGAGACTACAAGCGCCGGAAATTGGAACAACCGGTAAGTGTGATGGCTACCAAAGAACAAATAGGGACATGCATTGTCAAATTTTTAAATTGCTTTTAGCTTCGGTTTGAGTTTTTCTTTAAAAAGAGTTTAGAGTTCAATAAACTTCATTTTACTAATTTAAATACATTTTCAATTTTAGGAAAGCCCCGAGTTTGATACATCCGAGGTACGATTGCGAGACATATGCACTCGTGCCCAGTTTGTCGGAAGCTTTAAGCCTGGTCGAAAACCAAAAGCGCTTATGGCACGCCTCAATCCCGATCCGCCTGCTCTGGTACCTATTGGAATTACCGCAACGAAGAGTGAGATTGTAGATGAAGAGCCCATGCTGCTGGATGAACCGCAACAACTCTACGGCCGCCGCGTGCTGGACGATCATCCGGAGGAACACCTGTCACCTAAGGAGCCCCAGCTAATGCCAAAGAAAGTTATACCCTCGCCAGTTGTCCTTCCTCATCCTGTGCCCAAGCTGGAACCTCTGAATGGACCCATTGCCAGTGCCAAGGCAAGTCCATCGTCGTCCAACCCCCCAATCAATACCGTTACAAATGCATCTCCAACTGCTGGCCACATAACCGGTAGTCCCACCCGAGAAGTACTAATTCGTCCGCCGGCCACACCTCGACCGGTCTCTTTCTTCTCGCTTCTAAGGGATTTGTTTGTATCCACGCCTCAGCACCGACTTACCTATGGAGAATTGCAAATCTTACTGGCCAGTTGGCGGGAAATTAATTCGGATGCTTCAATTCCCACAGGGGAGTGGCCAAGATTTGTGCCGGACTGGTCGAAGTTGTTGCAATCCGCTATAAACTTCTTGTCGGGGGATTCTGATACCGTTCCGACGGATTATGTCCCCTACATTGAACATAAAACTCAGTTGGGCATCTACCAGTGGATAGGCGCAGGCCGGGATTCTGATGCGCGACTTCTCAGCCTATGTCAGTGTTGGTTGCGAACTCAGAGGGAAGAGCAGTCCCAACTTAGTCCGGGCCTGAACTCGACTGCTCATCTAAATGCATTGATGGATGCAACTCCTACACCTCCTCCTAGATGTCCCACCACCTGGACTGTGCGCTCAGCCAGCCAGGCCGAGATACTTGAGTTTCAACGGCAAGAGAGGATACGCTTCGAATATCCGCATCGACCGTTTACCTATCGCCTTAATGGGTATGAGAGTGTGGTGGGTCCGGTCAAGGGTATTTATACCCAAAGTTTACCACTGAACAAGGCAAGAGGTCATGCTGTTATGGTTGATGACCGACCTCCGTTTGTGACCATCCTCACCCTAGTGCGAGATGCTACTGCAAGGCTGCCCAATGGAGAAGGAACCCGCTCCGAGATCTCCGAGCTGCTTAAGTGCTCACAATACATTAGTCAACAAGCGGCAGATAATGTACTCCAGACCATCGTCAGTGGAGCTTTGGATCGGATGCACGGTGGTCAGGATCCTTGCGTGAAGTATGATGCCAGGCGCAAAATCTGGATTTACCTACATCGAAATCGAGGGGAGGCGGAATTTGAGAAAATGCATCGACAAAACCAGTCCTTGGTGAAGCAGAAGCAGCAACAAAGGAAGCAGCTAAACAGGCCAAAGATCCCAGATGGTGCTGAAAGCTCTGGTTTGCTTGGAGAACACCAGCAGGAGCAACTACCAGCTTTGGTGCCAACAGTGGTTTCACCGATTCCAGTTCCAGTCCAACTGCCAGTAGGTGCTTCCTTGCAAGTGAAGAAACCACTGACCGTAAAGTGTCCTCCTGTACCGCCCTTAAAGTACCATGTTCCACCTGGTACGCCCACTGGAGGAACCATAGTGACAGCCTCCTCTAACATTACAGCAAATCAAAGCCCCCTACAGCAAATACAGAAATCTCTTCTTAAACCTGTGGGCACGGCCAATCCCGCATCATCACCCGTTCAAAGGCAGCTGACAACTTCAAAAACAGGAAATTTTGCGATATCCAAGATCAGCCCGACTCGGAATACGACACCGATATTGGTATCCACTCCCACTGGATTGCAAACCGTGCATGTAGCAACTACTCCAACCCAAGGAGCAACATCCGGTTCTCCTACGGTGGCTAAAAAGCTGACAATTAAGAAGACCGTTCCCAGCAACAAAATAGGGAACTTTATCATCCCGCTGGAGCAACAGCAAACCGTTCAGCAGCAACAGGGGCAGCATGTTAAGGTCCATCCGATTGCTGGTAAACCTAAGGCGCTCACTATTACCCCGCGACCACAGATGCCGAAGAACATAATCCGACTATTGCCAGCTGGAGGAGCCACAGTATCTGCGAATTCGGCGATAAGTACCAAGCCAAATTCTGTGCAAATCCTCGGACCTCGCGTGGTGCCACAATCCCAGACCGTGCGACCGGTTCAGCAGAAAATCGGAGCTGTGTCTATTGTGACCAATAAGCCCGTTACAAGCATTTCCGGTACAGAAACTGCAAATCCTGCAACCGCCAGCACGAGTTCCCCTGTTACCGGTGGCGGAACCATCGTAAAGATGTCGCCCCAGGCTTTCGCCAACCTTCAGCAGCAACAGCAACAGCTCAAACAGAAGATGAACAGTGCCAATCCTGCTCTGAACTCACCCCAGCAACGGATTATTGTCGGTAAGTACTGATTCATTAATATTTATAATCCAGATTATACAAAATCAATTTCTTTATAGGCAACACAGCCATTTCCGCGAACAAGAAAATAGTATTCCAGTCCCTGGCGAAAGCAGCACCCAAAATACTCACTACATCGCCAAGTGGCACGGTGGCCAAAGCAACGACGAATTTGTCTCCACAGCAGCAAAGAATTTTACTGCAAAACTTTAAGCAACCAGTGGTGGCCACCAATCAATCAGGAACCTTAACAGCACTGGGAGGCAATGCAACGCGGGTGATTCGAGCTACTCCAGCGTCAGGAGTTGTGGGAGTTGGAAATTCCCAAACACCAGGGCAGATCATCACTCTGGATAGCCTTATACAAAAGCAACCTGCTGGAGGAAAATTACTTACCACCGCTGGCAACAATATCTTTCAACTGGCAACGTCTTCGGCGGGAAATGTGATTACACTTAATTCCAACCAGCCAACTAAGCAGCTGCCAACTATGGCAAGATTTGTAAGTGCGACAAGTACCTCCCCAGCTACTGGAAACGCATCGACCGTAGTGCCCAAGATCATTGGAAAGACTACTGTGTTGCCGGGAAAACCCCTTCTACTCCACGCCAAGACGTTAAAACAATTAGGTGGAAGCAGTGTGGCCACTACCCAGACCACCACAACCACGACCACAGCAGTGGCTTCAGCGACAGTGGGTGGAGCAGGGGGAACGGTAGTGTCCGGCTCCGGAGTAGCAAACACGGCAGTGAGAACCACTCAAAATATTGTGATTGGTGGTCAGACAGTGAAGATACAAGGAGCGGTGAGTTCTACTCTACTTCTCTTAAGACTTTTATGACTTACCCAATGATTATTTGACAGATTCCTGCTCGTGGTACCAACGCACCAATGCAGACAGTAATAATGGGAAACCAGCTTCTGCGACTAGCCACAAGCAGCACCAATAGTGGAACTACTTCGACCTCCGGTATAGCGACGACGCCGAAGACGCTGCTAATTGGAGCGGGGGGAACGCAAACACTGCGTCTGGCTAAGAACGTTCTGGTGGCCAACAAACAGATCACTAGTACCGCAAACAGCAGCAATGTAACCAGCTCCACGACAGCAACTCCAGCATCGACTGCGACGACAACCCCTGGTAATAATCTCGTGTTCGCAGTGCAAGGCAACGGCGGACAGCTTTTTTTCTCGCCGGGATTGCAGGGCATGAATTTGAAGCCACTGTCCAGCCTAAAAGTGATACCCATGGGCACAGCGTCAGCAACTGGTGGAGCGGCGGGTGGGAAAATCTCCGTAACGACGGTGACAGGAGAGCCGGGAGCCAAAGCGCTGACCACAAAACTGATCCCGGCCACTGTTCTCAAGACGGCCACTGGAAGTGGCAATTAGGAGGCTTAGGAGCGGAGAGGCTTGTTAACCATGTTGTTTACCCTTCCTCGGTTACACTTTCTTCGACGTTGGTTTAACAACACATGTAATTTATCTATGTAGGCAGAAAGTTTGCAAATATTGCTTTGTACTAAGTAAAATTAGAGGACAACAATAGAGATGTCCCATCCAGCAACCAATTTTATGGAACAGTTTATAAAATAATATATATAATAGAGACACCCAATAAAACTCAAATGAAATCAAAAATAATATCTTTGCTTACAGTACAATTACATAATTTGCTTTAGTTTCATATCTTTACAATCTTTTGCTTCGTTAAACGCGTCTCAAACTAATATCATTTAATTAATATACAGTGAAAATTTTTAATATCTTTAATAGGGATATAATTCATATAATGACTGATTTAAATTGTCGACAATTAACTGCATAATACTCTTAAAATATTTCGACTTTATGTTGTTCTGCCAAACAAATTGCAAATTTGAAGTTGACTTTAAACTTGAAATTATTCTAACTAAAAGGTTTTATGTGGAACCGACTTGTGTTGTTTTAGATGACGATTAAGCTTAATTTTTAAGTCAAAGAACTTGCCACATATGTGACACGAGATGTAGCATTTTTCTGGCACCTGCTTGGTACTGGAGCGGCCATTAAGGCTCACTTCACTTATGTTCTCGTCGACTTTTTCATCACAACTGTCTTCTTGGGAATCACTTTCTGCGTGGTCAGTACTTGGCTGCTCGGTTTCCTCAGGCGAGGAAAGGATCTTCTTCCTGGTCATCTTTATTGGCAAAGTGTTTTCTGGAGACCGAGGCCTTTTCGACGTTTTCTTGTGAGTAGCCAGCACATGAGCCTGCAGCTGCTGGGCTTCTTCGAAAGTTTTGCTGCAGAAGGCACATTGAATAATACAAGTATCCTCAGGCAAAGTTGGTTCGCTGATAGAGGGAAGCGAGGAAGAAAAGGCCTTCGTTGGGGAAACTTTTATTGGAAATTGCTCCAGTACTTTCAGTTTCTGAGCTAGTTCGGCCTCACCTTCTGTAAGTGCAATGTCAGCGTATAAGTCTAAAGTCTTAGTTCTTAACTTTCACTTACCCTTTAAATGCTGTTTCAAATGTGTCTGTAGCATAGTATTCTTTACAGCTGCAACGATAAATGTTATTACATAATTAGATTTTTATTACGTCTAGGACTAATTAACAAATGAAGTTCTCACTTTTTCCACAATAGCTGCACTTTGTGCGAGCGTGCACTAGCTGCCTGTGCTCCTTGAGAGTATCCTTTGAGTTGCATATAAACCCGCAAACAGGACACTTAATGTGCTGCTGCAGCTTATGATATTTTAGGTGAAACTTGATACGTGACTCCTGGGTATTAGTGAATTTTTTAGCGCATATGTGGCACTCCCAGTCTTTAAGGAGGTGGATGCGGCGCATATGGTCCAAATGCGCCTCCTGGTCTGATGAATCGTGGAGGCATAGTTTGCAGGAGACAACCGGGGAATAAACAGGAGCTGGAAGCGGAGCTGTGGGATCGCCATCGTCATCGTATGTAAACCTTATTATCTCATCCTCCTCTTCATCATCCGCTGTACCAGATGCATCCTCGCTAGACGGCGCAAACATACTGGAGGTCAAAGGATCGTTGTCCATCATGTCAAATCCAGACTCAACCGGCAAAGCAAACTCTTTGGGCTCCGGTAACTGAAACTGTGAACTGGTCTGTACTGGTACCCGGGCCATGTGTTCCTCTTTTATCGGCACATGAGGTATATCGAAGGGAGCACAGACACGTCTGCTGCCGTCCTCGTCGCTGATCTCCTCTTCGTCAGTGTCCAGATATATGAATCCGCAAAACTTTTGGTCCTCCTGCTCGATTTCACGCTTAATCACGATATGCTCCCGTTGGTACTCAAGTTCGCCAAACTGCTCCTGCGTCTCCAGGCAGCCGCGTTTGAACTTGATCAGTCTGTGAAACTCGGAAATGCAAGCAATGCACATGTACTGCGGTCGCCCATCCCCCCGTGCAATCTTTGCAATAAACATATTAGATAAATACACTACCCTGCCAAAAGAGTGACAACTCACCTTAACATTCCAAGCACTTAACTGCTCCAGAATGTCAGCCATACCATCCACGGTGGAGTCATCCAAGTCGAAAATGGGTTTTACTATTGCCTTATCCATATCAAGGCCCATGGTAAAGTAAATCCCGCACGTTCTGCATGGCTCGATTGAGTCCTCATCGAAGCCATTCAAATCTGTGCTAAACTCCATTGCACATATATTCGTATTTACGCAGAAGCGACGACTTTTGTTATTTTATGATATTGGAGGTGACCATTTTCGACGAGCGACGGTCGAAAGGTGGGGGCGACAGGGACATCGAATATCGATAATTGCTTTTTAGCTTTTGAATAGCTAGAGAGCTTTCTTAATGTTTTCTAGCTACTTCATATCCTTAAAAAATAAATATTTACCGCCACATTTCTTCAAATAAAAATAAGGATGATCTGTTAAAATTGAATATGAATGATTTAATATAAACAAATTATAAAAAGGTTTAAGGGCATACTCTGGTTTATATAAAAATAGCCAACTACTTCAGTTGTAAAAAAAACTCCGACTAATAAGAAAAAAGTCATTTTTGGCAGCATTCATCGTTAGCACTCGGTCACACTGCGCCATTGTTTTTATACCAAAAAACATAAAATCATCCGCCGTCCGCCAATTGATTGTTTTTCTTTCTTCACAGCAACTGAATCGAAAAATCACCGAAGCCCGGGTTTCCAGCATCCCGGAGAGTGCAATGAACCTCACAGAGCAAAATCCGTATGGAAACGGGCTGCTATACGCAGCCTTCAATCAAGACCAGGGTACGTACGTCTACGTGCGGATGTGTGTTGTTTACTTATACGATATACTATATCCGTATAATATAAATGGCCCTATTGCGTTGCAGGATGCTTCGCCTGTGCGACGGACACCGGATTCCGGGTCTACAACTGTGATCCGCTAAAAGAGAAGGAGCGCCAATACTTTTCAGAGGGTATGCTTATTGGAAGAGAGAGTGCGGGAGACTCCCACGGTCTTAAACCAATTCCATTGTCTTCCCTATTGTTCAGGTGGTCTCAGCCATGTGGAGATGCTGTTTCGCTGCAATTATCTTGCCTTAGTGGGCGGTGGCATCCGGCCACTGTATCCGCCCAATAAGGTGATCGTGTGGGACGATCTGAAGAAGTCCCCGGCCATATCGCTGGACTTCAATCAGCCGGTGCGGGCTGTTCGACTGCGTCGGGATCGCATCGTGGTCGTGCTGGAGGGGGTTATCAAAGTGTTCACCTTTACCCAGCAACCACAGCAGCTTCACGTGTTCGAGACGAGCTCCAATCCCAACGGGCTATGTGTGCTGTGCCCGCACAGCAATAAAAGCCTCCTCGCATTCCCCGGCCGACGAACTGGCCATGTTCAGATTGTGGATCTGGCCAATACGGAGCGTGCCCCACTGGAGGTGATCGCCCATGAGGCAGGTATCAGCTGTATTGCCCTTAACCTGCAGGGCACGCGGCTGGCCACCGCCGGCGAGAAGGGCACTCTCATCCGCATCTTTGATACAGAGAGTGGTAAGAAAGTGTCGGAGCTGAGGCGTGGAAGTAACCATGCCAACATTTTCTGCATCAACTTCAATCACCAGTCCACAATGGTGGTGGTCGCCTCCGACCATGGCACCATACATGTCTTCAACCTGGAAGACAACAAGCCCCGTGAATCCTCGCTGCCCATAATACCCAAGTATTTTTCGAGCCAGTGGAGCTTTGTCAAGTTTTCGATACCCCAGGGACCACGTTGTGTTTGTGCCTTTGGCGCCGATCCCAATTCGGTTGTGGGTGAGTTGAAGCTGGACCATGGCATCCCCTGGGAATTCTTTAATCGTAATTTTATCTCTTTTGCAGCCATTTGTGCAGACGGTCACTATTATAAATTCCTATTTAACAACAAGGGCGAATGCAGTCGCGACATTTGCACACAATTCCTTGAGCTGCAAGACGATGAGACCTAGGAAACAAGTCCGATTGTTGCAAACGCCTTTGATCCATCTATACAATTATATATCTCCATGGAAATGTGTTATACAATATTACTTATAAGCATGCTTTAAAATACGTTAAAAGTCGAGTTCACATAAAAAGTAGTTAAACATTGAAACTAGCTGGTGGATCTTTTCAATTTCCATGTAAAACTTTCACCGAATACGTTTGACTGATTCAAAATGTATTAAATTATACGAGTTCATCAGTAAGCAATATTACGCAACAGGGCTCAACTTATCTTTAACTTAATTCTGAAAATTTACTGATTACTCATTTACTTTGCACGCACCAATAGTGGTTAACTCCATTTCCGAAAGACTTGGTGCAAATGCTAGCATTTATCCACTTATATGGGCAAGTGCAAGGTAAAATACTTTTCGGAATGATAAGATAGTGAGCTTTAAGATATTAAGGGGCTAAGAATCAAAAGTCCAGTTCATATATATATCTAAATAGTTAAGTTTATTTCTCAGAAATATCACTGGAATGTTAAGCACTTGGAAATGATGTTTTAGGTGATGACACGAGCGACATAGACCACTAGCAACTCCTCACAAATGTGTGGTGTTGCTCTCCTCGAAGGCCGGATTAGACATTCCAACTCCGGCCGACCGTCCATTTTGGGGCCGGGGTGTGAAGTCACTCTGTTGCAGGTGTATAATCTTCGCCTGCTGCTGCGATGTGATGGGAACATGGAAGCTACCCTGGACATTTATAGCATTTCCGGGGTACTGGGCTTCGTCCTTAACAGGCAACTTGTTGTTGGGCTGTTTGCGAAGCAAATTCATGTCTGACTTTTTGGAGAAGTGGGCTTCGATTTCCTAAAGGATTAAGAGACATATTAGTACAAAGAAAATATATATTTTTTTAAACAATTTCAGTTAATATTGTTACTTACACCCAGTGTTCGACCTTCTGTCTCCGGAAGTGTGAAGTACAGGACAATGGTTCCAACGAAGGCCACAGTGGCATAAAAGGCGAACGTTCCGGGCAGAGTTAAAGCACTCAGCATCACAAGGAAGAGCTTATTAGCCAAGAAGCCAAATATATATCCCACACCACCCGCAAATCCTGAGGCAGTATTACGTATCTCAGCTGGAAATACTTCGCCAATGAGGATCCAGGGTAACATTCTGATTCCCAGATGAGAGAAGAAAGCGGAGAGCAGTAGCAGGATGAGTGGCACCCAGACTAGGTAGTTGTGCTCCTGTTTCGGCACCACCAGCAGAAGTTCATCTACGATAGGTGGCTTAGCCGAAGTCGTAGGTGGCGCCAAGGATGAAGAAACTACGAGTTCTGTACTGCTGGATGGCTCCGGCCACATGGTGGTGTCCACAGGACCATCTGTGGTCATCATTTCGTCTACATCCCTCTTACTGCGATTATAGACTTCTGGTTCAAACATCGTTGTGGTTTCCATGTCTGGAATTAGTGTAGTAAAGTGTTCCGTTTCCTGTCTAATAGCCTGTTGCTCTGTCTCAAAGATTCTAGAAATATTTTCCTGCGAGAGAATTCCTTCTTTGGGCACAATTGAAGAGGCATTAACCACCACATTGTTGACTGTAAATCCAGGGACTTCACTTAAGAAATGGGCATATGTTGCAGTGCCAAAGAAGCACAGACCGGTGCCTACTGTTGAAACCAGGACTAAGGGTCTCTTTCCTGTGAAATGAATCAGGACAACGCCCAAAATGGTGGCCAGCATCTCGGCTACTCCCAGAAGAATAGTGGCGTGGTACTTGTTCATCGGAGCCTTCAGGGTGTGGAAAATCTGCACAGCATACGTTTGGAGTGGGGTCTTTCCGGAAAAGTGACCCGTGAAAAACGAGAAGGAAACCAGGAGAAAGGGTACCAGAAAGCTACGTTTTCGCCACATCCTCAGACGTTGACTTATAGTTCGCCGCTGGCTCTGCAGGGGCACTCCTTCCGCAGACAGTTCTATGGCCTTCTGGGTGATCAATTCATCATAGAGCTGATTGAACTCTGCCTCGATCATGTGCTCGGGGACCCAGCCACGTAGCCATTGCAAGGACTTGACCGCCTCCCGGAAACGCTGCTCCCTTATCAACCAAACCGGACTCTCGGGAACAAAGCACAGCATTATAATGGTGATCACCGGGAAGGCAGAACTCACTGCCGCCACACTACGCCAGTCCATCAGGGATCCCAAGATGAATTGAATGAAAACGCCTGTGATGACACAAGTAGTTCCCAAGGCGGACAATATTCCGCGGTACTTTGGCTCTGTGATCTCCGCCACATAGGTGAGCACCTGCAACAGAATGGCAAGATTAGTTGAGAGTTTTTGTGTAGTTTTAAGATCAATTGGATATAGCTGAGAGGTTTATATGTATCTTAAGTTGTTTGCAATTTAACCCTTTGAAAACTGCGAAAAGCTTCAGAAACTATCTATCTGGGTTAATAATAACATATCATTATTACAAACAAATATTTGAAATTTCCAGAATATATAATATAAAAAAAATGTTTTAGAAATATGTTTATTTATAAATTTTAATTCCTCACATTCTTAAGCAGGCTAGACTTAGTTTATTCATATGAGAGGTTAGAGGGTTAATTGTTAAATACCAGCAGCTTGTGGTGAGGCAACCAAAGCTCTCAAGGAGTTTGGCCAAGGTCAGCCATTGTTGCAAAAGAGATATGTAGGTCAGTGGATGCAGTCGTTGAAGTTAGAAAAAATGACAAAAACATACTTAGATTCAATTTGCAATCGCAGATGAGATTTAATGGCCATATGTGGTGACCTCTACGAATCGATCAGTTTTAAAGTTATTATTCTCATATAATTTTTGCATTTTTTTTGGAAGGTGATTAAAAAAGTTAAAACTTTACTTTAGCGATGTACATTTTCAATTTGCACGGCACCGTATAGTAATACTTTAGCCATTTAAATTGCAATTATGCACAAAAAAAATTTTTCAATTTAAAAATAATCAGTAAGACTGAGAGATTTGGAAAAGATGCAACTTTGGTTGGTTTTTCTGCTGTTAAACGGGATCGAAAGCCATGTTGTATACCGAACACGATGGCCAAAGTACATCCAGAAAAAACGTTATAACAAGCCCGTTAAGGTATAAATATATGTGAAAGATATACCTAAAAGCAACTTAAACGAAATTCTTGCTTTTTAAGACTCCCGATTACTGCCATGGAAGCATTTGTCCGAACTACACAGTACATATTACATGTGGCGTACGATTTGTGAGTTACTTCATCAGAGAATTACAGTAGGAAACCAAATTAAGTTCTACTTTTGTGCTTTCAGTGGTCTCCGAGATGCGGCAAAAATCACCAGGGCATCAAGCTAACCCCTTATCGAGATGATATCTTGAGGAAAGTAAATACAATTCGCAGAAGTGTCGAGCGGGGATTAAATGATTTGCCGAGGGCCGCTAAATTGCCAGCACTATCCTGGGATGAAGAGCTATCCGTGATGGCGATGAGGGTCACTAACCAATGCAGCGAACACTCCCAATCGCTCTGCGTGAATACCTTTCACCACAGGGACGTGGGTGAATCCACAGATTTTATGGAGCTGCGCTCTAACTCTAAAGGCTTCAATGCACTAAACTTCATTGACTTGTGGTTCGACTTGTATACCCTGATGAGGCCCGAGTATGTTCAGAGCTTTCCTGATGTCTCCCCTGAGGACCATCTTAAAGTTTTTGCCAATCTAATCTATGAGAAGAACAGACAGATTGGCTGCGGATTGCTAAAATCTAAGAAAAGGAGGTTTTTCACCTGTCTCTTTAACAAGAAAATTATACCCAATCAGCCGCTTTACAAAACTCGTACTTTCAGGACCCCCCCTAAAGTAAACACAAGCATTATATTCAAAATAACTAATGAAGAGTTCCCAAAAATTATTAAAATTGTAATACAAAAACCAATTACAAATAATTCTGATAATGTATAAATACATCCTTCGTTAAAAATGAATCTTTTTACTCGATAAAATCATAAAATGTCAAGCTAAGAACTAAATTTTCACTCAATCCAGTAAGCTGCTTGTTGAGGTTTATATCTATTATATTCCATTTAAATTATTATTTAAATTTCCTAAACTTTGTTTCCGGCTAAATGATTTTGAGGTTTCAATAGCTTGGCTTAAAAATCCTCAAAGTTGGGGAAAAAGTGATTCCCCATTTCTGAATAAATATGCTAATTAATAGTTAAACAAAGAGTCGTCAGCCCATCGTTCCCACGTGATAGGTTTAAACTTGGCTATATTTCAGAGCTATTAATCAGTGTGGTTGAGATTCACTTACCGGCGCCTCCATTAATCCGCCACCAAGTCCAGCCAAGCATAAAGCCGCATACAGGTGTTCCGTGCGCGTCGAGAAGTGAAACATCAGCCAGGCGGCCAGAATCGGCAGGTTGACAAACTGCAAGTACAGAGGGAAGTAGGGGGTGGGTTAAATAAGTTTGGATGGATCGGCAACAGCGGATAAACATAATTGCATAAGCCCCACAAAGTCACGCAGCTCGATTCCAGTTCAGTGTGTCAGTGTTCCGAGTGATCGGTAATCGGAGGAGCGTCTGATGAGCCGCAGATGATTGCGGCTAAGTGGGAAGGGTGCAATTTGTATCTTTTCAGGTGTAGGTATGCCAAAAAAAAGTTACACCAATAGCTAAAATTAGAATTGCTCAATTTGGTTTGTGACAACAAAAAACTAATCACAGTGTACGTGAGACTAGTATTTTTAAAGTTTCGAACAAGTTTATCATTTCACTTAAGTAACAAAAAAGTTAGAGAAAATATTATTCCTATGTTTTTTTGCGCTAAACCCACCTGCATAGCTCGGCGCTTGCCCAGCGGTTGAGTGAGGAGGCCGGAGAAGAGGCATCCCAGAGGCACACAGATCAGGTTAATAGAGCCTAAAATCAACAAGATATAATAATAGAAGTTAAGTAAGTAAAATTTACTTACTAAACCAAGAGATCTCATCCTTGTTGAGGACTATGTCGCCGCTGGTCTCACTGCGACCCTCGCCTCCCTGAATGGCGGGTATAACGATTGTGGGAAAGCCCAAGGTCATGCCATATCCTAGAAAGGGTGAATAAAGAATCAATCAAACGATCAATAAAAAGTGACTTAAACTCTTTCATACTGTTCTAGGGGAATGAAATCTATGAAGAAGGGAAATTCTATAACTATACTTTCTTATTTCATAAACAAATAATAAAATAATAATAAAAACAAGAAGTCTTGTGACTAAGTTACTTATTATCTTTGCCATTATCTCGGAGTTATTAATAGTTGATAGTTCCCAATTTGAGTTAGTGATGAGATTCGAACTCAACAGCTACTTTATATGGCAAAATGATGAATGTTCAAGGCAACAGACGTTCTTAATGTTCATATAATTACCGGAGGTTTGATTAAATAACTGACTTTAATTATGATTAATATGCACAACTAAAATGTGCAATTTTATGAGGCTGTAAAGTAGAATAAAAAATCAGCTAAACCTCTAAATTTCATTCCCCTGGGAACAGAAGGGATAGCTAAAAGTTGTTTGTTATTTACCGAATAGCAATATGTTCTTAATACTAACAGCTAGAAACTGTGGGAGGGCGCGTCGGAAGTTGCTGACTTCCACATCGCCGGTGGGAATACGTCCGCCGTTGCTATTTTGCATGAACAATGGCCGATCGTTCAGCGAGCTGCAACGGAAAAGTATTTGTTTTTGCATTCGATTAGTTTTCAGCAAAGTAATTAACAGTGGTTTATTGTCTAAGCGGGAACTGACTATATATAAATTTATTGTGATTTTTACCCATTTTTCTCAGCTGTTACGGCAGCTGTGCCAGCCTTGCCATTGGACATCGTGGCGTATACTTGATGCGTGGCGTATGCTTAATGCACTTTTCTGTTTGCTCAAGTGCCTGTATTTGATTTTGCCTTGTGTAGAGTTATTTATTCGGCTTAAACACTGTTCGCTTAGTTGGCAATCATTTGACCATCGTTATTGGTCATTATCATTATTTATCGATGTTTTCGGCAGTGAGTGCTAAGTGGCAAAACCTTTCAAAATCACAGACAAACAAAAAAATCTTATAATTGGACATTTATTGGTCTTCTTGTTTTGGCCGCTTTCTTTCGGCTTGTTTATTATGCGCCTGGGATGGCTAAAGTTTTTGACACAATTGAATGTTACGTGTTTATATGTACACGAAATTGAAAATAATTTCTTTTTATACCCTAACACTGGGTATTTAAACTTTATTGAAGGCACTTTTTTTAGTCACTAAGATATCACATAATATTGTATTTCCTTTTCCCACAGTCAATCTCTCACTTGATGGTTTCTTCAGAGAAATCTCTTAACACACATGTTAGGCAAAACATTAAGATTAATGGTTATTTAAATGCAATTTATGGATATGAACAAAGTAAACCGAAATTTCGTAGAAGCCAAAGGAAAAAGAAAAGCCTTGAGCATGGAAACCAGTTCATTGAAGATGCATAGGTTTAGGATTGTGGTTGGATGGTTCGATGTCTATGAGATTCGTAATAAATCGCATTTTCGGTCACGGGACCCAGCGAAACCGGTTAAAACTAAATTTTCAAGATGAGCCCAAAGACGTCCACAGCCGCAGAGCCACCTTTTAATGTGGCGCACCCCAACTGTCTGATGCCAAAAAAACATTTAACGCGTATTTTCTCCTTCTTTCTCCACATTCTTGTTAATTTCCATGCATTGGAAGAAATTTAACATAATTTTGTAATTGAAATTACAATATGAATATTAAATATGAAATGGAATTAGGATGTTTTGACATAAATGGTCTTGTTGATTATAGGTATTAAGTTTGTCTTATATTTTTAATGATGTATTAAAGTTTAAAAGGTATATTAGAGTTATAGTTTTAACATTATAAAGATTATATTCAGTTAAGGGATTTTTTCTCATTTAAAATGAAACCATTTATTTGTCTCTCAAGAATTTCTTATTTTTTGCCGTGCTTCTTTATTATTTCCTAGGCCACAAAAAAGACACATAATGTACACAGTTCTGGCATCTTGTCTCTTGTTTGCAATTGTTTTTTTAAGCCGAAAGCAAATATCATGCCTGGCATCAAGGTGTTGCCCAATGGGCCCTCTCCGTGAACCGCTCGTTAAAGCCAATATGTCAGCGGTTAATGGCCAAGAAAAGTTGCAGCCGAAACCGCAAACTTCTGGCTAAATAAGGGTTATATACCGATGCGGGTTAAGATTGCGTGCAACGGAAATAACTCGCTGCCGAAGCTGAAACACTGCACTTAATCGATGTCACATATATTATACGCATATAGGCAATATATCAAGGGATTCCTAAAGGTTTAATCGGAGTGTTGAACTTTCGAAAGTTTTTTGCCAAATTTGGAACAGGTTTTAAAGCCGCCAAGCGAGGGAATTTTTTGTTTTTTATTTTTGCTGTAACGAACTTGTGCCGTGCCACTTTAAAATAAAGTTGTAAATAAATATTTACAAATTCTTGCTTTTAATCCGCGAGCGATTTAAAGACCTAACGCTAACACCAGAGCGCGTCGCGCGGTCAAAACAAACTGAAACCGAAGCCGAAGCCAAGCGTCAATTTCTGTCCCGTTACAACAAAGCTTTCCATTAAGCTTAGCTTACAAATCGGAGCTCAGAAATTAAACGCAACGAAAGCTCAATTGGCATTTGTGCCAATTGGAATGTAGGAAATTCGGTAACCAATTCGGCGGTTAGAAAAACAAATGCAAAAAAAAAAAAACAAAACCCCTAAAAAGATATTCATTGAGCGCGAGAACAATTGAGCCGCTGACAAACCCGTTTTTTGTATTGTTTTTTTTTACTTAATCATCGGAGAATACTAAATCTTCCCACTAAATCAGCTTGGAATCGATCTGGCATTCATAAAATAAAATCGTTATATTCTTGCTGGATCAACAGAACACGTTGGCTTTAGCCTCCACATTCCGGTTCGGGTTCAGGCTATGCATATACCTACAAAGCCGTTTTCTTTATAGTATGTAAGCGATGCAAACAGAAGTAGGAAAAGGTAAATGCTAGCAATAGTTAAATGACAGTTGCATAAACCCGACACACATGAATAGAACGTCAAGCCTCTTTGATCTCGCCTCTATAAATACAGTAAAGCTACTTAAGTTCACTTAAGCTGCAATAAAAATAAATCTTTACAATGTCTGGAAATGTGATTTTGCATATCAGTAAAGCTCTGCGACAAAATGTCGTTTATGTTATATAAATATTTATCATTTTTTTTTCTCAAATAGCTACAAAATCATCACCTTCCTAATTAATAATCTATTTTTGTTGAGTGCTCTATATAATTGCCCTTAAAGCAATTTTCACGCGTTCATGCATTACTCACATATTTGTAGAATTAAGTAATTTATTCGAAAAAAAACGGCGTTAATAGAAGTTAAATAGTCGTATACGTAACGTTAAATCTTAAGCACCAACCAAAAGTTACCCTCTGAAATCTTTTTCATTTAAATGATTTATTTATTGAGTACGTGGATTCGTTTTTATATGATTGAAGAATACATACATTTTTTCTTCTGCAATATCTCAGTCTATTTTTCTAACTCTGAATGAAAGATAACTTTTTAAAAAGCCAAATGAAAGTACCAACTGATATACCCTTCACCTCTCGTTCCTAGTACTAGTCACAAAGGTGTTTGCCCGTGGCGTTTACTTATTTGTTGATGGGCGTGAAAATATAATTACAATGGTAATTGTGAAAACAAGCTCATTTTTCGCTCAGTGGCAATGAACTTCTAACGTAAGCGAAATGATAAGCTTAATTGAAAGAAGCTGGGGTCGAAACGAGTCGAGAGTATGATAAGCTTGTCTGCATCGATTAGTACTACCATAAGCCTCTCAAAATCCGCATATATTCTCCGATTTGTGACGTTGGTGTCGGGGCAAATTGCACTTTGAATTTGCACTGCGTTTCGCATTTTCAAATGAAAAAGTGTTTGGGAACGAGTTCTGTTCGGCCAGCTGCTTCCTTTTTCACTCAGTTTCCGAGCTTTAGAATCTTAACGAAGGTCGTGGGATTCAACTAAAAAAACAGGGGAAAATACCCTGTGCAACAATTTAAATTAAACGATGTTTGTGTGCACATACACGTGATCATTACAGTCGCCAGTGATTTATGTTTTTACGCACATACACAGATACAGACACTTTTTCCTACTGTTTTGATATTTTAATTACTGTTAGTCGGTTTCACCTCAAAATTAACGGAAATGTGAAATTTAAATAACTTAAGACATCAGATGATTACATAATCGAAAACACGCAGTGGGTCAATAATGTCTTTTTAATCACTTTGATTTTAACATTTTGAAATGATCTTGTTTACTCAACACTCTTACATTGCGGGTACTTGCCGACTTATATTTCGGCGCAAACGGGCTTCTGCCATTTTGGAAAATTGTTGTTTTTAACTTGCTGTATCCAATCTATCCATGCGAGGGTCTTGAGTGGCAAAGGCTTACTGAAATTTCCACCCAATAATTTTCTGATAAACAGTAAAAAAAATCGAAACGGTTCCTATAAGTTATTGTCTAAAAAATTAGCAAATAAATGCTAATTTATTAGATCAACACGGACGCCCATGCAAACGACTGGTGAGATACAAACTTCTCTAAAAAACTGGCAGTGCTTGGTACAGATATAGAAAGATATAAATATTATTTAGGAAGAAATATGGTTAAAACACTTTTATTATGAAATCTTAAATTGTTTGTGTTTTAAAAAACCGTTTTTGGTGTTGCCACATTAAATTTCGTAGCATGAGATGCCATATTAAGACATCGAAACCGAAGCCGTTCCACCCCTGAGATATCGAACCGAAGAAATGTTCCGATTGTTACCGCGTTTTCGTACGTTGTTAATAAAAGCTGTATTTAAGTAAAATTATTAAGCTTAGCCAACATAATTTAATCAGGAAATCTATTCATAATGACTGGAGGCACCCCACCGAAACGCTCCCCGCTGTGGATCGGCACCCATAACGGCACTTTTCACTGTGATGAAGTGGTCGCATGTTTTATGCTTAAGCAGTTAGAAGAGTTTAAAAACGCCGAGATTTTCCGGAGCCGTGACAACAAGGCATTGCATGAAAAATGTGACATTATAGTAGATGTTGGAGGCGAGTATGATCATGCAAAAAAATGGTACGATCACCACCAGCAAACCTTCAAGGAAACGTTCAAGTCCATTCGAACGGAAGTCAGCGAGGATTTCAACATTATCAGGTGAAATTTATAGCATGACTCAAAGACCTTATTTTACTTAATGTAATCCCCCCAGGCTAAGCAGTGCCGGTTTGATTTACAGCCACTATGGCGAGCGTGTCATCCAGAGTATCTTGCAGCGGGAAAAGGGCATTACACTGTCACCAGAGAACCTGCAACTGGCCTTTGTCCAAATCTACAGGAATTTTATCAGCGAATTGGACGCCATTGACAACGGAGTGCCAATGTTTGAGGGCGGCGAGCCTATCTACAAAATCTCCACCCATCTATCCGCCCGCATTGGCAAGCTTAATCCTTCTTGGCAGGAAACTGGAGTTGACATCGAAGAGCGATTTAGACTAGCAATGGAAACTGCTGGAAAAGAGTTTGTGGAAAACGTTGTAGAAGTTGCGTGCTCTTGGATTGCGGCCAGGGATCACGTACGAGAAGCTCTCATACAGGCCAAAAACGTACATCCCTCTGGAGAGATTCTCGTCCTGAAGGTCTTCTGCCCCTGGAAGGCTCATCTGGCTGATCTCGAGAAGGAGTACCAGGTTGAAGGTGTGCCCAAGCTAATCGTCTTTAACGACGGCAGTAGTTGGAGAGTGGCCGGAGTTCCTGTGACGCCTAGCAGCTTCCTGGGGCGCAAGTTCCTGCCAATTCCCTGGCGTGGACTGAGAGACGATGATCTGAGCCAAAAGGCTGGTATCAAAGATCTCATATTTGTCCATCACAACGGATTTATCGGTGGTGCCAAAACGGAAGAGGCGGCAATGTTGTTAGCCAAGAAAGCTGTCGAGTGGGCAGATGGGCAATAAACGACTACTATATGCAAGGAATCAATACCTCAAAAAATTATGTTTACTTACCAGTTGAAATTGTCAGTTATTAAATAGACCCAAAAACCCAAAAAAAAAAAAAAATGAAAACAATCGAAGGTTTAAACCTCGAATGAACTAGAAAAAAACTTTCTTGTACCTAAACAAATTTCATTTGTATGTATATTTCCGTTAGTGTTGTATTCAAAATCACCAAGAGAACTCTTATCGTCTAGTCCATACGGGTCTTCAGTGTACGTTCCGTGATCTTATCCTTCTCAATGATGTACACGGTGGCGCCCCAACCGCTCATGGCATCGCGATCGAAGGCGTTGACAATGGACTGAGCGATGACCTCAAACAGCTGGTCCGGTTCCAGATCGGGTTTCCACAGGGTTTCGCACATGCCGTAAAGCTGCTCCGCACAGGTACCGGCTACCACGAAATCGTCGGGTGCGTTGGGGCACCCAATGAGGTCCATGTTGCAAATGAACGGTTCCATGGTCTTAGGATCCAAACCAGCCACCACCGGCTCAATGAAGTACGGGCCGAAGCGGTGCTCGTACAAAAAGCTGGACATCATGGCGGAGAAGGGCTTAGGGCACATCTCACGATTTTCGCGCGTCTCGTAAAGATTCTTGCGGAACATCAGGCGATCACGGACAGTCAGGATGTCAGTCTGAAGGCCAGTGAGTCCAAGAAACATCCGAGGACCGATGTGGAATACCTTCTTGAAGTCCGTGGAGATCGTCTGAGCCTGGATACCGAAACGGTGATCCGTGGCAATAGCCACGCAGTCCTTGCCGCGCATGGCCACTACACATCCTCCATTGTAGGCTAGAATCGACATGGTGCTTGCTGAACTCAATTTAATCAGCAGGAAAATTGAAATTTTGCAAAATGCTAAACGCCGCCTGGGAAGATGACTTTTTGTTTCTGCCCTTCGTTGCCAGACTGCTAGCATAAAATTCACTAATATTGACTGGCTGAAATGTAGTCAGATGGCAACGCCTACTAGTGATGTGTAAAATGAAATCAGTTCTTGAAAAGCATTAAGCTTATATGGATATACTAGTGTGGATAATGATGTCAATAATACAAATTAAAGGATTTCAACTTTGTGTCAAGTAAAAGTATATTTTATTAGTTCCAGTGCCGATATATAAGGGATTTAAACTGTTTCAAGTAAAAGTACATTTTGTTAGTTTTAGTGCCGATATATAAAGCACCATCGATAACATATATCTTCACCATCTATAACGCAACGGCCACATTAAAAGGGCCTTATTTATAGAAAAATTTAATTCTATTCGTTAAATTCCCAATAGTTTTGAAGGAAACCAATGACCGGCGTGGATCCAGGTGTGTGTACTGTGTCCTCCTCTGTGCAAAGCATATTTTAGAGCCGCCGGCAAACTAACAACATCAGAAGGCGACAATCTTGCACAATCGCTAGCCGAGCCGTTGCCAGGAAATAAAGGAGCTCCCGCAGGATGGCCGAAGCAATGGTGGTGGAGGATCGGTCCGCGGAGTCCAAGCGTTTCTTTTGCCACTTGTGCAACGTGGAGATCAACATTCCCAACTCGGACTTCACCTGCCCGCTGTGCGCCGATGGTTTCGTAGAGGAGTTGCCGGCGAATGCACCGGAGATGGCTTCTTCGGTAGGTGGAGCCCCCAGCACCGCAAGATCCGGAAGCGGGGGCAGTGGCTCCTCTAGCTCACATGACACCCTAAGCAGGGGTAGCTCCTCGGGCGGATCACAGGTGAATGTTGAATCGCTGCGTAACGATATTGTGTCACTGCTGAACATGCGGAATGTACCCAATTTGGAGATCACTATCGAGCCAAACAGGCGACACAGCAATGTAGTGCATCTAGGCGGCTTCGGTGGACCCTCGGGCAGTGGCTCTAGCGGCGGCCTGACTGCCGGAGGACGTGTTCGTCCGGCTAACCTGGATCGTCTTGACAATGTGCTCTTTGATTTTCTCCAGAGCCTGCCACTTGCTGGCGCCACCGCCGAAATTGTGTCCGGACCAGGTGGAGGAGTCGGTGGTGGAGGCAATTCGCACATGTTCTTCATGGGGAACCCCGGCGATTATGCGTGGGGCCGCGAGGGACTTGACACCATTGTCACCCAAATGCTCAACCAAATGGAAACATCAGGACCGCCGCCGTTGTCGGCACAGCGCATTAATGAAATACCCAAAGTGCAGATCAGTGCGGAGGACGTGGAACGTAAGATTCAGTGCTCCATATGCTGGGAAGATTTTAAAATTGACGAAACGGTACGAAAGCTACCGTGCTCGCACCTGTACCACGAAAACTGCATCGTGCCATGGCTAAACCTGCACAGCACCTGTCCCATCTGCCGAAAATCACTGGCAGACGAAGGCAGCGATGCCGACGACGAGTTTGTCATGCTTGATGGATTTGGCCCGGAAACAGGAGGCGATGGCAGCTCCGCTAGGAGCTCGGCCAGCACCGCCACAGGAACGGACAATACTTCTCCGGCTAATAACAGCAGCACTCAGACCGCGACGGAAAGTGGCCAAGCACGACCGGAGGCCACTAATCGTGCCCAATCAACACCACGCAACAATGTCTTTACCTTTGACGACGAGAACATGTTTCTGGACTAACTGAGAAAGAGAGATAGTGAAACGAAGTGGAGGAATGTTCGATTGATATTCAAAATTAAGCCAAATATTGGCAACGGCTTAGGCAGTTTAGCCCTAAAATATAATTAATCATATATTTATAATAGTTTCTCCTCACGCTTAATTTTGTTGTTGTTCAGAATAACGATTTGTAATAAACAACACGGAATTCACATAAAATTCCGTTGGCTCTGCAAAAATCAACTACTGTTGATCGTTAACTGCTTGTAATTTAAATGCTTATTTATTCTATATATTTATATAATGTAAATAGGCACTGACTGAGCAGTGTTTACTTCGAGAAGATAATTTTATTGAGATAATACATACTGCTTTAACATACATAAATATGTAATAATTAAACAAAAGAAGCTTGTAATACTGTTGTCTGTGAAAAACTTTCTAAAATAAACATTCACGATTGTAGTTTATATTTCAATTGTTATTTAAATTAATTTGACCAGCATCTGCCTTAACAGAAGTAAGAATACGTTTTAATTTACATTTTTTGGTTAATGAAAAGTAAGCTATACCGGAAAAAGTCTTTCCATCTGGTCACACTATTCCTTACAGCATCTGTTCTTTATCAGGTGGCAACGTTGGAGAGTTGTTTAAATTCCTGTTTGATCAAAAACCCGGATTAACCGTTTAAAAACAGCGCCAAAATGAACCAATTCAATTGATTTGAATATTACAAACTCCAAACTAAAGGATAAACATGCTACACGAAAGCATTAATGACTTTGTGGTCCTTACAGAGGTGGTATGTCATCAGCAAAAAAGTTTATTTTTGGGGAAGATTCGCCCAAAGCTATTTTTTAAAAATGTATCTATTTTTGAAACCACCTAGGTGCGCAAACAATATGTGCTCTATTTGGAACGTCAACTGCAGGAGAACGTATGCGTCTGGGCCAGCAAATCTCGGAATCGGCACAAGCCCACCGCCTGGGCTTGCATTCCCGCAAGCTTGGAGCAATTGGAAGACAAGGCTAAACAGGCATGCATGGCTGCTCAAATTTATCAGAGAGCCATGGTTAAGACAGTAAGTGGATCTTGAAGAGGCATACACCATTGATATTTATTTTTATATATGCAGATTGCTGCGGTACGAAGAAACACTCAGGAATGCCGTCTGGCCAACATTCTCTTTGATCAAATGCAGCTTTCAACTGGTGAGGATGTGGTGCACATTAAACAAGATCACCACTTGGTGAGTAAGGCTACACAAACAATCGACATGGATCTTCAGAATGGCTATGTTTCGTCAGAAGAAGGGAATAATGATGGTAGCTATGAGCTACGTCGGAAAATCGATATGTTTCAGACCAGCCTAGAAAATTTGGAAGTCCAAAAAGAAGCGCTGTGTCGACGGTGTCGCAGAAAGAACATAACTCCGGAGTCCAAATCACTCGGTAATCAAGGATCACCCTTTTCTGAGACCGAAGATGCCGTGGCCCAGGAACTAGCCCTGTTGTTTGGCGATGAGCCCACCGATTTAAATGACATTTTCGGAATTCAGCCCACTGCTGTAACCGACGATCCGCACATCTCGGCTATACTAGAGGAAATAGAGAACGCCGAACTGCCGGAAAAGTTTGAAGACCCGCCCAGTTCGCCAACCGCCACATCCCCAACGTGGCATAAGGGCGAAGTTGATCTTCGCCAGAGTCGTTGGCCCTGCGAACTTTACGCCCAAAGAAGGCGGCTCAATGCTTGTTTGGTTCGCCTGCTGGAAGCAGATTGGCGTTGCGAAGATCGTTTAAGATACAAATTCCACCTTTTCTTTGGCGATGATAGTGAAGACGAGTTTGCCACTCAAATATCCAGCCCATCAATCGATCTGGTGGACGAAGTACTTCTGGCCAGCTGCGTTCTTCGAATTCGGCCGTGGATTGTTAGAAATTTAATGATTCCCTTAAAAGAAGGTCTAATTGCGAATCGATTTCTATTTAAGAAGCTAGCCAAGATGCTGGCCCACTCTATTGTCATGGTCAATCCTTATTGCTCGGAGCATCAGATCAAACATGCTGTGGAACATTTATTCTGCCTTCGGCCGAGAGGAGTCCAAAGCGCTTATGATTTGGATAATCTACCTCCTCTCGATATCGCTAGGTTCGAAGTGTGATGGAATTTTGTAGATTACTACTATATCGTGGATCTCAAGTGTTTCAAAAGTTTAAGATAAAACCTCATCAAAATATTAGTTTTAATATGATCGTAAGCAATTTAGCTCAGGAATATAACACATTTGTCAATTAGATAAAAATCGAATTTAGCAATAACAAAATCTACCTTTCCAATGATTCCTTTTAAAAAAAATAAGTTAGTAACAAAACCGTACGATTTCTAAATCAAGCTTCCACATCCTTACACCTAAAATTGTGTATCGAAAATAAAACCAAGCAGAGTCAAAAACATTTTGTGGTTTCTTTAAATTATAATTAATTCAATGATTACAATAATTTTTCTTGCTGCACATCTTCTCATCTTTTTATAATTATATAAATTTTAATATATTTAATAAACGATACATAATATAGTTTTCCTTTTGACGAAATTGCTGCGGCGGACGCGTCAGCAACTGCTTAAGACGAATCGGATTCCTCCAGAGCAGCAGCTTTCCCCCACTACGGTTGTTACTTTAACGGCTGTGTTGTTTGTAGTTCCATCTGTGGTTTTTTCGGTTTCTGCTTTTCCTGCTGATTCCTTTGCGGTGTTTTGTGGTGGTGATAGATTTGTTGTTGCTGCTGCAGCTACATTGGGTGTGGTTGTTGTTACTGTTGTTGTTGATGCAATTCGTGGTGATCATCATCGGAGGCACTACCTAGTGTCGGGAATTTGATTTGTGTTTGCCGCCGCTGCTGCATTTGCATTGTGTTTGTATTTCTGCTGGGACGCCGCCGGATTGGCCGTGGATTGCTGCTGCTGTGGCTGCTGCGAGCCCGTGGCCATATCCGATGGTGGAGGACGACCGCCGCGTCTCTCGATGCCTCTGTCAGCTGTTGGCTTACTGCCAGCTCCACTAGCACCCCCGCCTGGGGCTGCAGTGGCTCCTGCTCCCCCCAATCCTCCGCCTACTCCTACTCCTCCTCCACCTGCTGTGCCGCTCGTTTGTGTTGTGTTGGCCTTTTTGTTTTTATAGCGATACTCGTCGCACACAAAGTCCTCTGGTGAGGTTTGTTGCATTTGATTCACCTGTCGCACCATTGCCGGCTGTGGCTGCTGCTGCTGCTGCTCCACATCGGCATTGTTGTTCAGCAGCGTCTCCGCCTGCGCCTCGGCCTCGGCATCCTCCTGTTGCTGCTTTTGCCCCTTATTTACATTATCACTCTTGGCGAGGCTCTCGTCGGAGGCATTCAAGTCAAGCGCCTCTGTGCAGAGCATCGACAGCATCAGCGACTGCACAAACATGGACCTAAGGAGAGACAAATTCAGATTAGCTTGTAAACAGCAATAGATCAAGTGTTGTTATTTGAAAATCTCAAAAAGCATATGTAAATATTATTAAATTCTTATTAAAGAGCTTTCGCCACTCACCGATCTGCTCGCATACTCTCCACGACCGCCCACTCGGCCTCAGTGAGGGTGGGCTGCATGAATTGGGCCAGCAAAAGGGACTCGCCAACTGCAGCACCACCCTGACCACCCCCCTGGCTAGCTCCTCCGGCTCCAGCTCCACTTCCAGATGCACCTGTTCCTCCATTGCCGTTGGCCGTACCGCCGACGCCTACACTGATGCCCAGGGCATTGTTGGCTGCACTGCTGTTCGTTCCAATTGCCTGCAGAACAAGACATAGGGGATTAGTGGACATTTGAGTCAGGAGATGCTGGCGAATGGGATGAACTACTTCTCTGGCATTGAGGCTGTTGGCGGCCAGACTCGACTGAGTCTGCGAATGATTGCTGGCCGATGTCGAGAAGCTGGCTGTCACCGGCCACTCGGTAGTGCGCAGGTTGGGCGGTGCGGTACCCCCGCTACCGCCACCACTGCCGCTTCCAACTGCGCCACTGCCTCCACTACCGCCTGCTCCACCGCTGATCACCTCGGCCATAGCGGCATTCGAGTTCGATGTTGAGACTATGGGATGCGCACGCCTTGGCAGCCGATCGATTTGGCGCGATGCCTAAAATAATGCAAGCGCAAAAGCAAGAAAACGAAAGTCGCAGTTTCCTTATACACACAAATATAATGGATATGGGGTGGAGACTCTCCCTTACCGTAACTTGTTGGCGATCCAACTGCATCTGCATCTGTAGCTGCTGCAGCTGCGATGTGGGCGGTCCACCCCTCCGCACACCGGAAAGCTGTGACAACAGTTCCGCAATGGGATCTACCGATTCTCGTCCCGAGGGCGACAAGGCCGACAAACCACTCGATGAGCTGAAGTGCATGTTGGAGCGACGTGTCCGTGGTCCGCCAAGAGTGCGTCCTGGGATACGACGCACTCCACCTCCATGACGAATGGCCGAGGGCTCGTCGTATTGTCTATAGGTTAAGGCAACCAACAGATCGGATTTATAAATATTAACTTATAACTAAAATATCATTAGTTGCATCACGAATTGTTCAAGGTTTTTCGGGCTATATAGCGAAAAATGCAATATCAACACTTAAATGGCTAGTTACGGCAAGTCAATAAAATTTGAGACTTTATTAGCACAATAAAACGAATATAAAAAAATAAACCGCCGAGTTGTGTGCAATTCTAGCCAAATTATTCAAATGTTTATGAAGCAAACTAAACCGAAATAAACCGCTTCAATCTGCTTGTTAGGAGAAAAATCAGGCAAAATAATTTGTTTTAGTCAAATTCAAATTGTCTTTGAATTGCGTTAAAACGAAAATGATTATTGTAAATGTATGACTAATAATGAGATTCTGAATTAAACTTGTAATATCAAAGTACTTCAAATTGAACGTCAGTCTTTTACCGCAAAATAATTTTAAAATAGTTTCTGATCTCAACGCAAAGGCAGTTTTTTGTAATACCCTCAGACCTACAGACCTTCTACAGATGCAGCTGGGCATTATACCTAAAAATCATAGATAGTGTTTGTTTGAAAAAGGATATCAGAAAGGAAATCAGCTCGCGCGGTCCCTGGCGATGCTCCAGGGTGAGGTGACCGGCGAAGTCATCTGTGACTAGATTCGGTTCGCCGCCCGGGAGACCAGCACAGACCGGACAGACCACCTCAAGACTGGTTTCCGTGTGCTCGGCGGAGACGTGCTCCAGCAGGGTGGCGTCGCTGAAACCCATCTTTTTACAGTAGGGACAGGTGAAGCTCTGCGGCTGATCCGAGGTTAGCATCTCGCCGCCAAAGTACAGCTCGATGTCGGAGCGGGTAAGGATGCACTGCATAGGATGCTCAACCAAATGGCGCGTTGAGGTGACACCATCCTCGTAGCAATCGGCACACAGGTCATAGTCATAGCAAATCAAGCACTTGTAGCGCCGTCCGTTGAAGTTGCTTTTGAGACATGAATCGCAGCTGACACCTGGGTTTGTTAATAGGTTTGTTATTATAATTGTTGGGCATTTACTAGATGCTTCAAGGATTCACCTTCATGTCGACTCATTATTCGGCAGCGGTCAGTAAGCTTCGCTTCACTTCCAAGCGATCAGGAGAGCGTCTCCCGCTGAATATTTGAATGTTTTCTACCTTGAACTATGTGCGGCTTGTATATAGGTTACTTTCGAGCTTCGGATTTGGAGGATTACAGGAATTTTATTTGGATTTATAGGATCTGGAAAAAAAAATTTCGTTATAATAAATCAATAATTTTGCATATTTCAGTATTAAGATCTAAAGAATATGAATGAAATCATATTAGGGTTTTCACTCTTTGGTGTTAGTAAAAGTAAAAATCAAGGGAGAAGGACATTGGCATTCCCTTCTTTTGTTTTCCCATTGCTTTGTTTCTTCTCTTCTTGTCTATTGCTCACGATTACGGTTCTTTCTTTTCGTTTCGTTTGCCTTGCGAAGGCGGTGGAGAGAGGCACACGAAAAAGAGAGGGTCTCCTTGCCCCCTGCCCCTGTCCTACCACCCATCAATGAGGCAACGAATTATTCAATACAATCGAGCGCGAGCCATCGAAAAATTACATTTAACACTACGGCGTCCGCGGGTGCTGAGGGGTTAATTGCGATTTTCCCCGCTGCCGCGTTGCCGCTGCACAGTAAACATTTATTTTTAACTTTTTCGGTTTCGCGAAAATTTTCAACTCGACGATGTCGTGGGCTTTTTGTGCCCCCGTCAGTGCCTCTGCCACCTCACCCCTCTCCGCTGCTCAACGACAGCCCTGCTCCCGAAAAAGCAAAGCGCAGATATGCGCTAGTGTTGCCGTATTCACCGGGTGGCCGTTAGCAAATGCTGATTAATAATGCTTTTTATTATTACAGCTATTGTTTATAAACATTTGCAGCCACACCACACACACGGGGGAAATATGCAGACTTTTCGTTAATCATGCCATGAGCACTCAGTTGGTGAATTATGCTTTTTCTCTCGCACGTCTGGTAACGCTGGAGTGCCAGGCCACAGTGGCGGCCATGCAAACAGACACGGTATGCTACACGAAAAAGAGCTTTTGCAAGAACTTCAGACAAGCTGATTTTTGCAGCTGGGAAATAACATTAGGTTTTCTTTAGTTTGTTACTATTTATAAGGTAATGCGTCGCTTGGCGTTGGCTCTTGTTTTTCAGCACATAATTCATCGGCGCGCAATTTTCGTGCACTCATCTAAACAAATACACAGGCATTTTGAAATTGTGTGCCGTATTGAGCCGTCTATATACAGACACATATATTGTTTTCTACGCAATTGTTAATTGCGTCTGGGATCTGATCTCTTTTGTTCGCCGCGATATTTCGCACAAGATGCTCTGTTCTCGCGACGTGTTATTGTTGTTGTGGATGCTGCTGTATCGCAGTTTTACCGTTTTATTGTACAGCGATTTCGTGCGAGTTTTATTGAATATATTACTTTGTTTGTGGAAAAACACGGCAACGTACTTTGCTTCGGTGCGGCATTGGCTATATAAAGGTTATTTTAAAACACTAGCACTCGAAAATTAACAATTAAAACGAAAATAAGTTATATTATATCGAGTGAAAAGCTTTTCCTGTAGTGCGACCGTTCGCTGTTATAGTGAAAAATACAGAATGTCAATAAATACAGCAATACAGCAGCAAACAATCCAGCCCTGGAAAACTTCATTTTGTTGTTTCTATATAGTTTTTATTTATTTTTATATTTTATTTTTAATCCTCCAGCTTCTCTGGTGGGGGTCCACAGGGCTGCAGCATTCGCTCCATCAGATTAAAACGAACTCGCGCTTTCGATTCGTTTTCCGCAATGGCAAAGTAGTTGAGAATATCGTAGTGACCCATGTAGCTGGCTAAAGAGTCGCGGTGTTGATTAGTTAGCCATTCAAACTTGGTAGTATCTGCGTGTCCAGTGCCGATGTACTTGCTCTGCAGATGCTCCAACTGGCTATGAATGTTGTAGCGTTCGCCCATTTTCGTTTATTTATTTTAAAATTAGCAAAACTAAATTAGCAATGTTTCTGTTGTGGTCTTACGGATTTGTGTGACCAAAGGATTTTCGAATAAAAATATATTAATATTTTTAGTACGCAACGACATAGTATTTTAGTACCAAGCAGAAATATTTATGGTATTTAAATTAGCCCTCCATAAATGTTTGTTTACACTTTACGTTTGGAAATTAAAATTTAATTTGTATTACCCATGTGTGGCCGTACTTGCTTGTAGGAATAATAATAAGAATATATAAAACTCAATTAACCACCTTTTTAGAACCCTAGATCCTGATCAGGTGATTTGTGCATGTAAATATACTAAGAGAACCATCAAAAAGGAGTCGGAATCCGAAGGGAAAGATAAAGTCCAGAATGGGGAAGGATCAGAATTGGATATTCCCGAATGGAGGGCGGAATTCAACCTAGGAAGGCGCTATCAGGCCTCCTATAATATAGCGCCTACCGATATAACTCCGGTTATTGTGTCTGCAGCTCATTTCTCAGATGCCGAGAATCAGAAGTGCGCCCGTGTGGTTATGCCCATGATGTGGGGAATGATCCCCTTTTGGCATAAGGGCGACTATCGACGACACGGCCTCACAACCAACAATTGTCGCTTAGAGCACCTAATGGACTCAAAACTCTATCGCGGTCCTTTCAAACGTGGACAACGATGCGTAGTTATTTGCGAGGGTTTTTACGAGTGGCAGACCACCGGTCCTGCCAAAAAGCCATCCGAGCGGGAGGCGTACCTGGTATTCGTACCTCAGGAGGGCGATGCCAAGATCTACGACAAGAACAGGTCGCCCCAGGATGTGAAGCTACTGCGAATGGCTGGACTTTTCGACGTTTGGGAGGACGAAAGTGGCGATAAGATGTACAGCTACAGCATTATCACCTTCCAGTCCAGTAAAATAATGTCCTGGATGCACTACCGCATGCCAGCGATCCTCGAAACCGAACAACAGATGAATGTAAGAAAAGATAACTTACATACGAAATTTACCGTTAATCAATCTTCTTAAAATTTCTTCATCGTCTAGGATTGGTTGGATTTCAAACGAGCTAGTGACGCTGAGGCCTTGGCTACATTGCGTCCGGCTACCGAACTTCAGTGGTATCGAGTGTCCAAACTGGTGAACAATTCGCGGAACAAAAGCGAGGAGTGTAACAAGCCAATCGAATTGGCCGCCAAGCCCGCTAAACCGCCAATGAATAAAACGATGATGGCCTGGCTAAACGTTCGCAAGAAGCGTGAAGACCAAATCAAAGCAGAACAAAGTGATCCCAGCGATGATGAAGAGCAGAAAAAAGATGGGCGAAGCAAACGCAGGACCTCCTCTGAAGACTCTCCCGTAGACAGAGTAGCCAAGCGGCCCAGATTCAGGGAATTTAAAAAAGCTGCTCTTCAACAGAGCTGCGGAAGCAGCGATGGTGAAGTGAAATCGGCTGAGAGATAAGCCCAACATGTTTCTTAACTTCCATAGTTGTAGTACATTAAGTTTATTTTCATTAAAAACCGAAATATTTGTTCTTAATACCCAAAGTTCTAAGCATTATCATCAATGTGGTGGCTTAATTACAGAAGTTGGGGCTTAGCGACTAAAAAGTGGTTTAAAATTTGTTGTTTGAAGGGAGCTTAAATAACTAATTGTATGTTTGAACTCGTAATAAAATGGTCTTATTATGTGTGTGCGATTTAATTTTGAGCGCCACTGTATTGAGCTTGAAAGTTTTCGTTGTCACTGCACAATTTTGCAATTAAAAGAAAAAGAAAAGCTGCACATGAAGATTTTGTATGTATATATAGGTATATATGTTTACTCATATACTTTTGATTGCATTGGCGAAAAATGAGCAACAATTAATGGGAAATGGTGTCAATGTTATTGCTAGTTCGCGGGTAAAAAGTATAAGTGGTGCACTTGTGTTGCTTATAATTATTAATTTGTTGTATATTAATCTACGAATTGTATATTTATATATTTATACGTTGCATGAACTTTGAAATGCTCAATGAGAAATACAAAAGAATACTCTGCACGAAGCGTGTCACACTTAATCCTAATAGAATCGATGAGAAAGTTTAGAATTCATAGGCTATATATCGATGTATATATTCCCTTTCGTTACGAACAAACGTAAGACTTTAATTGTAAATACTTTTGCACGGCCAGTGAGCGGGTTAAATGGAAGCGGGCGGGCTAATGGATACGGGAGGTGGAAGTGAAGACGTAGCACACAAAAATAAAGATATCAGAGTCGTGTACGTGACTACCGCTATGTACTTAAAATGCTATTTACGAGATTACAATTTGCATGCGTTTGGCTGAATTATTTCAACAATGTAAGATGGATTGCACTTGAGAAGTGGTTAAGAGAGACACAGATTAAGTAGGGGAGGTGGCAATGGGAATTAAGATGGGGATCGGGATTACTCAAACGGCGTGCTGAACATGTTGATGTTCAGATCCTCAAACGTGGTGGGCGCACTGTGATCTAACATCTGCAGCATATCCGAAAACTCCTGACCCTGAGGCTGTCCGGCTCCAGCAGGTCCTCCGGGATGAGCGTGAGGATGATGTGGATGCGCCGTTGGATGTGCTGGATGGGGATGTCCTCCAGCCTGCTGCCAATCCCACATTCCCGGTGCATTGGGCGGAGGTGGTGGTGGACCTGCCTGATATGCCCCTGGCTGTGGTTGCTGGCGATTTCCGTTTCCAGCACTCAGTTGGGTATAGGTCGGACCACTTGGGGACCGTGCCGGACTCGTCTGCTGGTATTGATAGCCCTCGGTTACAGGTTGCTGCTGTTGCTGTTGTTGCTGTGGACGCAATGCTGCCCAGGAGTTTGGTGCCACCGGTGTGGGCGAGGTGCCCGATTTGGGTATCTTGGCCAGCGGCGAGGGTCCACCAGCGCTGTACGGCGAGTGTGTGGTGTCATAGGTATAGCCAACAGGTGTAGTTTGTGCCGATCCTGGTCTCTGCTGTTGTTGTTGCTGCTGCTGTTGAGGCGTAGGAGCCTGCATGGCCAACATGTGCGTCTGGTACATGCCATCGTTTGTCGCACTGCCCACTGGAGTCAGCTCCCGGCGGGCATAGTCTACTCCTGGAGCAGCCTGCACATAAACATGCTGCTCTTGCTGTTGTTGTTGCACCACTTGCTCGGGCGTATGAGCAGCCGCGGCATCCAAAGGAGCTCCGTGCATGGTCTTCCCCGAACTGTTTGTGCACACTATGTACTCCACTTCGTCGGTGTAAGGATTTAGAAAGGCATACGCCTGTGTGCGCAGCCAGATGTATTCAGAATTCTTAGCCCTAGCTCTGTATAAAAGCGAGAACATTTGTCCCTTTTGTTTGAGAACCTGATCAAAGCTCTCCTTCATGTGGCTCTGGTCCTCGGGATGAAAGAAATCGTAGCAGATTTTGCCCAAAAGCTCTGTGGGCGTATAACCCAAAATGTTCAAGACTCGCTGATCCACAAAAGTGAACTTGCCATCCATGGCGTGACGTGTGATGAACTCGCTTTGATTATTCGAGCCACTCATATCGTTGGCCGCCGTTGAAGTCACCTGCAGTCGACCGATGGCCACAAGGCAGCAGTGCGAGCTCATGTCGTCAACATCGCGCTCCATGTGCATGTTGGGGAACATATCGGTAGGCGGCCAGTTCTTGATATAGCCAGTGCAGTGGACCACGGCGTAGTTGGTGCCATCCCTCGATGGTCCCAGTGAGTTCCTCTGTTTGAGGCGATTTAAATGTCCTGAAACCATGGACTCTGGGTTTACATTGCCCACCCTCATTCGGCAGATGAATCCCCGACGGGCTCCCATGCTCAAACGCATGCTCGACTGGTGGCCCTCCTTTTTAACAGTGCCCGATTTGAGATCCAGGATGCGGCCAGCATTTTGCGACTCCTGTGTTGATAGCTGCTCACGGATCTTTTCGCGATCGTCGGGATGAATGTGCTCGTACAGGCTAGTGCCGTACCAATCGCTTTGGGTGTAGTTTAGCACTGGGGTCACCGAATCCGAAACATAGATCACCCTTCCTGAATCACAGGACACAACGAATAAAAAACCATCGGCTGCTTCCAGGATGAGATGTTTCAACTCCTGGTCGGTCAGAAAAGAGGGTTTGTAGGTGCCATCGCTGCTGGTGTTTCCAGTGCCACGCAAGGCCTTCATGTGGGCTACTGCCATGCGGAGAATGGTCAGCTTGTCCGGTTTTCGAGCCAGAGCACTGCAGGTGGGCACCATGTCCGAGAGTTCCGTGATGTAGGCCGTCATCTTGTTTCTTCGACGTCTCTCGATCTCGCAGTGATTCTCGCGGCTAGCGAACCGCTCCTTGTCCTGTATGTTTGCCTCGTCCATGCTTGGAATGCGTAATTAGAAAACGTTCGTCGTAATTTGGGTCGCCTGTGCTCTGTGGAAAAAGGTTCGTGGAAGTAAGGAAGGGTAGGGTGGGGGTTAGTATTTTGTCTACGTCGTGCATGTGTGTGTACTTGCTGGTTGTCCAGAAAGCTAGATTTCCTCGCTTTTTAAACGTAGACTTACAATTTGTACGGGCGCGGGGGTACTTGGTGAATCCAGGCACTTTTATTTGATTGGGTTTATGCGCCTTTTACCATTAAATTACTACTTTTCTTTTACACTACACGATAAAATCTCTGTTTACTGCGTGAAGTGTGACCGTAGTGAGGCATACAAAATATACTGCATCAATGTATAGAAATTCGATAACAATGCAGAAGGTGGCAATCCTGAAAAAAAAACTTAGTGGCATCCTCAAAACCATTGGCCGGTATATTTTATTTTTAAAAATTTGAATTTGTTTACAAAATCAATTAAAATAAATATTTGTTTGTGGCTATAACCACTTAGATTTAATTTTTAAAATAAATTAAATTTTCCTAAAGGTACAGTTTTTAGCAAAATATCTGGTTCCATCATTTTCGTTTAATTTATTATATATTTTTAAAATTCACCCCAAACAGAAAATAAAACCAATAGTTATTCTGATATTGTTGTCAGTATTTAATGGTATTACAGCATTGCGTTTTCTTACATATATCAAATATAATTTCATAAATACATTTAAATGTTTAGTCATAACTAGGCGCAGCATCGTAATATTACGAACTATGATTCTTTAAAAAATTAAAAGTTAATTATTAATAGTGGCAATAACATGTCTTCATCTTCATTTATTCCTATCCGGATTTATTCTTATAACAAAAATAGTAAGCTTGCGCTCCATTTCGCATATTTCTTTGTGGTCTTTGCTTATTACATTTTCATTTAATTATTTTTAATACAATCCTAGGTAAAGTTTTATCTGCTTTTCTTGTCCTTCATGTTTGATCTGCTTGGTATTGTTAATTAATTATTGGCAATTTTCTAACTGCATGGTTGATTTAGATGGGCATTCCATTTTTCATATTTCATTCAAGCTGTTGGTACAACATACAAGTCTTTTGTTCTATGTTTATATTTAAATTTATATATATTTAAATCTGCTTTAAAATACGTGCACTACTTAAGTGTTATTTAAAATGCGGCTTCATTAAAATTGCTTAGCGTGCTTAATACGTCTTTTCTGTGGTGTCTTTGTTGGATGAAGTCTCGATCTAGATTTAAACTTCAGCATAATTCGTTGACTAGAAATTAACTTAAGTACTTAAGGCTAGACTAAAATTAGTTTTTAACACGCTCTTGCAGTTTTCTATTTTGGTTTTCGTGCATAAGTATTTTTCTGATCAATCTTTGTTCAACATTTTGTGCTGCAGATATATTTAATTTGAGTGTCGAGTTTCTCTTTCCTTTTGTTGGAAATTAGTCAATAATTGCTTCATTCAATAAATTTCATGCCAAATTAAGGTCATTTCGTAGTTGCTGCAAGCTTAAACATAACTTTTCAAATCTTTTAACAATTTCATTTTTCCCCTTTTAAACATTTAGCACCAAATGATTATTTGCCAAATAAAGAATAGAAATGTTGGGTTTTATAATTTTGCACATTGTTTCGAATTTAGACATAGAGAAAAACTAAGTAAATTTGCAACAACCTTCAATAAACTAAAATTTGAATTCCAAATACAATTAATTTCTATACAATACTTTGGTTTTATAGTATACTACTACACGCCACATAAATGTGCGGTTCAGGGTTTTGCAAAAAATTGAAAAAACGATGAAATCTCGATTGAATTGAACAATACATAGTTTTGGCTCTCAGGCGCACTTACTTATAACATCACAAAAAAATTAAACAATACATGTAGATGGTAGGTAGGGGATAAATTAGGTGACAGTTTCGTATCCTAAACTAGCTCTGTGTAAACTATCTCATCTTTAGTCTGCAAAAATAATTCCTATCATTCCAGTATCTATATATTCTTTGCGCTCGATTGCGTTCAAAATGCAACAACTTGTGTGTATGTGTGTGTGGTATGATGCGTAGCTTTAGTAGGTTTGATTGCGAGTAAAAGTTGCTTGGCTAGGAAACGATTACGCCCCTTCTACGTGGTGTAGGTGCGGATGACGTCCCGGATAACCGCTCGGCACAGTGGGCACTGTCCACCGCCGGCTCCTCGCCACTGCTCGATGGCGCAGTTGTAGCACATGCACATGTGTCCGCACATGTACAGCACCGAGTCGATGGGGTTCTCGTAGCAGATGGTGCATTCGGCACTGGAGTCGGTGCTCTGCTGGTCGCTCAGGCTGTCCTTCCACTTGTTGGCCGAATTATTTGTGCTATTGGCAATGGGCTGCAATGCGAAAAAGAAAAACCATTAGTATATTGTTAGAGATTAAACCCACAGAGCTTAGACACTCACCTCAATGTACTGGCTGCTGGTAGTACTGATAAGGGTGCCGCTGGAGCAGGCTCCGGCCAAAACTCCGCTAGATGTCACCGTTGCCGAGGGCCTGGCCGCCAGCTGTCCGTTGATATCGTGCGAGCTGCTGGCTGGTGGCAGATTCACTACCAGAACAGTGCCACCGCCATTCGGCTGGATCTGGAGAATATCTCCGTTGGAGGGCATGCTGATCATGCGGCTTCCATTGACTCCTCCAGCCGAGGCCAAAGTGCTCGTACTCTGGGCGACGCTCAGCTGAGAGGGATGGTGCAACAGCTTGGCAGTGGCTCCGGCATTCAGACTGCTCATTGACTCGGTCATGGGCAGCATGCGGGATGTAGAGGCAGCGTTGCAGGCGGACGAACTGCTGGCATTCACATTCACCTGCGGCTGCGATGGATACGCAACCATGTTGGGCAATTGCTGGCGGAACATCCTCAGAGACTGCGTCGAGCCATAGACATCCAAAAAGGCCCACAACTGAAGGGACTGGTCCACATGCATCACTACCACTGCTGGTCCGTTGTTTTTGCTAATGCTCACTTCGCCGTTGGGCGCCACAAAGAAAGCAATCTCATCGCCACGTTGAGGAGCAGCGGCGATATCCTTGCTCACCACCCAATATTCAGGACGATCGAGCAGGAAATCTGAGTCATTGGGCAGATCATTGGGCTGCAGCATGGCAGGATTGCAGGAGGTTAGACCCAACGCCAAGGCACCCACATACATTTGCTCTGTTTTCAGAACCTGAACGATGAGCTTCTCACCAATGCGAATGGGACGGGCAGTGAATACATAGCCCTGGCAGAAGTCCGATTCCGTGCGGGAAGCTACGAAGCGATCCTGCGAGAGTCGCACATTTCGGCCTTTGGTGTTGTGGAAGGGCACAGGGATCAGTCGTCCATTGGCATTGTACCGCAGAGGAGGAAGTCCGTTGGCCAAATCATGCGCAATAGCCGCCTGCTCGACACTGACCACACTTCCGCCGTTTCCGGCCAAGTGCAGAGATTGCAGCGATGGCATCACATGACGTTCCAGATCGTGATCGATGGCTCCAGTGTGTCCAGGCAGGGATCTCCTCGATTGCTGATGCGGGTGATGAGGATTCAAGGCGGAGGTGGCATTGGCAGCCGGCTGGGCTAGCTGCTGTTGCTGGGCGGGCACAGCGGTAATTGGCATCGCCGCTGGTTGCTGCTGGTACATATAAATTCGGGAATCCAGGAACTCAATTCCCGTGCAATTGCCATAGATATCAATAACCGTCCAGAGCAGACTTCTCGTATCAATGCCCGACAGTATCACGCCCTTCTCTTCGTTGTTTATACCATAGATCACATCGCCAGCTCCATTGACATAGTAATAAAGGATGTTATCCTTCTCGCAGTACTGCTCATGCAAAGCCTTGGCCCAGAAGCCAGGCCTGTTGGTCAGATCCGGACAGGCGTACTTGGGCAGTGTTCCTTCCAGCGTCACAGGATCATTGCTGGTGAATCCAAAGCGTATTCCTCCATTCCAGTTGTTCGAGATTTCCGCAAACTTCACGCAGATCCTTTCGTTAATACGAACCGGACGTGCTGAGAATGTGATTGCCCGGCAGAAGCTCTCAAAGCGTCGAGCCAAAGTTCCATCTCTCGAGATCCGGATGTTATCACCGTGCACGGTGTGGAATTGCAGCGGAGGCAGGTTGTTGGGACCAGGACAGGAAGAAGGCGAGCGGCGAACTGAAAGGGTAATGGAAAAGGTTTAGTTAGTATTGTAGAGCATAGTAGGTATACTTTAAATTTGATTGAAGTGTTTAAATTGAGATTAATCTGTAAATGTTCTCCTATAGATCTTTTCAAATCCATAGACTTCCCCGTAAAGCAAATGCCACATACCTTCCCACAATACCAGTTTATCTATAAGTTACATCTTCTGCCACATTGTTTTAAAATCTTTTTCTCAACGCCAGTTCTCCGTATCGAATTACGCATCTTCAAAAAATATATCTATGTGTTGCTCCAGGTAGCTGGATGCTCATCCATGTGCTAGCGATCGAATTACGCAGAAGCCCGAACTGATCTTCCTTGGTGAGTCAATAACCCTCAACCCAAGACCCAAATTTAGTTGGTTTTCGAGCAGAAGGCACGTGACTGTTTTCAAGACTATTGAACTGTCAATACATTTTAAGGGAAAATGTAGTAAATACCCCAACAAAAGCGATCAACAGGCGGAATCTAAAGGATTTACCATGGTCATCTTCAGCTGCTGGCCTATTTTCCAAGAAAATCGAAGTCGCAGACGTTTGGAGTACAAGAATTACTTCGAGGAAATGGAAAATATTGGTATAGGTTTGGGGGTTCTTGACAGAGGAATCTTTGAATTCTTACAGATTTTTGGATTTTAGGAAAAGTTTTTAAAACAATTAAGGGATTGTTAACCACTAATGAGTACATTTTTTGTACAATTGTAAAAGGGGAAGCTCTTGAACAACATAAGAAAGCCTTCGAGAATCCTTAAAATATATTCCCGAAATTGGTATAATTATTGCACCTTGCAAATCCACATACTATATATCGGCAGCTGTTGACAATTACCACAAGAGACTGCGCCAGGGGAAAAAGGCCTATAACCAATCCATATGGCCATATAAATAATTACTCGATGCGGAGTCCTAAGATGACGACAGGTTTCTGGCCAGGTCGCTGGAATGCTTAAGATCAGACGATTCCGGCGGCATGCCAACAGTTGTGTTTAAAAAAAAATAAAAAAATAAAACCCAGTTTATAAGAAACCCATGGCGAAGGACCTGCAGCAGATGAGGCTGATGTTGATGGTGATTACCATGTTGATATGCGGCGCGTGGCACTGGAGATCAATGTGTTTGCTTTGGAGCGGCATGTGGCAGCTGTCCTTTTTCCTTTTGCCCTTTTTTCTTGATTCCTTTCTGCTGGCTTTGTTGTGCAAAGGAAGAAATAGGAAGGTCAGAAGAAAGCAGCTGTACGGCAGGAACAGGTAGGTAAAAACAACCCCTAAAGAGCGTTGTCCGTCTGTCCTCGTTTTTCGAGGGTAGTTTTCAACGTTTTCGATCGCTCAGGGGTTGCACTTCTCTACAGTCTGCAGCTGTTCAAATTTCCAAAAAAGAAAAAAGAAAAAATGAACCCTACAAGACAGATACAAGATACAAATGCTTGAGTATCTGCAAGATTCCCTGCCAGTTTGGCAGTGTCTTTGGGGTTGAAATTTAATCCTAAGCTAGGGCCAATGACTTGCACACGAAATCTGTACTGTCTGCTTCCCGAAAAATCCAATCCTCAAGTGCTTCCGCTGCAGGAAGTGGAAAGGGAGCATCAGCTTCCGGTGGCTCCCATTCTGAAGGAAAGAGCGAGGCTTTGGGAGATTCGGGATGGAGACGTAGAAGGAGAAGGAGGAGGAGTAGTAAGAGTAGAAAGCCAGGCCTGAAGACTAAGACTGCGATACCCATCCATATTTATGAATTGACCGCGACGAGGAAGTAGGAAATCACGTACTACGCATATATGTACGTGTATTGGATTGGGCCTATTAGCTGCAGGATGTTGTCGTCGTCTCACTAGCCTGGCCAACTGGCGACGCCTTCTTTTTATCGGCCCAGACAGTCGTCAGTCAATGGATGGAATTGCAGCCGCTAGTACAAGTATTCGCTGGCATGAATGAATGAATGAATCGATGAAATACGCGCCTCTTCTCTTTTTTCCTTGAAGTCCCAGTCGAAACGGTGCTTGAGAGACGCGTTGATACTTTCAATTAGCCAGGCCACAATTAATTAAGTGCAGCGATTACCAACGCTCGAGGCTTTAATGATCCCCCCTTGCTAACTAATTGTATTAAATATATAAACGATAGAATGACTTGTTAAGAAAGTCGAGATGAAAATAATGGCTTATCAATTTTAATTTAGTAATTATACATTAGCCGGAAATGTTTTCTCATATTCTTAACTGAAAAGATTTCAATAAGGCAGGCTGATTTTCCCATTTCCCAGGCCCTCTGATCATCGTCCTAACTCTGATCATCAAATTTCGACATAATTTGGCCAACTAACATCGGGAGATGTTCAAAAGTTCAAACTTTCGGTGGTCATGACGATGCGTTTGGAGTTTACCGCTCGCTGATCGCTGCTCGCTGCTCGCTGCTCTACCGACAAAAAGGTTCCCAAACGGGGGAAAACGAAGCAACTGAGAGTCGTATCCGATCGACTGCAAACTATCTTGCCGCAGTTGCAGGCAAATTTTCGTAGTTTGCCAAAAAGGAAAACCTGATTTACCGTTCGGTCTTTGGGATTCGCCATCAGCTAGCTAGCTAGCCGAGCGAGCGAGCGCGCGAAACCAAACATTTCCCACGCTGAGCAACTGGGCAAAAATCAAAAACACAAACACAGTAGAGACAATTCCCACGACTCCAAATTTGTATATACAGGAGATATATAGTAAATTTGCGGCTGCCGAACATCGAAAACCTGTAACAAGCCTCGGTAATTGCAAGAAGAGAGTGCGGAGTTCGGATCATCCCGAATCTTATTTGGGGGAAACTGAAGAGAAGCTGTTGCAGCTGAGCGATGGTGGAGCGGGTGGAAAATGTGAAAATCATGCAGGTGTCATAAAACAAAACTCCGAGCGCAAAAAAAAGGAGGAAAACGAGAAGAAAATCAAAACCAGTGAGGCAATCTGTGATTGTGCGCGGCCATCTCGTTAGGCGAAATCATTTTAACGATCCGATGAAGATCTCCAAACATTCAAAATCCCATTCAGCCAGACATCGTTAGATTTCGATTGGCACTCGTGAGTTTGAGTTGGCGATCATTAAAATCCGATTACATTGATGTCTGAATGAGGGCTTACAAGGGGATCTTAGGTGAAGTTGAGATTTGAGTTAATATAACGATCGGTTCTAGCAAATCACTTAAAAGTGGACTCATTTGGTGGCATTAAAGATGTCTTTATGATAACCTACATCTAGGTACATTGTTTCTTCAGATTATCAACACAAATTGCAAACATTAGTAAAACAAATAATTATTCTTATTGCAACATTTGCCTTAACAAGTTCCTGCTGCCACAAACTTGAACTCCTCCCCCATTTGCAGCGATTGAGGTCACAGGTCACGTGCTGCCCCACCCCGCTGGGCGGTTGTCGTTGTTGTTCTTGTTAGCCCACGTGCATGAGTCACGGGACGTGTGCGGACAATTAACACGCCCGAGGCCGTTTAATTGCACCGGAAATGTGACATGAAAGCCGGGGGACCGTCGGGGGCACGAGTGGATCAATGGATCATTTACAAATTGTATCAATTGGTCAACCATTTGGCATAAATTATCGACGTTTTGCAGTCAGCCGGCAATCGGTCAGAACGAGTGGGTGAATGAGTCGGAGATTGAGTTGGACTTAAGCATTTGACTTCCACGGGCTTGTCAATGGATCTGCCCACGCCGATAAATAACTTATAACCGTATATCTGGCCACTCCATAGTGTATAGTGTGTGGTTTTATTTTCATTTTCGACATATCAGTGAAATTAGTTAAGGAAACAGTGTGTGGGTCGTCGTTTGTTAGTTAGTTAGAGGCTTCAGAGCTGTGGGCAGAAAAGTCAGGCGTTGGTCGGAGTTTAAGAGCTGAACAAGTGTCTTTCCCGAAAGGCTGGTAAAACAATTCACACAGCAATAAAAACAATGTTAAATTCTTGTCTTAAATATACGAAAATGAGACTAATGAATGTTAATTAATCGCTCACAAACAAACAATTTGCGTGGGGCGGAAAAATATGAAAGTTTTTTTTTTTGGTTGTTTTAGAAAAGTGGGAAGTGAAACTTAATCGCTTTCTTAGTTACATATCCCCTAACTAATTCCTAATTCCTTACGCAGTTTATGCTGAATTCCTCACCTAACTACACCAAATTCCATGCAAATTATTTACTAAATCTTATGGTCAATCAATTTTCCAGTTTATAGTTTGATTTACGGCTAAATCCACTTAGTAAAGTTCGAGCAAATTGGAAAGCCCCATGGAGTGGATGCGAAAACCACTTCCGTTCTGCTTGAACCGCTGACCAGTGCAGCGGAAATTGCATCGCGAGCTGCTGGAGCGAGAAACTCTCTCTCTTCTGGTATGGATTCCCCACCGGTTTTATGTGCTGCCCCTTCTGCCTGGCTGCCTGGTGGCATGTAACTCTAGAAGCTTAGCAACAATGGACATAACATAGAGAGACTCTGCAAATATAATAAAAATAATTACACAACGGAAAAGGGGCCGACTGACAACGACAACGGTGGCGGTGGCGGCGGCAGCGTTGACAGCGATGAAACCAGAGGTCAAACTATGCCAAGTTGTTGCAACCAGTTGTTATTGTGTCTGTACAGCTTTTCTTCTTCCCAAGTACATTGCACTTTTCATGCGATTAAGCGAAATCTGATACGCCACTAGCTTGTGTCGAAGAAAAATCAAAGCAATTACAGAGGAACGAGTATAAAAATGAAAACAATATTGGGTCTCAACAAAAATCACTAACTAAAGTCATAAAGTGACTGGCTAAACTGCAGATAAGAGCCCCGATAAACTAAAATGAACTTAAGTCAATGGTGGACTTCCTCAATAATGATAAGAAACAATAAGTGAGTAACCCATTGAGAATGCATCAGAAAAATTCCCAGACAAAGTGTTATAAATGCAACTATTCATTCAGGGAAATCCCTCACAATGTTTACAACTTTTCACTTGGTTTTTCCCCTAAACTAGCCAGAGAGAAGCCCCTAAAGAGCTAAGCCGTTGCACCTTACATATTGATCACACCACCCAATGGGTTCAATGACTCTCAATGACTTTTCTCCCCGTTCGACATCAATTTTCAGCCTTTTCACGCACACACAAATTAGTTATAAACACCCGCAGCTCCCTACCCAAAATATAATTAGCCACCGAAAGAGGAAAGATATAGAAAATTATATAGGGAGGAGGAGAGAAGGAAGGGTGGGTGGCCAAATCAAATTTACATGTTTATTTTTACAAAGCCTACAAAAGCCAACTCTGCGGAATGGGAACAGCACCTCTCTATCGCTGCCCATGATATATACTATATATATCTCCGGTTGGTTTTTTATTTGAGCGCTGAAGCATGCAAGAGGCCCCAGCCAAGAAGAACCGAACTCTGAAAACCGATCTAAATATATATCCAAGAGACATAAGGAAGCGTAGGAAACATAAAACACAAAATAAACAACATTGTAAAGACAAAGTGTTGAGGCGTACAGGAAATATACAATATTCTTAGGCATTAACTTTTAAAGTTATAACAATAATTTAGGACTTTTAAGTTTTTTCCTGTTAAAACATATTAATTATTTAGGAAGCAATTATTCCCGAGTTTTCATTACAGTACTGTACATTGGAGTGTCAGATTCGATAAGATCCGCTTTCTTCCGCTTTGTTTTGTTTCGCTTTGTAGGCTTGCTGCTTATCGAAGCGTTGCAATTACTGCAAAAGGGCCAGTGAAGAGGTCCGCATATAGCATATATGTATATAAGAGTACAATATATAGTTGATACTCCTCTATACAACTTGCATTTCCTCGCACTTGACTGCACAAGACACCCCTTTCTTCCCCTAGCCCAAAAACGCCAAGCTCTTTTGTGTAATTAAATCACTCGAGCGTTGAGGGGGGAGCCCAACAAGCAACAATAAGAGCCATAAGTCGGGTGCTGAGTGGAATGGAATGGACTCAAAGAGTCGCGTCTTGATAGAAACACATCATTATTATATTATAACATTGTTATTACAGAGACTGACGAGCAATTCAAGTGTTTTGGGCCCTAAATTCAAGAGTCTTTGATGCCACCGTTTGCATTGTTATCAACCTAACCCATTAATATTTAGGGTTATAGCAAAACCATGCAAATATCCAATGTTTTAGCATATTTATTACCCGAACAGCTGCAGACTTGAACCAAATCTAGTTCTAGTTCCTCCCAAAATAGGTGTACATATTAATTACATTAGAGTTCTGCCCGAAGTTCGGACCACAAACGTTAAAGGCCGAAAAACCGAAATTTCATAAAACCCGATCTGACCAAGTTTCCAGCGATGGATAGCCGAACAGCTGCTGGTGGACACACAGGCATAGATTAAAGGCCCGTAGGTGTTTGAGCGAAGTAAAAACCAAGCGGTGATTTATGCCTAGCAACCAACAGCACGCCCGCCCGCTTTTTTAACCCGTCTTAAACAACACGCCCTCCTCCCAGAAGGCCTACAAAATTGACCCAAAGATGCCTTTTGGATATCTTTCTATCTTACTTTGCGTGAGTTAATTACAGCTGCGTTTCGGGCCAGGTATATAAAACTATATGCTATATTATGTTTACCTGTTGCTACCTGGATTGCGCCTTTTGTCTTGCGCCAGTTGCAACACCCTGTGGCGAAGCGTTTTTATCTATGGTTTATCTATATCTAAAAGGTGGTATGCGCTGCTATCTATCGAGGCAGACAAAATGTTAACAATTTTGTACTACACATTTGGGTCGTGAGGAAAATTAAGCAGATACAGTCTGTATTCTTATCATATTACTTTTATTATGAAAATACATCCACAATTATCTCCTACACAATATCCACTGTACTCTTCCCCAAGCTGCCATCTCAGTTCAATAACTGATAAACAGAAGACGTGGGAGGCATTAAGTGGGTCAGTAGATAACTTTTTAGAAAAAAAGCACAGAAAAGATCTTTGTGTAAGTCCCCCAACCTTCAAGAGTTAGTTTTATAGGCCAGTCCAATCAGTATTTGGCTATATTTGCACTGACCGTTATCAACAGAGCAAAATTATCAATTAGAAACGGCATTACTCCGTATCAGTATATAGAAAAAGCTAACTTTTAAGTTTGACCACAGGGATGGATGACGCATCGAGATGATGACCTCATGAGGGTAAGAGAAATAACTGCAAAAGTACGCAAAGTAGGGATTATCGCAACAGATGCTCAAATAATGTATGTAGATAAACACAAACAGCAACAATTTACTTAAAAAAATACAGTTTTATCGAGTTCAGACATACCATAATTATTATTTTCTGATTAAATTTCTAATAATAATTTGATTATAAATTTTAAACCCTAGAATCCATGTATTGTTATTTTGACCACCACTGTGTATATATACAGACTATATGTATAGACCAACTCCCTGCGGGGGTGTGTGTACTTCTATTTACGGTCGTTGTTATGTATTTACTTTTGGCCAACAATCGAAGGTCGAGCGACAATATCTCCAATAATCAGTGGCTCAAAGACGAGTTGGCAGCGCTCAATTGCAAACACACGCACAGCCAAACAAACCATTTCGAAAAGTAAACCGTGAGAAGCTAAGTAAAAGCCAAGAGCAGATAAACTTTTTAGCCAAAGCAAACGTGGCATGCCAACACACACACACAACACATAAGCCAGCCAACACAACAATAACAAAACAACAATTGTAATAGAAAATGCAGGTAAGAAAAAGCAAAAGCAGCTGACGCCGACGAACAACAATAACAACCACTGAGTAATTTCATTGATTACCGATAGGCAACGCACGTTCAAATCAAACGGATTGAACGAAGACGCCGCATAAAACATAAAACAAAAACGATTCCAAGCTTAAGCGCTCAGCAGAAGCAACAACAATAAAAGCTACAACTTCAAAGCCACACCTCTTCCTCTTTTCCCTTCCACTTCTTTTCAACCGATCCTGCTTCTTCCTCTTCTCCTCCTGCTGTATATCGTTTTTTGTTTTTGCCTTTGCTTTTGCCGATGGCGGCAACGGCGCTTGGCGTACACTTCCCAGTAAAAGCAAAAACAAATGCTGAATGAGGCAGATGCAAACACAGTGATGGTGGACAATGTAAGACCAGTTAAATAAATGGCATACATTAAAATAGCACCCTGGATATAAAATACGTGAAATACCAAATTTCTAAGGATATTCGATACTAGTTTGTTTCGCCGAACCATATGCTAGTTTGCAATTTAAAATTTAAACTGCTAAATTTGTGAACGGAACTGTTTATGGGAGGCCAGTAAAAACTACTAAAAAGAAGTAGAAGAAGCTTATCCTATGCGTCATTGGCTTTGCTGTGCTTTTGCTTCGCCTGTTTTGCCCAAAAAGATTAAAGTCGAGAATGCAACTGAGCCAAAGTCAAAAAGAGTGAGTTTGTTGTTTTTTCCTTTTTTTTTTGTAGCTCAGCTGCTTGCAACCAAAACAAAAACACCAAGCGGCAAAGAAATTCCCCAGCCCAAGATAATCGTTATGATAAACATAATAGCTCCTTGGGAAAATTGCTTTTGGTGGTATTTTCTTCAATCCAAGATCCCTCATACCGATCTTCTTGATCAATTTGTGGTTTCTTTGGGTGCGATTGAAAAATGCAGTTTTCGAGAACTGACATTTCCGGCGAATAAGTCGGGTCGAGGTTAAATTCTGCCGAAGAAGCCTTGAGAGAATTTCACATTTAAGTTTGTTTGGGCCGCTTCTGCGTCTATTTAGCCAGAAACCAAAACTATGACTATTACAATAGCAAACTTGAGCGTGCTCTTTTAAGCATTTAGTCATTAGCTTTTTGTTTTAAACAATCATAAACCTTTTCGTTTTTTGCTTTTATCTTTCTTTATTTGTTATTGTTCTTGAGACGCAAAATGCTAATGTATGCATAAATGTTTGCGGCTGGCTGGCTGTGTATTTCGCTTATTTATCTTTGCCGCTTTAATTAACTGAATGAATGAATGAGCGATAGGTCAGACCACATGCTAATATTATGTGGGAATTGGTGAGGATAAAAGCAAAGCTCTAGATCGATGAATTATGTATTTAAAGCATTTCACACGCTGTAATTACGATCACATTAGGGGTTTAATGGTGGGATATCACGCAGGAAGTTTTAAGTATCAAAAACTATGTACTATATTTTCTGAAGGACTTGATAATTTTAAGTCTTAAAAAATGAATAATTATCTACTAAGGTGTTTTTAAAATTCTATCGAATTTCTACCGGAAAGAATTTTCATTTTCTTCGGAAAAGTTATTTTGAAAAAAACTGAGTACTCCAACATTTGTAAGATTTGGTATCGCATTTTTGGAGTAGTTAAAGTTATCCTTAATCCAATTCTTAGCCTGGTACTAATGCGACTACTAACCCAATCCGAAGCGCTTCTTGATCTTCTTGAGCAAGTGCATTTTCTTCTTGCTGGTGAGCTTGTCCTTGGTGCTCATGAGCAGCTCATTGGATTCCATGGCCAGGACCTGGGCGGCCTGCTGGGCGGGAGTGGGCATGGCGTTGTGCAGCTGCTGCATCTGTTGCAGATGCTGCAAGTGCTGCTGGTTTTGGTGGTGCTGCTGCTGTGGATGGAGGTTCAGGTGCGGGTGGCTGCCCTGCATGTAGTTGGCTGGTATATCCGATAAACCCATGATAATGGCTTTCTTGTTTTTTGAAAATCAAACGAACTAAACGAACACGCGAAATGCTAACGAAAATCCACAAGCTACTTGCGTATTTTATTTGGCATTAAATTTAAACGTTAAGAGTTCTGCGAATTTTTGATGTTTTCCGTTAAAACATTTTGAATTTTGTTGGTTGTTTGTCTGCGCGCAACGGGAACAAACGGAACGAAACGAAACGAAACACGGAGACCGACGACGACGAATACAACAACTCCCGAGACAACCTTTCGCTGCGTTTTTTTTCGTCAAATAAAAGGTGCTGCGGCCTTTTATAGCTTCGCACCAGCTTGAATTCTCTCCCACGACGCCGGCGTCGCTGCCGCAGCTCGGCTAGAGAGTCACGGACAGTGATGACAACCTGATATTCTGCCGCCAGATTTAGCATTTTTCCCGTGTGGATTTTAAAAGAGTTTTTGATATATAAACGAGAAACTAAGGAGTGGTATAAGTTAAGATTCTTGTATATAAAAATTGGTTGCTCTTTATATACACTTTCATGAAAAAAACGAAAACAGTTCCAATTTAAATGCTTTAAATGTAAGTATCGACATTAGAATGCCAAATTTTGGGACTAGCATTCTATCTAATAATAAAAAGTAGCCCTATGAATGCTAAGAAAAAAAATGTCTTCGATGTTATAATTAAAAAATTCTTTTATCTACCGTTTATTTAAAATCTAGCTAGATTTTTATTTATTACTGTAATCTGGCTTTTTTCTTTCTAAGGGCTATCAGCGCTGGTCATGTCACAAGGAACGAGAGAGCGTAAAAGAGAGCCCAAGAGAGAGAAAATTGAGACGCCACCTCCTACTCTCTCATTCTCTCTGTGGCAGCTGTTTCTTATTTACTATGGTTTCGCTTTGTGCCTGCCATTCGCGTGTATTGAGCCTCCCTTATAATTTACCTTTGTGCCTCTAACTCTGCACCTTGATCGGGGATTCCTCCTCTTCTTCTCCTGCTGTTGCTTCTCCTGTTGATTTTGTTGTTGCTCTAGGCCTGAATTTCTGTTGTTTTTCCTTTTGGCCAAACTGCTCGGATCTCCACTAACTGTTATTCTCCTCACCTATGAGTGTGTGCGCCTGTTTGTGTAGTTCAGCCAGGTTCAAAGCAATTCTTTCTTTTTCGCAGGGGTTACAAGGTCTGGCTCATATAACTGGCAAACTATTTCAATTGCCCTAATGCTTTTGATCGTGAACTTTGCGGGCAAGTATCATCGTCTGTGAGACTTATTTTTTACTTTCTAGTTTCCATGCTTTTCTATTTATATCTTAGCATCGAGATCTTAGGAGATCCATAAAATATAAGATTTATTCAATCGGGGTGTCAAAAAGAATACTCCTACAATTTAATCACTCTTTTTTCAAACGTATTCTATACTCGTATATCTTATCTTCAAGAACTACATTTTAGCCTAACGAGACACATTTATCTACCTTTTGTACTGCAAAACCATTTTAGCCATTAACGTTCCGATCCTGAGGCAAGCTCGCCTATGATCTGGGACACATGCTATTGTGGTCTCATTTGTTAAGCTTTGGGCTTTGTGGTCAGCAGGACAACTGCCGTCTGGCGTCTGATCAACCTTTATCCTTTATGGTTGCCACGCTGCCATTGATAGAGGATGATAATTGCGCCGAGTGCTCCTCATCCTCATCGTCCTTTTTGTCCTGCATCGGCAGACGGAACAAGACAGACCTAACAGCAGATGCAATTTTCAAGATCGGAAGGGATCAAGACGGGGCCCAGAAAGCATTTAAATTTTGATATTAAAGTGGAAATGCATATTCAGCATCCTGGCAGCAGGCGTGCGTCCTGGAAATACATCTGCTGCTGCTTACCCGATTTCCCCCTCCTGTTCACCGCTCAGTTTGCCAAAATGCAAAAATGGTCGGAGAAGGTGAGGTTGGCAAACAGGAACAAGCAAAAACATCGAACAGCAGCGGAATCGAGACCAACGAACAACCCCAAAATTGTCAAAGAATATACAGTGAATATCAGTTAACGGGCACAGTGTTCCAGGAAAATAGTCAAAGAATCATATTTTACCTGTATTTCTTTTATAAGAAATACAATTAATAAGATCAACTCGTAATATATCCTGAAATTTCCAGATGGTACAGATGACGTTGGAGAACTTACTAAGATCTATGATTATGAAATAAATTGGTTTGTTTTTAAGGTTTTGATTTAAGATATTTAAATAGATATTTATAATTAAACATATATTGTGTGCTTTTCCTGATATCCACTGTACCACAACTTGAAGATCAACGAAAGGTGTCCATCTGCGGTTGCAGTTGAAAAAAGGACCTGAAAAAGGGTTTGCTCTACTGTAGTGTGTATCCCCTCGCAGCCCTTGGCCCTTGGTTCCGTTCTGTTTGTTTGCCAATTCCAGGTGTAAATTCATAGCAAAAGAGACAGATACGGGTTGAAAGGGATTTTTGAAAAGAGGAGAAAGAGGAAGCCACCAGCCGACCACGTGCCAGGTTAAAAATGGAAAACCGAAGACGTGCGCCAGTTGCCTTGGCTGATAAGGATGCTCTACTTCTTCGGTTCGATCGGCTCGAACTCCTTTTACGATTATTTATTTATATTTATTCATATTTTGCCAGCAGACAGCTGCTTCCATTTGCATTTGTCGCCTTGATGGGGGAGATATTTGCAGACTGTTTTTCCCTTATTTTTTGCTCCCCTTTAAGCATTCTGTTGTTAAATTTAGAATTTGGCACATGTGCCCCCACAAGTCCCGCGGTACAGTGCAATTTGTATCTTTCCATTTCGGTCTCCCACGAACATCTGGCTTAAGAATAAACTCGTACATCGCTCATTTTCGCTCGTCTTCGTTTTTGGCATAGCTGGTTTCTCCTAAGACCCGCATTTACAATTGTTTTTTCTTTTCTTTTTGGCCATTGTCTTAAGAATGTCACAGCGATTTACCTTTCAGACAGTTCCTTAACCCAAGATCCCTGCTGCTATTCGAAATCGTCGTCTATGGAGAATTGACCTAGGCAGGCGTTTAATGAAAATGCCAAATGATAATTTTGCACGGCAAGTGACCAGATCCCAGAGGCAGAACTTCGATTTTATAAGGAAAACCAGTTAAAGAAAGGGCTTAGGATCATAAATGCTACAGGGATTCCATTTTTAACTCTTACATATTAGTCAAAGGAATTTTGGTTTATCTTTCAGAAAACATTGATCAATAAAAACCTTTGTAGAGTGGAAATGTGTTAGCTTTGTTATTTTTGATTTCTAGAAGTTCCACCTTATGAGATAAGAAAATCACACCCCGCTCGTAAGGCCTAATAAAATGTTGAAGATAAATGAGAATAGAAAAATGGTTGTGGAATTTCCATACATACATATATCATATGCATGACTTTCTTATCATTACTAAAGCCATTATGAACTGGCAAATGTTGTGGGATTACCTTCACCTTGGAAACCTTCAAGTGAACGTATAGATAAATATAGTTCTATAAACATTTATGGCTATAATTAAAATTAATTGAAAACTAATCAATTGAATATCTAATTTAAATGGTTTATGGCAAAACCAAATGGCAAAAAGTAATTTAAATACATTAAACAATTCAAGTGGGCCAAAGATAAGCGTGGGGAAATAGATTGGTAATTATCAGAATTTAATGTATGATTTATTCAACGAAGAAAAGGCGCATTGAATTGCAAGTAAATAAACGAAAGAAAATTTATAAGAATTTGGCAGCTGTCGAAACGAAGACAGCTGAGTATGCCTTGGCTCTTCACATCGATCGTCGATAAGCGATCAATATACACATAATTAAGTAAAAACTGTAGCAAATGCCAATGTTTAATTAGAAAACGACATATGCAAACGGCTCACCGGCAGAAGGCAGAGATGTTGCAAAGGAAAATAAAAGGGAAAGGACTTCAGACAAGCCAACGAAGAAAGGAGCTCTGCAAGGAGCAGTTGTGGAGTTTCATATATATATATGTACATATGTATATATAAACCCGAACTAATCCAGCGGACACAAAGGAGAATTGAAGAGAACCCAGAACCCAAAATCGAATTGCGCAAGCACTTGAGAAACCAAGAAATGGAGGAGGAGATGCCTTTGTATGTACTTCTGGACTCCAGGGATCAGGGGTAAACGTTTCATACGCAACAACGGGGTTTTCGAAATCAGCCAGAAAGTTATAGGTATGGTTAGTTTTGGTAGTGAGCTGCATAAAACAGTCGTTTATCAAGTTGTTGGTCTGTCTAACTTATAGTTTAAAACCCTAAAAAAGTATTGCAAATATTGCTTAAGAATCGTAATCCTGAATTATCATCAAAAACGTCAGTACTTTGGGCCATCAACGGCCAGAAATGGTCAGAAAATGGAATGCTATACCTCCTTAAACTCGTTATTAAATTTCTAGTCGATTGGCATTCATACTTTAAAATGTGAAATTTAAAACTTTTTTCGCAAAAATTAATGATGTAACCCCGTATTAAAAATGCAAAATACAGTTCACCCTGATTTTGAGACCTTTTCATATTACGTGATCAAGATTATAGACTTGCACTTCTAAGCATCTATTGGACTAGGGTAACTTATAGTCTAGAAACTCTCTTCAAGAACTCCTCCACCTTTTAAGCATACCTGCGACAGCAGTTGGCTTCAATTCTGAATCTCCGATCAAGATCTAACAAAAGGGAACTCATTCGGGATTCGGGGATGCATTTGGCAACTGCAACTTCCACTTCCACATCCACTTCCCATTTCCGCATCCTCATGTGCGTACGCTAATCAAATATCAACATCGTCGTGGAATAACCGCCAATGCAACACATGCGAGGGATGCTGCGATCCGTTAGAGAAATATATATTCTGTTGGCCAAATGTTTGCCTTTTCAGGGGGTTTCTGCTTTCACAGTTTTCACATTGCAGTTTTTTCCCGCCTGTAAAATGGAAAAACTCCCTCGTCCCACGAAAAATGCTAAGATACTCCGATGAAAACAGGACATTTGGCAAGTCATAGAGAGAAGATCCTGGCGGGTTTTCGACCCACAGCATGTGTCTTTGTCTCAGGGTCAGGGAGTTGCAACTCGGTTATCCTACCTGAGAACCCGAAACGAGCGCCTATTGGGGTTTACTTATTCTCTCCTCCGCCTTTGTGCGATCCTTCGTCCTTTCTTGCGCCCGTTTTGTGAGAAATCATTGCCGTAAACTCAATAATTTATTGTCTACAGCTGCATGGGCATCTTGGACCTAATCGAAGCTGATACGATTTGATGGAGGCCCTTAGATGACGATGTGGTAAGCAGGTAAGTTCAACCCTGCAACCCCCGTTAAATACACCTGTAAAGGTATGATGTCCATTACGCTAGGAGTTCGCGCCCTGCAATCTCAGTCTTTTCCTGAGCGGATTTTCTGGTTCAATATTTTTTACTCTTGTCCTTTACCACTTTGGTTTTTTGACTTTATGGGTGTCTAAGCAGCTTAAGAGTTTGATATCCTTATTGCGTGGGATTTTTAGAAAGCCAATCTATTGGTCCTTTATATAGAAACAGTCCTCTTTTAAATCAGTAAAATCCTAAAAATATATGTTTAGGCATCAACTATTATCTGCTTATAAAGTTCACTTTATATGACCTATAAAATGTATCTCAGGCATAAGTGTATAAACATACACTGAAAGCCCCAAATATTATGTAATATGCCTGAGATACATTTGGTACAATTAAACTGATAAACGTTATCGTGCAGATCTTAATTATATTTAAGCAACTAAAATGCCGGTCCAACCCACAGTTTTCTGTCATGAGCAGACTGAGAATAAGTTCATTTGTAAACTTAGAAAATACTCCTTCTAAAAGTGTAGTCAACATGTACGCTAGTAGATCGATAGAGTCTTCGGCTACCATGCCAATGATTCAGGTGCAGTGCACAGGACCCAACGGTTTAGGCCCTGAATGGGTGCCCCTAGAACAAGATTGGAAGAAAAGGTGGTGCACTCTCCCCGAATTGTATAAGCGGGATGCTGCAAGAATCGATGCTTTCGAAACGAAAGAAAATGATGTATTTGTGGTGACATTTATGAAAAGCGGTACTACATGGATGCAAGAGTTGGCCTGGCTTTTATTAAATGATCTGGATTTCGAACGGGCTAAAGGCAGTTATCCATTTCATCGAAGTCCTTTTCTAGAGTAAGTAGTGTGGAGTATTTTGTAAACCTTTTTTTTTTTAATTATATCCTTAAGATACACTCTTGTTAACCCAGTGGTCGGAATGGATTCTATAGATTTATGCAATAAAGTTGTGGGTAATTCCCGTCTACTTAAAACACATTTGCCCGCTCAACTGCTGCCCCGACAAATCTGGAAGCAGAAGCGAAAGATAATCTACGTGGCGCGTAATCCCAAGGATGTTGTGATTTCTTCCTATCATCAAATGATTGGTCTGTGCTTCTGGGAGAGCAGCTTGGATGAATTCGTGGATCAGTACTTGAAGGATAAAATTTTATATACATCTCAATGGGCACACATTATCGACTTCTACAGAATGCGAAACGAGGAAAACATTTTCTTTGTTACTTATGAGGAAATGTCACAAGATCTTGAAGATGTTATCAAGAGACTATCAGTATTTTTGGGATGCAAAGACTTGACCGATTTGGAAGTAAGAAAGCTCCTAAATCACTTGAGTTTTAAAAACATAAAAGGTATATATATAAAATATTTCCCTTAGTAAGTAGATTTTAAAAACATTTTGTTTTAGGAAGCAAGTTTGGCGACCCCACCAGTCATATCAGAACTGTTCGGAAAACTACTGAGGATTTTCAGTGAGTTTAAATTCTCTAATTTTATATTGGATATTATCCATTATTTTTGTTGTAGATTCTTGCGGCGCGGTATTGTCGGTTCCTATAAGGACGAACTGAGTCCCGAGCAGCAGGATAAGATTAATAAATGGACAACAAGCTTTCTGAAGGAGTATGGCATAAGTGAATCTGAAATATTTGGGAATATCTAATAACGTGTTCATAATTTAAAACATTTTTGACATAAAACAGTTTTGAATGCAACTCTTTAAAAAATACAGTTTTATTTATGTGAAAAATAAGTAAGTTTCACACCTGTATAGTTGAATAAAACTATCGGCAGAAGCACGAAACCGGTGAGTGCCCTCGCTAAGGGGAAACAGCTGTTCGCTGAACATGTGAGTGTGTTGGTGGTGGGAAGGTCACAAACCCTATTGGAATGCCCAGTTTTTAATTCATGATCAAGTCGAGCTTATAACTGTCATGCTGATTACAATAACTTTTTATTTTCATTAAGAAATTCAATTTCATGACACTTGACAATCTATCCCTTTACACCAACTAAGCTTAGAGCGAGTTAAGTCTGATTTAAACCAAGTTTGAGCAATCTTAACTTACCTATTTTACCAGCCGACTGTCCCATTGCTTAATTAAAATCACAAATTGTGTGTTTCGCTTCCCGAAAGGCACAAGGAACAACAGCAACAAAAGCCACAACAACTAGGACGCACACAACTTCTTTGGCATTGAATTTTCACGTGGCCACAGCCCTCGGAAACTCTCGATATTATGTGCTCCGTAAACCGATCATGTGCTATTGTCAGGCTAGCTCACTTCCGGAATCATTGGCAGTAATTGCAATGCATTTTAAAGCTTTGTTTAATTGTTATTCGGATGGAGCTGCCGGTTGCAAGGCTTTTTTCAGTGTGACCACGGTAGCATTTCAATTTGACTTTTTGAAAAATACCATACTATCTTTGAATATACCGCTTAAAATAGTGGCTTACTTGCAATAGAAAAAATATGTTTACGCACAAAAATGTAAGTTTTAATAATATAAGAGTAATGCTTAAAGTTCTTATTTAGAGCTTATAAAGGGGAAAACATGGAAAAAGTATTCGTTGACAAATCACAGGATACAAAAAACCGTGACTTAGGACGATAGTTTCGACATCGATATACCAAACGAGCAGCGATAGTTTCTCCATATTTTCCTTCACCTCGCCTACGGCCACACTCCACGCCACTTCTGCTAAAAAACTACGCGAAAAATATGCCATAAAAAGTTAGAATTTAACGTATTTATTTATCTTTCGCGGATAACGAAGTGCGAAGTAGCACCGGGGCGTATACAGCTCCAGACCCCAGCCTCTTCCATCGACCGAGGACTCCCAGCAAACCGGCAGGAAGATGGCGGATCCGCTCAGTCTGCTGCGGCAGTACAACATAAACAAAAAGGAGATTGTCGAGCGCGACAGCCAGATCATCTTTGGCGAGTTCTCCTGGCCAAAGAGCGTGAAGACCAACTATCTCAAATATGGGTGAGTTGGATTAGGACGATTCTCGGAATTACCAAGCGTACCAACTTTCTCTTTTTTTTATTTTTTCCAGCTCCGGCAAAAAGGGTGCTCCACGTGAGTACTACACGCTGGAGTGCCTGCTGTACCTGCTCAAGAATGTTATGCTGCAGCACTCCGTCTATGTGCGCCAGTGTGCCGCAGAGGATATACCCGCCGTGAATCGTCCGGATCGTAAAGAACTGTTGGCCTATCTCAACGGCGAGACACCAACGTGTGCCAGTATCGACAAGAGTGCTCCACTAGAGATACCCACCCAGGTGAAACGTGCCGCTGAGGGTGAACCCTCCAGCGTTGAGGTGGCCGCCAAAAAGGCCCGTTTCGAGGAGACGCAAGTGCAGAAGGTGCGTGAACAGTTGGCCGCCCGTTGGGATGTTAACCAAAAGGAGACCGCCGTTAACATGGACAACATCAAGTCACTGTCCGAGACGATGTCCGTTGAGAAGATCGCTGCCATCAAGGCTAAGCGTCTGGCCAACAAGCGAACCACCATAAAACGGACTGATAATGATGAGACCATGGGCACAGACTTGCGTGCCATCCTGGACTACGATGTGGATTCCACAAAAGATATCATCAGCAGGGAGCGACAGTGGCGCACGCGAACCTCTATATTACAAAGTACGGGAAAGATATTTGCAAAGAATATATTCGCCATGCTACAGGGCATCAAGGCGCGCGAGGAGGGCCGCAATCGTCCTCAGGCGCCTAATCCCATCAAGATGCCGGAACCGGCGCGGATAGCCAAACCGCAACCACAGCTCTCGCAGTACAATCGTTACGATCAAGAGCGATTCAATCGACAAAAAGAGGAAACCGAGGGCTTTAAGATCGATACGCTGGGAACGTACCACGGCATGTCGCTGAAATCCGTGACGGAGGGTTCACTAGCACAGCGCAAGGCGCAAGCGAACAATTTGCCGGGAGCGCCTGGTGGAATCCCTGGAGCACCCGCCGGTCGGCCCAAGGAACTGCTACCCACGGCCCAGGCCCGACAGCTGCCCGCCAATGGACCAACGAAGCGACCTTCTCGAACCCCCATCATTATTATACCGTCTGCCAATACAAGCCTCATCACCATGCTCAACGTAAAGGACATTCTGCAGGAGCTCCGCTTCATGTCCACCGCCGAGAAAAAAATGCAAGGCTGCCAGCGCGAGAGCGAAGTGCTGTTACAGGTGCGAATTTAACTTACTACTATACTAACAGGTGGTTTATATACCAGCTGTTCTCTTTACTTTGTCAAGACTATATCATATTTCGCATTAGGTTATTAATAATTGAAAACTTATGTTAAATATGTTCCTTTTTTATTCTTTAATAGCGAAAGCGGAACAATCAGACTGTGTCTTACCGGGTGATAGACAATCCTATCAAACTCTCGCAACAGGACTGGCAACGGGTGGTGGCCGTCTTCGTTATGGGACCACAGTGGCAGTTCAAGGGCTGGCCCTGGGAAGGCAATCCTGTTGAGATATTTTCCAAAAGTCAGTCAAAAAAAGTCCTGTCTTGAACTTTAAATGCTAACTTATAAATCTAATTTCAGTTTGCGCCTTTCATTTGTGCTTTAGCGAGCTGAAATTGGACTCCAATGTGGAGCGTTGGTCTGTGACACTGCTCCGACTCTCGCAAAACAAACGACATCTGGATCGTGCCGTGCTTAGCAAATTCTGGGAAACTTTGGACAAGTAAGTTTTACTATTTATACAGTGATTTTTTCCCTCGTATTCATTTTTTATGACGTTGAATTAATTTAAAATTCTCAAAATCTTTTCAGATATATGGCCAAATACAAACCCGATCTAAGGTTTTAGCCCTAGCTGCTTCTTTTGATCGTTTTGCTGAATCTTTATTGCAATGATGACATCTGCACAGTTCCCAAAACCACACCGGGATTAGTTTCCACAATTCTATACGATACGTAACTTTCTAATAAGTATTGCAATCAAGTTACATCATGCGCTCAGCTTGACTAGGAAAGACCAACCGTAACTGGGTCTTTAGGCCCGTCCAATTTCCCGTTTATATCCCTGTCCAGGATTCTCTCTCGCTTTTGGCAGCAGTAGAAACCGCTGGCCTGCGATAGTGCAAATAGGGCCGCGGCCAGTTTAGAGCTTAAGATAAAAAGTTTGTCGTTCGACTTGTACAATGTAAACTATAAAAAAGAAACGGATCAGAAATCAATTAATTTGTATTTTTAGTGATAATAAACAGTTACAAGACATTTTGTTTTGCTTATGCAGCCATGTGGTTAACATAATGCGCCGCGATCAAAAATAATTGGAGAAAGTTTTCTAATTCTTTCGGACTTATTCAACACGATAAGGTTTCCCATACTTGTCCACCACGAAACCAATAAAACAAGCAAGCGCATTCGAAGTTAGATACCATTATCTCTGTATATATTGCGAAATTAGTTTATTTGTTGTGTACAATCGTCATAATAGCGGCTGGTCAGTAACTCTACTCTCTAATATAGTTAGTGGATTAAATAAAAAAATACTATTTCTCGTCCAGCGAAGCTTGGGCACCTCAATGGCTAATCCAAGAGGATCTTCAGGAGGACTTGCTTTCGCTGAACTGCTTTTTTGCCGCCTTCAGAGTGTTGTGCATCAGCATGGCCACTGTCATGGGACCAACGCCGCCGGGAACCGGAGTAATATGACCGGCGACCTGGCGCACCTCTGCGTAAAGTAAGAAATAGGTGAAACTTTTGAAACCCCTAGATACTTTTTAAGTGCGACCCCGTCACTCACCTTCGAAGTCTACGTCTCCGACTAGCTTGAACTTCCCGGTCTTCTCGTCCTTGATGCGATTGATACCCACGTCGATGACACAGGCTCCGGGTTTAATCATATCCTTGGTGATCAGTCCCGGTTTGCCCACAGCAACCACAATGATATCGGCTTGCCGGCAATAGCGGGCCAATTCCTTGGGCGGCGTATACCTATGGCAGATGGTCACCGTAGCATCAAGTGCCTTTGTGGCGTACTTTCCATCCGCGTGTAAGAGGATGGCCATTGGCAGACTGACATTCTTGGAACGGCCCACCACAACAGCATTACGTCCATGTGTCTCGATGTTGACATGCTCGAGAAGTCGCTTGACGCCCAGGGGCGTGGCCGGAATAATACCATCCATATCAAGGGCCAAACGTCCGATATTGATCTCATTAAATCCATCCACATCCTTGTCCACATGAACAGCATTGCATATGGTGCGTTCATTGATGTGCTCTGGCACAGGCAACTGCACCAGCACTCCTGTCACACGTTGATCCTTGTTAAGTTCGTCGATCAACTGAAGCAGTTCCTCCTGCGTGGTGGATGCAGGCAGTCTCTTCGTCTCACTGGAAATGCCCACCTCTTGGCAGGCTAGCATCTTGTTATTCACATACTTCTCGCTAGCCGGATCCTCGCCCACAATCACAGCTGTAAGATGGGGCACCGGATGGCCAGCAGCCACGAACTGCTTTAGCTCCTGACCCAACTGAGTGCGGATTTCCTGGGCAATACCCTTACCGTCAATGATTTGAGCCATGTTGCTGAAATGAAATGGTCAGAGATAAAAATAATATCATAACTAATCATTCATAAATTATTATTTATTAAATTAATATTTATTTTGTATGTTCTTGAATTAAAAATATAAATTGAATTTAAATTATTCTTTTATAATATTTAGGCAAAATGTAGATTTTGCAATATTCTTTAATGAAGTAAGCAAGGTCATAAACCGGGAATGTCGCCAAATGATAAGGCCTCTCGGTGAAATCCCCGCCTGTCAATGCGGTCGCGCTGCAGTAATTCCCCCTGAACGCACACTTGGGCGCATAAAGGTTCGTGTGATTCACCCACTTGTTTACCAAATACAGTGCGGGGATCTGGCGGTGCAAAATGTGATTCCGTGTGATTCCCCGTTCTCAGAATGTACTTTTATTCTGCACTATCGATGGAGAAAGGCATTTTTATTTATGACCTCATACAGGGAACCGTGCCTAATTGTAGGCAGTTCAAGGAAATATATCTCAGAAATATTCTAATGTGTAAATTCAATGGAAAATGAAAGGCAAATATAGTACGGGTATTATATATCAATATTTACGCGAATTTGTCTAAGCTATTCCCGAGTGGCTGGTTTTTCATTATGAGAAATATTATTTAAGGGAAAATTCAATTAAGTATTTTATAGGTAAGTAAATATACAACTAAGGTACTTTATTAATCAACATGTTCAATACAAAATTAAGCATTATCTTTTTTTGATAGGGCTATGAGGAAGTAAAGATGTGGGGAGGAGTAACCTAAGGTCTAATGTAAATTCCGATTCACTAGGGCGTACGCCTGGTGATCAATTGTCTGCAGGGCGCGACTGAATGCTGAAAACTCCACACTGGAGTTATTTTCCTTAATGTAGTCCAACAGGCCATCGGCTTCCAGCCACATAAAGGCAAACTGATCCAGATGCGTTTGACGGGCCAGCTGCTTCCATTTCGGCACCTTTGGATCGGGCCCATGTCCTAAGGGTTCGTTCAACAGGGAACAGAGCTGGTCATAGATGGGTTTGTTCTTGAGAAGTAGCTGCAGTTCTTTCTGGGTGCCCGGCTGCATTTCGATGTCCCTACTGGCTTCTTCTTCACGTCTTCGTCGTCCATTGCTTAAATCCAACTCCACGGAATCATCGTCCTCTGTTTTGATATCCATCTCCTCGGACTTGATTTCAAGTTGTCCAGCATCACTGCTTTCGTCCGAAGATGAATCGATCTCCTCTTTGACCTTTCGTGGAATCCAGGTCATGGCCAGTTCCCCCTTTTCCGAGTATACCTTTTCCAGCAGCTGCACCACCCGTTCGTTGGCCTTGTGTCTGGCCAATTCGAGTGGGGTATAGCCGGCTGCGTTGCGAGCCTGTAAAATGTCGGTGAGGTTTTGATTCTGGGCATCCAATATAAGCACCAGCAGCTCCACACTTTGCTCCAGAACTGCCATGTGGAGTGCATTATTACCATCCATTGTATTAGCAACGTTAATCGAGCTCCTATCATGGCTGATTAGTTTCTTGGCCACATCGTACTTGTTTTGCCGAATGGCCATGTGCAAAGGTGTTAGGCCATCGTCGTTTTTCAGCGAGAGATCTAGTCGAACGTTGGACATTTCCTTTAGGAAGCTCTCCACGCAATTCAATCTCTCCTCCCTGACGGCCAAGTGTAATGGGGTATCCCCCGCGTGATTCTGCTGATTGGGGCTGCAACCCAGGCTTACCAATGGGCGAATATAGTGTGGTCGATCCTGTTGGCAGGACACATGAAGCGCACTGTCTCCATCTGCGTTCAATGCACTGTTGGCCAGCTCTCCCAGCTTGAAGTAGTTCATCACCTGTATTGTCTTTATGGCCAACTTCAGGTTGTCCTTTTTATAGCTAATCACCTCGTGCAGAAGCGTGTCATTATTTTCATTCTTTAGAGCATGCTCTGTAAACAACTCCTCCACTTGGCGGCGCATATTTTCCACAGGCTTTCGGCGATGTAGATCGAAAATCTTGAATATAGCATTCAAGTATTTGCTAGTGAGATTTCGGCTTGATAGCACCTCCGATCGCCCATGACCATCGTTTTGCAATTCGCCCATATCTACCTGACAGAACTTTTCCAGATCGTTAGAGTTTTCTTCGATAAGTTTGCGGAAATTTTCGGAATTAATCAAATCATCCAGATGCATTTCCCGCCCGAACTCCTGACTTATTGTCTGATCATGTTGCGAAAAGTTTGGCAAACCATTTGGTGGCTGCGCCATACCCAGAGTTTTGGGCAGATCAAGGGAATTATTAGAGCTGGCATTGCCCGAACTGCTGCTGTTGGCCGAGGAACAGGTACGTCGGCGTTTCCTGGACACAATAGCGTCCCGTGGCTTGTAACGGAATGGTAGAGGCGGAAAAGATCGCTCATCGTCGGAGGGACGAATCAACTCAATTGACACGTTCACCTCACGGTCTACGTCCTTATCCTTGTACGCAGGCGTCTGACACACAATGGCATATTGGTGATGAACATCAGATTCCCGGAACTTGGCATATGCTTCCCACACAGTTTCACCATCCTCATCTTCTTCGAAGAATCGAACCTTGATGTTTTTCTTGCTGACTTTCTCCACCAGGAGTATTAGCTCATCGTTGCCCATCACTCCGCCTGTTGGCTTGCTCAGACGGACAATTCGTAGCTCTCCGGTTTGGGCAGACTTGCGGTTATTGATCGCATTACTGTATACGGGCGGTGCAAGTGGCACCCATGTGCCATTATCCTCGATCTTAAAAGCCTCGAAGCAGAGTCGCACCTAAAATTGGTGAAGCAACAGGTCATTTTGGGTAACTAATTTGGTTGCTTGCTTTTCAGTGAGTGAATTATTTTGCTTAGATTGCTCAGTAATTTTAGTAGAAAAGTCCCTTTTAATTATCAATTTAAACGATTATACAAACAAACAAAGTAGGTAATTAAATATTTTAGAGTATACTAAGTCAAAAGGTGGCAAATGGAACCTATACTTAAATGATTTAAGCAGTCTGAAGTGAGCAATTAAACCAGCGAATAATAAATGTAAATATATTCACTTCACTTGAATAGGCAACTTAGTTTTATTTGTTCCCTGGTCAACCTACCTGGTTCAGGTTCATGTCCTTGGCCTCCCGCTCCGTCTCCTGATGAAGTTCCTGCAACTGCTTGTTGGACAACTCGCGACGGTTCATCTGGAAGACCAGGCGATCCTCTTTTTTCTTGCAGAGCTCCTCGAAAATATACTTTTTGGCGGTATGTATGATACCCATGTTAATAAACTGGGCCACATAGCCGCGATCCTTGGACACGTACAGATCGTGCGGATCGCACACATCTCGCTCATCCTTTCGCACAACCAACTGATGGGAATGGGGGCTGTCCAGATTTGTTTGAAACAAACTACAGCGGATCACAGCTGGTCCGTCGTAATTGTACAATGTGACTTCCGGGAAGGTTTTGGGCGTCCTTTTCGAATTGGCGCCATTAAGCGATCCATGTGTTCCATGCATCTCGCTTTTGTAACGAAACCGAAACTTTTCCACTGGTTGCTCCACAATTCTCAGCTGCGGCACGTGTTTGTTATCGCCTTCGAAGGCGATTCCATTTTGATTGTAACCAAAGTGCTGGCCAGCAGGCACTGCAGCGGGCGGGGGCCCATAGTACTGATGATCCATGTACATGTTTCCAAAACTCGTTGCGTTTGCAACTCCAGCGGAATTTATCAAATTACTTGCATCTAATTGGCAGATTCCACCGTTGTTTAACAGCTGATGTTGGTATGGTGAACTCGCGAGTGGCGGTTGCTGTGGTGAGTTGCCGGCTGGCAAGTTGAGATTGGCGAAATCCGTTTGTAGGGCCATCGTTTCGGGAGAGTGGGCGGGCGACAAGGATTGAGTGGTAGAATTTGGGGAATTGCCGCTACTATAGCCACTAGTGCTGGATGCATCGTTCAGAAACAGCACATTTTTCCCCTTGTCCAGGTCGTAGTACTGATTCATGTTCATGTATTCCGTATTATTATTATTCCGTCAATATTTCCGATTAATTGCGTCTTAACAATTCGCAAACTGAACCGCTGCCTTCGCCGATCGAAACACTAATGATCGAAACGAGCTGCTTCGATTGCCTTAGCCTGACCATTCGTTTTAGGTACTTCCCCGATGTCTCGACGGACGGGAAATTATCTGCTGCGGCCACGTCGCGATGACTCACGGGTTTTTCAGGCGCACCACTCCGTGTGATTTTTTGTTCAACTATACTATATAGATTTATCTGTGTATACGAGGAATTCTGGATTCGCGAGTGTTGTTTACACAGCGAAATCACAAGATATACATAAGCATATATGTATGTATTCCAGCTATTTGATACATATATGTGATTGTGTAGAATGGCAGCGCAGCGGATCGGGGAACTTTAGTGCGCCACTGATGGAACGAAAATGAGCGTAGCACTGGTCGAAAACAAGTAACAACGCTCACGAGTCGCAATCAAAACGTTCGCTGCCTGATAACAGGTTTAAGCTATCTGCGCCGAGCTTTCGGGACAGCTTTTCACATCAACTACGATTCCATGTAATTTGAATATATTAATTCAACACACCGCGCACCCACACAAGTAAATAAAATAAATAATAACAATTATAGAGATGCCACCGACAGGTAAACGATTTAGATGGCAACGCCCCGATCAGCTGCTTTGGAAATCTAGGGGTGAGCTCGTGACTGAGTTCTTAAAAATTGTATCTTATTTTCAAGTAAATATAAGCCTTGATTTATTTTTAACTTTCGAGGAAATACACAGAAATATATTTAAAAATTAACCATACTAGACTATAAACAATAAAATTAACACATAATATGAAATAAAATATATATATCTAGCCCAGATAAGTCAGTTTTACTGTATATGTTCTAAAAGTGTATTATTTTCATTAGCAGTAGAAAATTATGTTTTCATGTAACACATTTACGTCACGCTCACATCCCTAACCTACACTTCGTATTTTTTTTTGTTTGGTATATCACGTTTTAATTCCGATCGGATTCACCTTATTATAAACAAACGCACCTGCAGAATGATTTTGCGGAATAATTCCGGGAAGCGAAGACCATAAAAGGTCCTATAGAACGTCGTAACATTATAGCAGAATGTTAACACCACTTAGTTTTTATATATGAATAAAGACACTTGTGCGAAATGATTAAAAACTAAGCATGTGCTAGAGTGGTAATAATTTCATTGCCACACACTCAAAAACATTCGACCTGTTGCCAGGCTGTAATTTCTATATATTTTTTCGATTCCCGTTGCACTTTATTGATGCGGTAAATTAACCCGCAAGTTTCACCCTTCCACTTCACGTTTTTCTCTTCCTCTTGTTGCCATGCTAAGCTGTTCGTGTGTGGGTATTTGTATATGTGTGACAGTGTTTTTTCACCTTATCAGTCAACGATGAGTTTTGTTTATTTTGATAATAAATTAGCAGGGAAAACATAAACAAATCGGGGTCCTGACTTTTCAGCTTCTGTCTGGACTTGAATTATAAATCAGGTCATCAAAATCAGTTCTATATTCAGCAATTTTTTTATAACCGATGAAAACTCGTTTTTGTGGCTTGATTAGAAATAAACGTGTCTACAAAACGCCTATTTAACGTTTTTGAAGATCAAAGATCTTTATTTTCTTCGCCTTAACTTTATTTTTTATTCACTTGCACTATACCTTTTTGTGACTTTCTATGTGTAGAGAACTTTCCCGTTGGAAAATACGAACTGCACTAATTGATGGATATCAATGGACTGTATTGCAGTAGTAAAATACCGATCTTTTAATATGCCCCCACACGTGTTGCCGAACCACGGATTTTTGTTTTTTGGATAAAAGCTTTTCGCACAAGCGCATTGAAATGCCCGAGAGAGAAAGAGCGCGTCTTAGAAGTTCTTTTTCGCGTGAAAAGCTTAAAAACACTTACCAGCAAAAGTTTTCTGCAATGATAGTTGGAATCTAATATGTATATGTATTTCCGAAACTGTAACGGTGATTTTAGTTTCTTAAAATTTCTCACGACTAAAAAATACCTATGTACATGTTTAACAAACTTTAATAAATTTTAAACGGCTTTAAGAATTATTTTGGAAATATTTATCGTTAAAAAATCCCGACACGAGTTATTTTTCAAAAGATTGTTTTCCATCTACACGACGGATGACGAAATTTGATTTCCGATTACTGCACTCAGAGATTGAAAGATGGCATGAGATTCTGTCGGAGTGTGACGTCAATTTGCTACCCAGGGGGCCACCAGCGTCTCCCACTGATAAGCCTTTTTGATGTAGACCCCTTGATCGCACAATACTTATTGATTTGATGCACAATCCCCTGGTAACTGGCGATTTTTGTTTTTAGCCTTATGAAAAACAATGCAAGCGTCATTAACAATAATGTTCGCGGACGAAGATTGCGCCCGTTTTGGGTTGAAAAACATGTTATTTTCGAAAAGAGATCGCCGATAAGCAGAGGAAAGTGCGAGTGGCTGTGGATGCCCAATGGGAGCGTTGAATCATTAGTAGCTATAACAACCTCATTTGATTCAAGAGTGGAAATTTTTTTTTTTTTTTTTGTCTCAATTAAATGAAATGAATATTATACAAAGTAATGTTCTTTAGATGTAATTTATCTTACTAATTCCCCTTGTAGCGCTTTTAACATTGTTTTATACATTGAAAATGTATAACATTGTTGAGGAAGTTTTATGAATTGCAATTATATTAATTAAATAAACTAAGTTTAAAAATAATCTCACCTTGTGAATCTCATTTTTATAAATATTTTTTTGAGCTTGTAAACTTGTAAACTTTTGAGCTCTATATTTTGTTGGTATTTATTTCACTAATACACTTTTATAACTTTTTATTTTTTATTTAACTCTTAGCTTAGCTTTGTCACTTGTCGCGTTTAAATATTCAAAAACAGCGGGTTGCTGCAGTTTTTATGCGCTAAGAATTGGAATTTTTTAGTACCTTTTGGAGTTCGAAATTCGAACTTAAATTCGAAATAATACATTGTATTTTCGTCTCTTTAATTTTTGTAACTTTTTTCATAATGGCTTTAATTTTGTTTTGTTTTTATGGAACAAAAATACAATAAATTAATATAATAATTTATCGAATCATTTTTAAATCTAACGTTCATCTTTTATGTTTATTTTTCCAAAGGTAGAAAAGCGGTGCAACTTTCATGGTATATTTTAGCCGTCGCGGTCTGGCCACACTTCAATAAGAAAAACAAGTCGCAAAATCGAAACAGCATTGCAATTTCCGAAACATTTACAATAACAATTGCTTCTTAAACTACATCTCTGATGCCCACAGCCTGGCGATGAAGCCCCAAACCAAGCGGAAGTCGTTTCCCTTTAATGCACCGCCGCCGGGCGGAATAATGGAATTCGGATTCGGGAGCTGTAGCAGCTTTGGGAATCCAGTCGAGAACGACCTGGTAAAGTGGCAGCACAAAAGGAAATCGGAGCAGCAAGTGGCTGTTTTGTATGCTAAATACTCTTTTTAACATCCTTGCCAAAAACTTAAAGCTGCACTTTTCATAGGCCACCCAAAATGCTTATAACTGAGGAGAGGATTACCCAGCATTTCAGCGGTCTGTCTCTGGATCCAAAAATCAATGTGTCCGCCTCGGTCGTTGGCAGCAACAACAACAGCGTGTCCAGCGTTACGGGTGGACTGGCCACTGATGATATACCGTCCACCAGCACTGGCAAGACACATCACCCCAATCCCGCCTACCAAATGGCGGCTATGGAACTGGAACAAAAGCTTCGCAACGCCAATCGCATTGTGATCTGTGACGGCCTTAAGCCGGGAACAGGTCCCGGATCTGCACCACCTGTAATACCACCGGAGTGGTTGATGAAAACTATACCACGACCCTGCACCGCCTTGGTTCCCTGGCAGCCGTCTCCTCTACAGATTCCAATGCCGGGTCCCAAGATTGTAACACCTCAAATTGTGGCACCTATGGCTGGTGCACCGGCTGTCCAGGAGCTGGCGGACTATGATGACGATCTAGAGTTCTTTGAGAACAATAACACGTGCAGCGTGAACCTTAACAAGTCTGAGCAAGAGCACATGGATGAGGACCTGTAGCTATAGCCATATACATATAGCCCTAAAGCATAAGCATTAAAGTGTAGATTTGTATGTCCGTAATTGTAAGAACACAGTTGATAGCATGCAAGAATACTCCCATCCTTATTTTGTATTACTATTGAAAATAGATATATGTATGTGATTTAACCCGAAGGTCAGATCTAGAATGTTCTTTAACCCAATGAAGCGGGCTCAATAAACCCAATCAAGTGGGCCCAAAGGAAGTCAAAGGAGGACCTTTCAACAGCGGACATAAAAAGGTCACAAAATCTGAAGAATCTAATTGGTAAAACTTTTTTAAGCGCTTTATAAGAATTTTAAATTTCATAAGCTCGTTACTCTAAATGCATCTAATTTATTAAGTTAAAATAACTAAATTTATAGTTTTGAGTAAAATGAATTTCATTTAATGATTTGTTTTGTTATTTCTTAACTAGATTACAGTTACTGTATAAAATAAAAACTTATTTTTTTACTAAACGGATAAGTATATATTACTGTTTTACATAAATTTTGCCAAAATTTAATTTAACTATTTAAACAAATTAAACCAACGGTTTCTAATGGATATATGTATGGTTGCTAAACCTTTTTTTTTAGAAATTTAAAATTAGAAGCTCAATTTGGATTATTTAAAAAGAACTTACAAAATTTCAATTTGTAAGACCGTTGTTTTTAATTTAACATGAGTAAAATAAAAACATCCGATATTTTGGTATTTTGGACCGATACGGTCTTACTTAAGCAATGGTGTTTTTCAACGCTTCAGCAACGGTCATTCAGAAAAAAATTGTCAAAGAGGTCGGTTCGGAGCGCTGTAGTCCGGATTCCGGATACTTTTTCAGCGATTCGCGTACGGAAAAAATTCGACTACGTCGGAGAGTGATTCGGCCAGAAGCCTATTGATATTAGTGCTATATTGGTAATTTTAATTTCGGTGGCATATTAAGTGAGTGTGGGTGTTTTGCGATGCTATAAATTTGTGTGTTCGATCCACCATGTAGACAGCCCCATACGTATTAATTATAATTAAAATTAACTTCATGGCGCAAGCGAAAAATAAGATTGTAATTCAGAGAATGAGAAGCCGAATTGAATCAGAACAAAAGGCAGAGCCAGAGCCACCACCACAAAGGGAACAAAAATCGCATCCGCGGCGGCGGAAATCTGACAAAAACTAGATACGAGGCGAAGTGCAAATTTAGAATTCTCATTACAAGTTCATGGGAAAGTGGCGAATATACGTGGAGCGTGATAAGTGAGCGTTTGATTTTTTTGTGTGTGTTGAATGTTGAACGTTGTATGGCACAACATCGCGTTGACCGATGCACGGAAGAGAGCATCCCGAGAAGGAGTACGCATCGTTGAACTCACCACGCTGGTTTGTTTTTCCGCTCTCCTTCTCTGCTGCGGCTCTCTTTCTTACCTCACTCCTCCAACTCATCAATTTACCAGGAGCAGTGGCGTAGCCCTGGGGCAGCGGCACACGTGGTGGGGAGCCCTGTCCTCGCTACCCGCTCCCCTTTACTCCCGGTAAACCACTGTACTTGCCGCGTGGTGAGTTTGCCGGCTGGGCTTCTGGTGGATTTGTAGGCTTCTTGTGCTCTGAGTTCCGTGCTCCCAGTTCCGAGCTCCCCTTCTCATTGGTCGGCCAATCGTGTATGAGTGAGCTTGGAGCTTGGAGCTGCTCCGCGTCGCGTGTCGTTCGGTCGCCGTTTGTGTGTGGGTGTGTGTGCGTCGCTGGCCGTTCAATTTGTGTGAAGTAATAAGCGTAATTAGTTTGTTGCTGCGGCGTCGACAACGACGACGGATTGCAAACTGCTTGAAAAAGGCACGAAACGTAAAACGTCTGACGCATCAGCTCTTCATCTCTATGGTTTTTTGTGATTTTCCAGTTGAACCTGGCCAATAGAGTCCGTCGAGTGGAACCGAAAGCGAGCTGCAACAGCAACAATACAATAAAAAATACAACACAACCAAATAAGAGGCAGCGATGTCCACCGCCGTTGAAACGGGGTCGTCGCCTGCCAAGAGCAACAGCAATAGCAATAACAACAGCAGCGGCGGTAACAACAGCGGCAACAACGGCAATCCCAGTCCAAATGCAAAAGGCGTGCAGCGGCGTCAACTGGTGAGTACTACTTTGCCCATCCCTCTTTGTAGTTCACCCACTATCAATAACCGATAAAGCCACGACAACCTACTCTGTTACTTCACTAAAATGCATTTTCTATGACGTTCGGCAAAATTTTGTGAAAAAGTCAAGGTTAGGTTCAATATAGTAGTTTTGAAAATACAGTGGACAATTGATAAAAATTGGTCTGATAATAATAAAACTCTCCTGAATCTCTTATCTAAAAAACCTTCCATGTTGGTGGTTGGCCATACGGAAGCTCAACTGTGTGTTGTGATTGATAAGGCCACCGAGCCCCAATAAGTAGATGATCAGCTAAGAGTGCCAGCAAGAGATAGCAAAATTGGTTGTGGAAGCGAACGTAAAAATCATCATTAATCGGTGGAAATAAAATGCATGTTCACTCGACTGCCCCGCCCCCTTCTACTTCCACCGTTTCGTTTTTCTTTCTGCCTTTTCCATTTTTCTTTGCGCCCGTTGAGCACTGGAGCTCAACTGAGGCCGCATGACCGAAAGCAATGAGCTTTATTTGCCATATTCGCTGTTTGTTATTCTCTTCTTCTCGCTGTTATTGCTATTGTTGTTGTTTGCCTCGCATTTCGTTTTCAATTTGCCTGTGCGTGTGTGCATTTGTGTGTAGGGTGCTGGTGGGCTCGGGTGAGTGTTTGTGTGTGGTGGATTTCTGCTTCGGTTTCTATTCCATATCGTAGATAACAGGGCATTGTTGCGTTGTTGTTGCCCAACATATTTACATACGGATAGGAAGAGGAAGAGTAATGCTGACGTTGACACTGCTCTACACCGAAAGAAAATAATAAGAAGCAAAGTATTTACATATCTGACCTGTTTCTGTTCAAAGTTTTAAAGACGTTAAGATATGAAAAGTGTGTAGTACTCACGAATTTTAGTTTGAACAGTCAGTGTAATAGATTTAATAGATTTCACCGATCTAAATCATGTCAAATCGAATATCCTTGTCTATTTTCTGTCAGTGTGGAAAAGTGATACGTTGGCGTGGGTGACGAGTAGGGGGGCTTAGCTTCAAGGGGGTGCCTCACTGATTTCATATCGTTGGCCAACTTGCAAAGTTCACGTTCACAGTTTCCTCGGCCTGCGCATTTGATTAGCACCAAAATTGGATCAGCAGCTGCTGGCACTCGTCGCGTTCCGTTCGCTGCGAACGGTGACGAAGAATTCCCGCCCGGCACTTGTCGACGCAATCCCGATTCCCTCCTGTGTTACGCTTTTTTACCCTTTAAAATGTTAACATTTTACCTTATTTAATACGACTCAGTTGTTAGTTCAAAAGTATAATAACTATATTAAAGGTATGAGTCATGCTCAAAGTGCACGTAAATGTGGTTCTCAAACACATAAATAATTTGTAGGTAAATTTATCTAAACATTACATGGCCTTTCTATGAATGTTGCGTAAAAAATTTCATACTTAAAAATTATCTTTATAATCAAAATATATACCTTTTACAGTAGCGATGGTAAGAGCATCCCTTATTCGCCTTGTCACTTTCGGTTTAAAATCTAAACCAAATATAAACCTTGACATTATCTTTCGCCGCAGAATAGTAATTAAATCGAAGTTGAGGGTATCTAGAGAATCGCTAATCTCAAGCACATTTCGTCTATCTATGCATATTAAAGTGGCACGCTGGCAAGGAAAAGCAAACGCCCATTAAAAATGTATGGATTGGTGGGTAGTGAATGGGAGCACTCTCATTACGGTGACTAACGCAGTGAAAAAGAGGGAGCCGGCGGAAAGAGAAGCGAGCTCATGGAGCACATGGCAGATAAGGGCCCGCAATTAGCACCTTAAATAGAATACATTAGGGTGCCCAGGTGGCCAACTGATGGGAGGGGAAATAGGTGGAGTTGGATGTAATGGTGAAGGTGACGCCACCACAACAAGAATACGAAACCACTTGACTGGATTTGGATTTTGGTTTTCTGTCTTACACGCAACTTTTTGTGTGGTTACTGCTGTCGTCGTTGTTGCTTTCGATTCCTCTTTTACACAGAAAAAAATATGTTCTATCTTCATTAAAAACTACGAAAAATACTTGCTAGATCTGGACTCGGCTATCTTGCGTCATTCATTTTGATTTAGCTCCATTTTCACTTATCAAAAATTATAAAAGAAATGTAAATATTTCGTTGACCTGATCTGTTTTTTTCCGGTGTGCGTTACGGCTCTCGTTGTTGTTTTTGTTTCCTCTCTTACCTGCCGATTGTTAATCGGCCAGACACCAAAACAAGCTTTTCAGCCAAGAAAAAAAAACCAAAAACAAAAACAGCAGCAGCAACAGCGTGGCCACAATGAAAAGTCACTAAAAATCGTTTAGAACATGCCAAACAAGTTTCAACATTTCTGTGGGGCAAGCCGCTTAAAAAGGATATGCCACATACACAAACACAGATGAAACGGGCACAAACACAAACGAGGGCAGGCGCATCCATGTTTATAGATTTTTCGTTTACAAGTATGCTGCTCCCGCTGCCTGCCTTCTGCACACCACCCCCTTTGCCATCCCACTTGCAGCGGCCAAAATAAACTCAAAGCAGGAGACATGGCAATGCATTTCGTATTCCGTATTTGTTGTATCATCTCAGCTCCTTGGAGCAACAGTCTCTCATCGCACCGCATCTCTCAGATTCAGTGCCTCTCAGCCGGCGATGTGGATGCACTACCACCAATGCAAAACAACACAAAAAACAAACAACAAAGCAATTCATTCGCATGCAAAGTGCATGCGCACTGAAGGGAGACAGCAATAGCAAAAGGAGGGGATTGAGTAAGAGGGGAAGAGAGAGGAGCAGGTCGTGGTGGACAACTTGAATCCCGTTGCCCTTTGCCAACCAGTGTTGCCATCCCCTAGAGGGGTAATTTGTAAAAAGTCTAACTTTAAAAAAAAATTTATTTACATATTGTGCTTAAAAAAATAGTTGCATAGTTTAAAAAAACTCTCAATTTAAATTTTAGTTAAAAAATTAAAAGCTATCTTTAAATATGTTCCCACATTCAACGTTAAAAGATGCTGGCAATATGTTCAGGGCAGAGCCAAAACCCCAAAATTGTAGGCAGGCGATAATTGCTTCAGAGATTGCCGGGAAACATAAAAATGAAAATATAATGGGAAAAGAAAAGCTTTTCGTCCATCAACGGATGTCAAAAAAGTGTGAAAACATTTAAATTGATCTTAGGAAAATAGACTGTGTATTTTCAGGGATATATTTTTGGTAATATATTAAGTATCCCAAAAATATGCGTATTATTTCGCATTTTCCATGGAAATCAAACGCACTACCAGCGCGCTCGAAAAATTGTCGAGTGAAAAAAAGTGAGCTTAGCATGTTGCTTAAATAGATTTTTGTTTGCTCGCTCTCCCTCTTAGTCGCTCTCTTTTAATTTTATTGCCTCTGCGTTTTGCTCTCTCAGTTGGTTCTCTCTCCAATTACGTTTGTCAGAGTAGAGCGATAGTGGATCTCAGACCCACCAATTTGAACCCATTTGGCCCCACCAGGTGATTAATAAATCAATCAAAATAAGCTTCCTTACTATATTTATTTCCATTATAATTTGATGTTTCATAAACATCTACATTCGTTTCAAAATTATAATATGCAAGGTCAGTTAATAATTGGTTTCTTAGTATGCATTTTTTATTTTATGGTATAGGTATTGTTAAATTTATTTTTTACTTTTTCCTAGTTTTATTAAAAAAATTTTTTTTTTTTAAAAAGATACGATAGATTTAATTGGGACATCCCTATCGGCGACCAAATGAAATCGAAATTACAGAGGCGGGAGAGTGAGTCCTCCAAACGATTTGCGAAAGTGAAGGCGAGGGTCGTTAGGAGAATGAGCGGGTGGGTCCGGTCTCCGGAGAGAAAATCAGTGTGGTGAAGAGAGGAGCAAGTGAATCATTTTGATGGCGTTAGCTGAGTCGCTGGCAGAGGCAGAGGCAGCGACAGAGGCAGCGCCCTCAGTTTCAGGCGGTGTATTTTTAGGCTTCGCAGCAGTCACTCAACTTGGTTCTCTTCTCTGCTCTCTATCTTTTTGCAGCGGGAGAGGAAACAACGCAAGCTCTACCTGGAGGAATGGTCACTGGGCGACGAGGATGGTGAGGGAACGCGAGGATTTAGCGTCGCCGAGAAGCTCGAATCTTCGAAGTTCGCGCAGGCGGGAATGGTGCGCGAGATGCGCGGATGCGATCTCACCGTCGCGTAAGTATCTTTAGCTTTTGCAGTATTTATCGCTCGCTAATCGGCGGTGATTATCGGTTTCTAACTCAGCGGATATGTCTAGCTTTGTTTTATGACCTACATTACATGACGGATATAGTAACACGAGATCGTTATATAGAGATTCATTTGTTTATTCATGTATGTGACGCTTTTGAAAAAGCGATTTAACAAACACTTTATATATTATTTGTGTGAACTCATTATATTATCTATTTATATTTATTATGTATCTTTGCTACGACATAGATTCCTACAACAACATGGCTTCAATATACCGCTGTTATTCCGGGACAAAGCAGGATTGGGTTTACGAATGCCAGATCCTCAGGAGTTCACTGTGAACGATGTACGACTGTGTGTGGGATCCAGGAGACTCCTCGACGTCATGGACGTAAACACGCAAAAGAACCTCCAGATGACCATGAAGGAATGGCAACAGTACTATGACAGTCCGCAAAAGGACCGTCTGCTAAATGTGATCTCGCTGGAATTCTCGCACACCCGCCTAGACAGGTTCGTTCAAAGTCCGGAGATCGTGCGACAGATCGATTGGGTGGACGTGGTGTGGCCCAAGCAGCTGAAGGACGCCCAGCGGGAGGGCACCAACCTGCTGGGCGGCATGATGTACCCAAAGGTGCAGAAATACTGCCTGATGTCGGTGAAGAACTGTTATACGGATTTTCACATTGACTTTGGCGGCACTTCCGTTTGGTATCATATCTTGAGAGGGAGCAAAGTATTCTGGCTGATCCCACCCACGGATCGTAATCTTCAGTTGTACGAAAAATGGGTTCTCTCTGGCAAACAGGCTGATGTTTTCTTTGGAGATACAGTGGAGAAGTGTGCCAGGGTCTATTTGACTGCAGGAAACACCTTCTTCATTCCCACTGGTTGGATACATGCAGTCTACACACCAACTCAATCCCTCGTATTTGGTGGAAATTTTCTGCATTCTTTCGGGATAGTGAAGCAACTTAAAACAGCAAGTGTGGAGGATAGTACGAAGGTGCCACAGAAGTTCCGGTACCCCTTCTTCACAGAGATGCTCTGGTATGTCCTGGCTCGCTATGTTCACACGCTGCTGGGTCACTCCCATCTGGAGGGTGAGGCATCGTTAAGCGAAGATGAAATGGCTGCCCGTCCTCACACCCACCTAACCCATCATGAGCTCTTTGGTCTTAAAGAGATCGTTATGTATCTGTACGATTTGCCGCCACAAAAGAAGAATGTACCCAGTTTGGTTCTGGATCCAGTGGCCTTGATTAAAGATGTTCGATCGCTGGTGGAACGCCACTGCAAGGATCAGCAAGATCTCGCCATTACTGGCGTTTCTGTGCTACAATCCCCACCGGGATCACAGCCGCCCTTCTTGCTTTACGACCGCACACGGGTGAAGCAAGAGATAAAACAGGAAATAGCGCGCAAGAATGCAGAGGTTATACGGGAACAACAGCAATTGGAGGCAGGTAGAGCTAGGGAGGCAGAATCGGATACTTCTCAATCCACTGGAGTCGGATCTGCCATCGGAATGGGGGCTGGAATCGAGTACAGTAATGGAGTGATGAAGAAGGAACAGTTGGAGAACGGTAGCGGAGTAGCAATTGGTGGAAATGGATCGCAGCCAGGTACGTTTTTCAATGGTATTTTACTTAGAATGATCAATAATGATGTTACTTTACAGAGGCCACCTTTGTTCTACCAACCGACACGCTTAAGTATCGCCCACCCAAGAAGATGCATTTGGCCACTGCGTTGGTGGCAGCTGCCGCTAGCAGTAGCAATGGAGGATCCGGTGGCTCAGTAGGAGGAGGCGGTGGATCTGCAGTCGTGGGGAGCAGCCATAGTCCCACCAGTGGAGGCGTGGGTCCTGCTCCAGGAGCTGCCGGCGCCATCAGTGTCATTGCCACCAGCTCCACTTACAGTGAAGGAGGAGCAGTCGGCGGAATTCTCACCATGGACAATTGTCATTCTCCAGGGGATGGTGGTGCGAAGCTGTCGCCAAATCTGACTGGCACCGGACAACCACGTCGTCGTAGGACGCGCTGCAAGAACTGTGCCGCCTGTCAGCGTTCCGACTGCGGAACGTGTCCCTTCTGCATGGACATGGTGAAGTTCGGTGGTCCTGGCAGAGCCAAGCAAACGTGCATGATGCGACAATGTCTATCGCCCATGCTGCCGGTCACAGCGCAATGCGTTTACTGTCACCTGGATGGCTGGCGCCAGACACCAGTTTCGCCTCAGACCAAGCAGCTTGCTTCCGCCGATGGGCCCTCGGCACTGATGGAGTGCTCCGTTTGCTACGAGATCGCCCACCCGGATTGTGCACTCTCACAGTTGGATGGAACAGAGGATGCAGCGGATGCCAAGGGCATCGTAAATGAGGATTTGCCAAACAGCTGGGAGTGTCCTAGCTGCTGTCGTTCGGGTAAAAACTACGATTACAAGGTACTACTTCAGCTCTATTTGAAAGACGTTTACTAATCCTTACTAATTTTCCTCTACAGCCCCGTCACTTTCGTGCACGTCAGAAATCCTCCGAAGTGCGTCGCGTATCAGTCTCTCATGGTCCAGGAGGAGGCGCCGATGGCCACGCGGAAGGAACTCCATTGCTGCCGCCCCCGGTGGGCCAGTACAATGACTTTGTTTTCACCAGTGAGTCTGAGATGGAAACCGGCACGGCCAGCGGCCACATGACCCACTGGAAACATGGAATGAAGCGCCACCACCAGTTAGAAGTTAAAACGGAGCGGAGTAATTACTGTGACCCCCCATCGCCTGTAATCTCACCCAGCGCTGGGAGCGGTGAATTCAAAGTAGGCAAGCGGAGCAAAAGTGATGATGGAACCTGCGTTAGTAGCACCATGCATGAGAGTAATGATGCTCCATGTGGCTCCTCGGCGGAGGGGGCAGGAGGAGCAGGTACCACCAATACATCTACCCATCAGTGGAGCGGCAGTGGCGGAGGAGGTGGCATTCGAAAGAAGAATTCAATACGATCGCAGCTGGCTCTGCAAATGCTGTACTCGTCGACGCGAGTGCTTAAGAAACCTCAGTATGTGGTGCGTCCAGCAAGTGGAACCGGCTCCTCTTCGTCCAGTGGAAATGGTGGCAGTACATCCGCCACCAACGGAACCAGCAATGGCAGCAATCAAAGCGGTAACAACTCCAGCGGCAACGGAGAGCGAGGAACCAATAACGGTGGATTGAGTGGCTCGAATGGCTTGGGTAATCAACACCACAGTTCAACTCAAAATCTGGCATTGGATCCCACTGTGCTGAAGATAATATTCCGATATCTTCCGCAAGACACTCTGGTCACATGCTGTTCAGTGTGCAAGGTATGGTCCAATGCGGCCGTTGATCCTGATTTGTGGAAAAAAATGAATTGCTCCGAGAACAAGATGTCAGCATCTCTCTTGACAGCGATTGTGCGCAGACAGCCGGAGCATTTGATTTTGGACTGGACACAAATTGCCAAGCGACAGCTGGCGTGGTTGGTGGCTCGCCTCCCTGCCCTCAAGAATCTCTCGCTACAAAACTGCCCCATTCAGGCAGTGCTGGCTCTGCACACCTGCCTTTGTCCACCGCTCCAAACCCTGGATCTCAGCTTTGTAAGGGGGTTGAATGATGCTGCTGTAAGGGACATCCTTTCGCCTCCAAAAGATTCGCGACCTGGTTTGAGTGACTCGAAGACACGGCTTAGGGATCTCAAAGTGCTGAAGCTGGCTGGCACGGACATCTCCGATGTGGCAGTGCGCTACATCACCCAGTCGTTACCATACTTGCGGCACCTAGATCTCTCCTCCTGCCAACGGATCACGGATGCGGGCGTGGCGCAAATTGGAACCTCCACCACTGCCACTGCCCGTCTTACGGAGCTAAATCTGAGCGCCTGCAGGCTCGTCTCTGAGAACGCTTTGGAACACCTGGCCAAGTGCGATGAGCTAATCTGGTTGGATCTGCGTCATGTGCCCCAAGTGAGCACCCAATCGGTGATCCGATTTGCGAGCAATTCGAAACACGATCTGTGCGTCAGAGACATCAAGCTGGTGGAGCGGAGGCGTAGGAACTCGACGACAGTGGCCAGAAGCTGGCACCATGACTGAGGAACTGGCACCTGGAGGAGGTCCCAAAAATCTTATTCATATGAATTAGGACAGTACACTTTCTAAGCCCCATCCTCATACCATAAATCCCAAATCCCTCGCCGGAATGCAAGCCAAAGAGAGTCGTCGAGCCCTTTGCATTGCATGTGTTTATGTCAACAGAAAAAAACTAGTCAGAGATTAGAGTCCGCTTCCTTTTTTCCGATTGCGATTTGCCTCTTTAAGGTCACTGATTAGAATGTTTGATAACAACCGAATTAACTTCAGCTTCTGTGAATATCGAACATTTCTTTTTCAAAAATTTAATCACTTTTAGTGTTTTTAAGAGCACAGATAAATTAAATATTTATGTTAAAGGTTTTATATATTCAAGCATTGTAATTCTCGTTTTCTGAAACCACTTAGTGCAGTGGAAAGGGCTAAGCTTCGGTATTTCCGAAGTTAGATGGCAGCCATCCTCTCCGAAACCCCTTTTTTACACGTAGCCACAACCCTCACACTTGGACTTAGCGTAGTGATTAAGATTAGCATTCCCGCGATGGTAATTACATTTAATCAGTGTCATATATTTAAGTAGGCAGGACGAGTTACAAGTTAGAGAACAGCACTAGGTGCACCCATCCAGCTTAAGTAGATCCAGCTCGCACAGCAACTAAGAATCACATGCAGTGCGTTTCGGGACTGTAAGAGCAATGCAACCAAATGATAAAACCGATTTTATTTGATTGTCGAAACCCTTTTTAAACTTTCTCAAAATTTGGCCTTAATCGATGCAATTAAATCTCGAGTTGCTCTAAAACGATCTTACAGTTCGGAATCCCACTGTATCAGCGCTAACGCCGCACATAGTCGATAAGTCAACCTGCCAAGCACCCTAAGAACCCTCTCCCTCCCACTCCAGTAGCAGTTAAAATAGTGATAACGTTGCAAAATCATATATTTGAGAGCATGTAAGGTTAATACAAGTACGCGCATACTTATATTTAATGTTTTACAGAATTACATTACAAATATAGAATAATGTTTCAAGAATCTCTTAGTACTTTGAGGATTTGTAATCGGGTTCATCACCACCACCGCCACCGCCTCCATCCTTGGGCAATTTTCGCTTTTGAATTATTGTCTGGAAAGAATAGTGAAAATATATTTTTTGAAGATCATGAATTAGTCAATTCTGATCTACGCACCTGTATCTTCTGCCACTCCCTATCTAGCTCGGCCTTCTCATTCTTCTCTGTCTTGTTCTTACGTGTCTTCCGACCGTCCTGCATCTTGACGCCGTACTGAAAGGCGGCCTTGGGCAGGGCCTCCTTGGTGCTCATATAGTCGGAGTATTCTTCTTGTGTGTCAAAGTCCCACCGTCCGATAGGCCCCTTCTTATTGCCGAGATCCATCTTGGTGTAGTCCACCTCATCATCCGAGTCATCGATGGCATCATTCATCTCCTCCAGTCCCGGGTAGCACTCGGCATAGCCTTCGGGTTCGGCGAAACGTGAGGCCATAGCCTTTGATATCTTGGGTGGTGGGGGAATACTGGATATTAGCGGCTCTTCTGCCGCCTCGGGCGGACCATCGCCGAAGTAGGAGGTTGCAGGCTTTCCTTGGTCTTGGCGATTTCGATCTCCTCTAGAGGCGGTGGGCTGATAGTCTCCAATATCGTCGTAAATGTTATCGCCCAAAGGAGCAGATTTTCCTTCCTTGGCTGAAGATGAGTTGGTGTGGCGACTGCTGCCACCACCACTAGATGCTCCCCGAACGTTTTCCACCTCCTTTTCATAAAAAAGCGGCTTATCCTTGTCGCGCTTCTTGTTTTTCTTGTTGCGACCCCCGGCACGTAGATAGCTCAGGATTTGTGAAAGTTTGTTGATGACTATATCGTTGGTGGTTAGCGTGGCGACATCCTCCCGTGCCACCGGCACCTCAAACTTTGAGCGCTTCAGTGTAGTCGGTATATCCGATTCACCTAGCTCATCATCCAGATCAATAACATAGGCCATCCGACCGGGAGCAAAGAGTTCATTCCGAGGAACTTCCTTTGATCGACGTGCCTGGACAAGATTGTAAATATTGCGGGCCAATGCACCGTTGATAGCATTTATGTCCTCCGACTCTCGGCGTTCTGCTTCCAATTGCTCGGCGGCGGCAGCTGCTTCGGCCAGCTTCTCCCTGGCTACTGCGGCGGCGATCTCCTCCTCTTCTGCTTCTTTGGAGTGCAGCTCGGAGCGTACTTTCTGCAGCAGGGCATAATCAAGACCCTTCACCAAATGCGTATGTTGGATGTCGCCACCCAAGAACTTGGACTCCTGAATGATCCGTCTCCTTCGCTCCTGCGCATCGATTCCGGATTTCATATCTGGAGCTACGGCTCGATAGGCATTGGTACTACTTCCATGTCCCGGAGTGCTGACATTTACGTAATCCGGGTTGGCTCCATCACGTCGTTCTCGTGCTCGGTCCCTGTACTTTTCCGATAGTTCCAGCAACTTTACATCTTCCTGCTTTTTGAGTGCCGCATAGAAGTTCTTCTTTTTGCGCCGCAGATCGTTCCGTTCGCTGCTGCTTTGCCCCTTCTTCTTTTCACCACTCGATCCTGTCGAGCCTGGGGCCGTAGTCGGCGTAGCAAAAGTAGCTGTGGCCAGGGATCCTCCGCCGGAAGTACTGGTTGTTGCGGAGCCAGGAGGCGGAGCTCGGGGCGTGGCCAGCAGCTTGCGGAAGTCATCGTTTGTCAATCTTACCGAGGGAGGTGCTTCCAAGTGGGCATCCGACATGGCGGAAGAGGTACCACGAAAATTTGATTGGAAAAATGTCTATTTACAAATTATGCTTCTTCTTCCTGGTATTCCTCGCCAGGGTTGTCACGTTGCTGGTGTGGTGAATCGATTAATGCCCAGCTGGGGCCGATAACATCCGAGGTTTAGCTACTTTTCCGTTAAATCTCGCTAGTTTTTTAAAAGTAAAAAAAAAAAAAATTGAAATTGCCATATTTTCGTTTTATATAATTTAAATTAAGTTTTATTTTATAATTTATAGTTTAAAACAGTTTTGCTGCTTGACACATTTAAATAATATCTAGCGATTTCTATGATCGCAGGAGCGATAATCAAATTTGGCAACTCTGATGACAAGCCTGATAACCATTTGATATTATTATTGTTTTATGGGAAATGCAGCAATTTCTAAAAGAGCTACCCAAAGTAGAGCTTCATGCTCATCTCAATGGCTCTCTGGGCATTGAAAGTTTGCGCGATCTCGGGGAGAGATTGTATGGAACAGCATCCCAAGAATTTTTGGATCTGTGCGCGCGCTTCAATCGATTGGAAAACAATTTGGATGCATGGTTCAAGAAGTTTTCATTTGTCCACGAGCTGACATCCACAACGGAGGGTCTGCGATTTGCTACGGAGCTGGCGGTGCGGGATTTTGCCAAGGATAACGTGCAGTATGTGGAACTGAGAACTACTCCCAAGGCGAACGGAAACTATTCACGGATGGATTACTTGCAAATCGTGATCGATGCGATTAAAGGAGCAAAGGAAAAGTATCCAGATATTCTGGTCAAACTTTTACCTTCAATTAATCGTGCGGAACCGGTGGCTGTGGCTGAAGAGACCGTTTCCCTGGCTGTAGAGTTAGCCCAATCCCATCCAGATATTATCTTCGGGATGGATCTAAGTGGTAACCCAGCCCACGGAAGATTTTCAGACTTTGCTCCTATTCTTGCCCAGGCTCGTGAAAAGGGACTAAGACTAGTTATACACTGTGCAGAGATCGAGAATCCTTCAGAGGTGACTGAAATGCTGCAGTTTGGAATGTCCCGCTGTGGACATGGAACCTTTCTGGCCCCCGAGGAAATTGATCAACTGAAACAGCGGAATATAGCCATCGAATGCTGTCTCACAAGTAATGTGAAATCGGGAACAGTGTCCAGTTTGGAGGAGCACCACTTAAAGAGGATCATGGAGGCAGATGCACCAAAAGTTATTTGCACAGACGACAGTGGCGTATTTGATACCACCTTGTCTCAGGAATTTCTGCTGGCTGCGGAAACCTTTGGACTAAGTAGGGAACAGTGCATTGCCCTGACACTGGAGGCAGTGCAACATTCATTCGCTAGCGAACAGGAGCGAAGGCAGATGAAGGAAAAGGTCGAAACCTACGCGGCATCCTTGAAAAATTAATTGACAACAAAGGCATAACAAACGTCTATCAACTTTGAATAATCCTCTGATATTATGAGATATTATTGTGATTAAAAATAATTAATTCATTAAAAATAGAAAATAAATGTCATGATTCTTTTACCTACTTTTAAAATTGTCCATTCAATTTTCAATTTTCGAATCTTAAAAACAAATGTCTAGAGTTCCGCTTTTAATATCATTCTTTTATTCAATATGTAGAAGTATTTAGTTACAAGTTTTTTATTAGTTATGTTCATCCATCTTACGTACATATGTGGCTAATAAGTTTTTATGCTTTTCTCATTTAATATCATTCATAATTGAATTCAAGTTCTGTTATTATAGATTCTTCTCGCTTCTGCTTTTCCGAGTGGCTTAGTTGGGGTTTAGGCATTCAAAATACAATGGAGTACAAGCATTGGTCAATAGCGGGCTTCCTAGCTGCGTCAAAGTGAAAGTGGACGATCAAAGTCTAAAGGAATCTTTTGAAGATTTATAAAATCAAATATATATATTTATATTTGACACCAAATTTTGAAACAGAAACTCTTTGAAGTTGGGTATTCATCTTTATAGTAGGACCCTCCACTTACCTAAGTTTGCAGATTTCAGTTTGAAGTTGTTTGCCTGCCTGGTATTCCCTATATACAGTTTAACTATATTTGTTTTATACTTTTTAGTTTAAGGTTTAAGTTTTTCTGCTGCTTTTCTACATGAGTTTTACTACTTGTATCCAGTTCATCATCTTTCAAAGTCGTGCTAAACAAGGAACGACCAACTTAGGAGTTTATGGATTTCTCATTTATATCGTTTAGAAATATTACTACCCCAAACTTGAGAGTTCAATTACAAATCTATATTTATATATATTTATATAAAGGTTTACATTTCTACAATTTTGGAAAAATTCTACTAGTTGAAAATGGGTATGGTATGGATTTAGCTGTTGCTGTATTCGATTTGGTTGGGCATAAGGTTTTCATTTTGGGTATTATTGTTTTTTTAAATATGTATAATTTTGTTAAAATTTACGGCCTGGTAAAAGTTTAGCTTGCCAAGGCTGATAAAAAAATATGTCTTGTTTACTTACTGGCTCATTATAAAAGTCGATCATTTGTTTTGGGTATACATATCATATAGACAGCTAGCCTGTTCATATATAAAAAATGCGCCGTATAAAATGCCTCGAACTTTGCGCTCACTTTTGGTTGTGCCATTTTTTGTTTTCTTTTGGAAGGGCTATAGGTTAAGGGTTAGTGTATATTATTTATCTATATTTATCTTCAATGTAATGCTATGCTCTTTAATTGCATGCCGTATTTGTAATATCAATTTTGATTTCAGATTTTTGTAGTCATCGCAGCCTTCCATTGAAGCCAATTAGTTGAAACTATGTGTGTGTGTGTTTTGGGTGTGTGCACTTTCGGAGTGTATAAGATGAAGAACCAATTGAGAAATAAAACGTTTGCTTTTTGCTACATAATAAACTTGTTTTATTTTTTTCACAAAGAAATTAGCATTAATCGTATCTGTATAATAATAATAAACATAAGAGTCTAATGCATAGTTAAATCAAATGCTCGAATGCAATGCTGTCCAAAAATTTAGTTATATACTCGTAACTTGTGCCAATTCGCTCGCCGTTTACAAAACTAAAGGTTTCGCTCTGTTTTTGTTTTTTGTATTTTTTGTATACTTGAATTTCTCCGTGTGTTCGAGAGTGTGTAACTACAAAATATTCTCGTAATTAATTAATTACTGTATATTTATATTTATATGTATGTATATGCTTTAATATTTATATATATATTTATATTTATATATATAATTTATAGTTTTACTTGACGCCAGCTCTAGCACATGCCATGCCTTTGAAATTTCCGCCATCCTTCGCTCTGTCCTTTCTTTTTACAACAAATTACAAATGGTTTTTTTTATTATTTAGAGTATGGTTTTTAGCTATGTCCTTAGCTTAGTTTACAAGGTTCTGCTGTCGAAAAAATTTTACAAATTTCTGCTTCTGCTTCTGCTGTTTATATTTTTATATATTTACTTTAAATATTGGTTATCTTTAGGCCTTTCTTTTTCTTCCACTATTGGGCTTTATTTTGTTTTGTTTTTTTTTTTACAATTTAGTTTTGCGAAAAAATTCAAACAAATTCGCAGCCGGGTATTGTTTGTTTGTTTGTGGTTGCAAATTCAAAATGCCAAAATGTTTGGCATACAAAAAATGCTTGCTCGTTTTACGTTTACAAGTTTACAGGGAGTTCTCGTACAATTTTAAGTTATATTGTTTACAATTGTGGTTGTTAAATGTTGCTCCTTTTTTGTTTTTAACTGGAATTTGCTTTAGGTTTTCTTATTTTTGTATTTTTTATTTAATTTAGTTTTTGACTTGTATACCCAAGTGCTTTACATGCGTGCAAAAAATTGTTACTGTAAAAACTGGGCGTGTGTAGAATACGCCATCAGCTTACGTGTAAATTTCACTGTGCCACAGCACTTCCGCTACTCTACACATGTATTTTACATATACATTTTTTGTTTTTTTCTTTTGTTTTGTTTTTAAAAACGTTTGCCTCACGTCAAGTTCAAAACTAAGTGTAGTACATAACTCTATATGCGTGTATATATGTATGTTTAAATATTTATAGGGATTCGCTGGCTTACACTAACTACTAACAGCTAAGCAGCTCGCTGTGTCCTGTGTCCTGTGTCTGTGTGTGTGTTTGTGTTTGTGTCTGAGTGTGGTGTAGTGTCCTGTGTGTATTTTACACGTCAAATGTACACGGCGTGTAGCAATGTGTTTAGTCTACAGAAAGCATCTCTACTTGCATTGTTCACTCCGTATCGAACTCGAGAATCCTAAATACAATGTTCATCTATGGATTATTTAAATTAAAATTATCAGTGCATTGCGCTCTAGAGACAGGCAGTTGACAAGTTAATAACTAAAAATACCAAACAAATAATACCGAGCCCTGCTTGCGCCGTCGCTTGAAATGCGCTCACTTGTACAGAGACAGGATAATACGGGTGTAAGGTTAGTTTATATCTTATGTGTTATGAAGGGAAATGTATAATGGATAATTGTTAATGTGGGATGTGTGTTTATGTTGCGGGTGGGGGTGGGAAATGTACAGAAAATTACAAATGTTCAATGACTGGTATCCTTTGCTTGTTATATACAAAATACGACAACGACGACGGTGACGACGATGACGACGACAACAACAACGACGACACGACAACGAATTTGTGTGTACAAAAATATGCATAATACACTTTACATTGATCTCCAAAAATTGTTTTACATTGGATTTTTGTGTGTTTCGACGAAACCGACAAAAAAGTCTAAATTCGTTTTTCTTACCATCTCTCTTTCTCTCTATCGTTTTTTTTTCTCAGTATTTTCAGTATTTTAGTATTTGGAATAAGGCGTCGCGAAGTAATCTAAATTTATATCAAAAATGTACAAAAATTCTTGGTATTGTTACTTTTTACAATATTCGTTCGTATGTATACATATACAATTTGTTTTTGTTGTTTGAAATTTACAAGTGTGTTCTTCGATGACATTTTTAAAAACAATTTTATACACTTAAGTGAAAAGGTAGGGTGGTTGGGGATGTGGTTATTTAAATATTTCATATTTTGCCGCACAGCGAATGCATTTCAAGCTTCGCAGGGAGCACAAGCGCTTTCTTCTGTCTAAACATAACAAAGTTAACTCTCCAACTGATTTCTCTCAGTGTTCAGTGTGTTGAGAAAACATAATGTTGATTTTAAATCATATTTATACATATATCATACATTTAAGGTGGGCTAGCAAAACGTAAAAAAAATAAGGGAGTGTGTATGTCGGTAAATTTTGAAAAAAAAATTGGCTTTATTCTGATGGTTATAGTTTTAAAATCCAATTTATAATCAGTTTTTTGGGCTTACTTAGCTAACAGGTTCTTTTAGCTGGCGATGACAACCCTTCGAAATCCTTGCAGATCTCCGATGAGAGGCCATCAACCAGCTAATAAATGTATAAAATTATAAATACATGCGTGCTTTTTAGAATAGAATAGATGTATGAGTTACTTGCGACTTAAAAAAAATTTACAAAATATAGTATGTATACATTTTACAATGAAACATTTGAAAATTACATGGTTTACATATGGTTGGTTGTTTGGGTTTTTTTTTATACAAAATTTTTACATAGTGCAAAAGCAACGTGAATGGGCTGAAGAGTAGTCGTTCATTGTGTGGGTGTAGTGTAGTGGTAGTAGTGTAAGTGTGGGCGTGAGAGGGCGTGGGCGTGTCTCGTGTGTGTCTCTGTTTTCATTGTGTTTTTTGGTAGCTGCTGGCTCCAAAAACAGTTTTTACTCTACATTCTACACTAAGTGTGGCTTCTGCTGTTAATCCCTCGTTTCTTTTTTATATTTATTTATATATATATATATGTGTGTGTGTGTATGTATATTTGAAATGGTTCCTCTTTCCGCACTTTATAAATTCTAGGCTCATTCATGCAGCCCGCTTGCTCTTCTTCTACATTCTACATTCTGCATTCTTCAGCTCGTTGGCTCTCCTTCTTCTTCTTCTTCTTCAGTTTGTCCTCTTATTAATTTACAGTCGAAACATTAATCATTTACAAATAGACTTGCTATATAATAATCATTAATTTATACAAAGTTACAACGAAAATGTACGCAGACAAAATTGTTTCCTTGACATTTTACTTTACATTCATTGTTTGTGTTTTATCTTCTTTCTTATTTTGCGATTTAAATAACACCTTTTGTGTGTATGTGTGTGTTTGTTTTTTATGTTTCTATTTTACAAATTAAATATGCGAGCGCATTGTACAAATATTTTGAAATCTTCTTCCGTGAGAGTGTTATTATTTTTTGTTCGTAAAAATACAAATTTGCTTTTTAGTTTTAGCTTTATAGCTTTTGCCATTATGGTTTTCCCTTTTTGTTTTTCTAGCTTGGCGCATTTTGTGTGTTTGCTTTCTTTTTAACTCTTTACAAATCTTCGAGAGCAGCTCCATTAATCGCTGCCTTTTCAATAAATTAGTTTACATTTAGATGTATCTTTTGTTTGTTTATGTTTTAGCTCTACAGCTCCTAAAAATCTATACTGCGATTCGAGAAGGAAGTTTCCTTTGACTGCCTGGTTTTACTTTTCTTATTTTCTTTTGTTATTCTTCTCTTACAGCACAACGTTGCCGTTGGTCGGTGGTCCGATGGGACCCAAGCCGCTGTTGACAGCCCCTGATACCACCGAGGATGAGGATTCGGAGGCATCCGGGGAAGAGGGCTCCACGATCATGGCGCTGCCGTTCTCCTGCACCGAGCAAATAGTGGGTGAGGCCAAGCTGTTAGTAGTGCTGGTTGTGGTGGTGCTGCTGCCACTGGTGCAAGCGGTTGCCGATGCCGAGGTGGCACCACCGCTAACTGCCACCGCTGACGAGGTTGCTGGCACTCCACCAGCTCCTCCGGTGCCCACCGTTATGGGATTGGTTATCTTCATGTAGTACTTCTCCAACTTGGCATTGATGTGCTTGCCATAGGTGTACTTGCGCAAGGCGGCCATGTGTGGCCGGATCTTGGTCATCAGCTTCTTAAGCTGCGTCGGCTCTGAAACATCGATCATCTTTTGGACCACATAGTTGGCATACTGATCCTTCATCATCACGTGCAAAGCGCTGTTAAGGAGGAAAGTATAATTTAGTTAAGTAATGTTAATACTAATCCAATTTCCTTTCACTCACTTGTCGTTGAAGGTGCAGACCTCGTCTATAAGGCCAGTGCGTTCGCCACGTGTGGCATGGGTTACGCATTTCTCCACCACATTTGAGGCGAATTTGTGCTGGGATAGCACCAGAACCTTGCCACGCACGCTGTTGATCAGAATGGACTTATCCTCCTGCTTGCCGTGTTCTATTAAATGCAAAGAAGATTAGTTAAAGTCAGGAAGATAATATAAAGATCTAGGATCCACTTACCCAGCACATGCTGAATTACATAGTTGCCATATTGGTCCTGGATCAACTGTTCGGTGTGCTCGTGCAGTTCATCCAAAATGGGAGTGGTCTGTTCGGCGGTGCAGTGCTCGAGGATCCTTTGGATCACCCGGCAACCGTAGGGATGGGTGCTCAGCGAGTAGACTTGACCCTTGAATGCATTAATGATGAACTGCAGGGCTACGGGATCCACACATTCAATACATTTCTGCACGACATGATTGCCATTCTGATCCTTGACACACTTCAGCACATGTCCGTCCAACTCGTGCACGATCTCCTGCTGCTGCTCCGGCGAGATGCTTTCCAGAGCCTTTTGAATCACTCGACAGCCGTACATTTGCAGTGCCAGCTGCAGCACATGACCCTTGACCTGCATGCCCAGCGTATTCTTTTGCTCGGGAGTGCCGAACTCAAAGAACTTCTGGATGACATAGTTGCCAAAGACATCGGTCATCAGGCTATAGGCTGCTGCCAGGATCTCACTGAATACCATTTGCTTCTCAGCAGCTGTGGCACGCTCCAACTTCTGTTGAATGAACCGCGAGCCGTGCTGATCCTGTGAGAACTCCACAATGTGGTTGACGAGATCGCGTAGCTGGAGATTCGGATACCGCTGATTGCGGAAGTCCTCGAGAAGGCGAGATCTTCCTGGCTGTGGGGCTCCGCCCACTCCGCCAGCAGCCGCTGCCACTACCGCCGCTGCTGCTGCTGTGGCTGCCACCTGACGCGAATTGGCTGCCGCAGCTGCTGCTGCTGCCGCTGCCACGGCTGCAGTACCCGGAATGGCCAGGTGATTCGAGAACAGTGAGCTATTCGATCCGAACATATTGTTGGCGGCCGCTGCCACTGCTGCCTGAGCAGCCGCTGCAGTTGCCGGCAGACCAACGGCGGCCAGTTGCTGTTGCTGTTGTTGCTGCTGACGTTGGCGAGATTCGGCTCCAGGTGCCCGATTGCCCAGGAGGCAGGATTGTGCCGATGGCGGCGGTGTGAGTGGTGCGCCCAACGGACTGGCCGAGGCATTACCCGCTCCGAGGGCTCCATAGGCTCCACTGGCGGCTCCCGACATTGCTCCCTGCCACTTGCCACGCGCAGCGGCGGCTGCTGCGGCCGCTGCTGCTGCCTGGGCCACTGTGCTGTTTACCGCATTGGCAGCTGCTGCCACACCACTGCTGGTGTAGTCCATGGTCGAGGGACTGAAGGCGGAGGTGCTGCGGTCGAAGGAGTCGCGGCGGCCCGTCAAAGAGCTTGTGTTTAAGGCGAGTCCTGTAAAAAAAAGAGAAAACATTAGAGATTGGTTAGGAGAAAAATATATTAAAAGTAGTATAACAGTTTTTAGATAATAGCTTAGTTAAAAGAAGATCTTAAAGACCTTAGAAGAAGCATCTCTTAGAAGTTTCCCAGATCCACCAGTCCATCTCTCATCACTCAATCCCAGCAGTGACAATCAATCTGGAAATGGAAAATCGAAGACCCATAAACCTGGGCCGCAGTTTCAATTCAGTTTACAATGGGACATCAACTGGATGATGCTGCCCCAGAGATAGATATATATAAAACTCTGACGCAACTGTACCATTATCCTTTGCCGTGCTTTGTAATTAATCGAGAGAGAGGCGGCAGGAGGCGACTTTGATGCGCCTGTAAAACTTAATTGCCCGCTTCAAGGCGCAGCTGTTGGCTTAGTTTTAGTCACTTGGCCATTTGGCATTTGCAATGAGCATGGCAAAGCAGAGGATAGATGTCTCTTTCCCCTTTCCCATACCCATCGCCACTCCAACGGAAATCCATCTCTCTAAGCCATAATGTAGAGCATTAATGGTGCGCGCACATGAGGCTGGGTCTCTGCTTGCAATCTCTGAGAGGATATGTAAAAGGATACAACTGGGCGGAAACAATAAGTGGATGTAGTTGGGTGGAAGACGGTGCCAACTTGATTGATGTTGTAATCTGTCACTGGCATTTGATTTGCCATCCACACAGAGGGATAGAAGAGAGTACGGAAAGCCAGACATTGAAAGATTTGCAGGCATCTCTCGTATATTCCCTGCAACCAATGATCCGGAAATGTGCGACTCAGCGAAAAGCGAAAGTTCCGGCTGCAAGCTTTTGACCATAAATAAATTCCCTCTCAACCCTCTCGAATTTCCTCCCTTTACCAATTCTGCTGCATTTTGGTTGACCGGGAAAACTGGATCTGCAAATTAATTGCTCAAATTTATATTAAGGGGGCAGCCGACAGCCATAAACGTGGCATGGACACATTAAGTTATTTAACTACTAATGCAACAGCAGCAGCAACGACAGCTGCGCAAAAGGGTTGCAAAATTCCCAGTTGCCTTCAGGTGTATTTGTGGGTGGTCTTGCCAAAGCCCCTGTGCTGAGTGTTTTCCGAGGGTAAAATGGAAAGGGGAAAGGGAAGGAAAGGAAAAGCGAGTGTTGTAAATGTCAACACAGTGTGCGCAATTTGTTGACCGAGTTATTAAGCAATTTGTTGAAAGTTGCGGAATGGTGTTGGTAAATAATATACAATGTTAGTGTTTGTTTCTCGAAAACTAAAGTGGAGCAGTGTTAGCAGGTGTAACGAAGAAATCGATAGTTGAAGTAAAATGTTGAAGAAAATGTCTCAATTTTGTGGAGAGGGAAAAGCATTTCTTTAACATTTCATTATTTTAAGTAATCTTTTTAGAATCTTAAAGTATTTCGCATTTAAAGCTCTCTGAGCAATTAAAGTGCGGCTGCGTTTCCGTTACTTTGAAGCGGCTGGCGCTTTAGCACTAATTACATTTCATATAATGCCCCCTTAAACCGCTTTTTTCATAGCCTACTTAACAGCGCTTACAAAGTTGCCCGAGCCGAGAATAGTTTTTACCCAGGACACCCACACCCGCCCAAACGACCTTTCTTCTCTCTCGACATTTAAATGACTCGCAGTTTTAATGCGTTTTCACTTTTTTTTCCCCCTCTGCTTCTTTGCATTGTGTGAAAAAGGAGCGACAAAGATGGATATATGTGGCAGCGACGTGGGACGTGTGCATAATGTGCACGTGTGTGCATTTATAATTCATAAAATCATTACATTAAGCTAAGGACGAGCGGCAAAGTGTCGTCTAGTGCCGTCTCCCTCTCTGGTTGCCGCTCTACCGCTCCCTTTCTATTTGCGGAACGTGTGCATAAACCACAGAATGTCGCCTGCAATAAACTTGGCGTCTTTTAATGCCACCCACCGCCCACGCACAGAATCAGCCATGGCTTCAAATGCACAGGAAAAATAAGGGATCTAGATAGTGGATTTACTTTTGGGTTAAAAACTAAGATACTTAATCTGTTTACTAGAGTAAAAATTAAATGTTTTATAAGTTGAAAACATCTTTGATTTTAGTTCAACATTTCCATTCATAAAAATCATTCTAAAGACTTTCTCATTTCTTTTGAATTTAAAATAATATTAAATAAGTCTTAGGTAAGTCAAATTTCTCTTAATTATTTTCTTCAGTGTCCCACATGGCTGCAGTTTCATTTGGCAAAGTGTCTCCCCAATGGAGGGCTGCCCTCTCACTCCGAGATGATTTGAGCTGAGACAGACGGTCGTCGTTGTGGTCGGGCGGGGCAATCTCTGAATTAGTAGAATGGGGGGCCACCATTTATGCATCTCCTCCACCAACCACTAGGACGGATGGTTGGCATTCCGCCCCGCACAAATTGCATGAATAATTCCCTTTTAAATTGTGCAACTACACGCACCTAACCGAAACCCTGAAACCCGAAAGCCCAGCCAATGTAACGCAGGCCCAGAAAATAAAATAAACAGACGGAAAACATACGCCAGTCGTTGGTGGAAAACTCCCATCGAAAACACTTTCCTGGATGCAAATTGTTTGTGTTTTTCCGCCGTCTGTATTTGAAATTTAGTCTTTCCCTTTCCACAGATTCTTCAGAGAGACTCACAGAGAGAGAGAGAGAGAGAGGGCGGCGAAGGAGGCGCCAAATTAGTTGCAATTTAAATTCAAGAATTACAAACTTTTGCCGTCTTTCCCGCTGGCTGTCATTAAACTAAGCATTTCATTCGGGATTTCCCATTTACTGCCAAGAACTTTTAGTTGCTGGCAATTAAGTTCCAGCAACTGTTGCCGACAGATAAAAGTTAACTTCAATTTCAATTCGATTTTCATTGCAAATATCAATCATCATTAAGTTGCAGTTTAAAATTTAAAAAAGTTTTACGAATTAATGTTGCCGAATTGATAGCAATTACATAACTAAAGGGTTAATGAACCAGATTAACATGCAATTAACAATGAACATTCTTGTAGATTTACACTTTTACATCAATCTGTGTTCATTTTTAAGTTGCGTCACGCATACGCCGTGTGGTCTGCACACATCATTGAGACTTTCATTAAGCGTAAAGTGTGCACAGGCACACACACACACGACCACCAACCTCCAACACCTCACAAACACCACAGCAAGTGTCAACCGTGTGCTGCATGTGATCCATTCAAACCCTACCCCCTTCCTTCCCCCTCCTATTAACCATTCCCCCTCATCAGCCATGTTCTGTGTTCTGTAAGCCAGCATAGCAATTGACATTTTACAAAATAAACGAATTCATTTGCACAAAAGGCTGCTGTTGCTGAAGGAAGAGAAGGAAGAGAGGGAGCTCTGCCTGGCAGGACGAACAATGTGGTGCATTGTATGCAAAGCGGTTTGGTGGTGGGTGGCAGCAGAGGCGGTCGCCTTTCACTTTTCCAGCACCCCTGTGTGATGCAATCACATGTTGCCAACATGCGAAAGGTGTACATAATAATTTAGCCGGCAAAGGAGGATGTTCCTGCTGCTATTGCTTCTGCTGCATCTGCTTCAGCTGCTGCTGCTGCTGCTACCCTCATTGTTTTCAAGGCAATACCCAAAATGGGTTTGGCGGTTGCAAAGTCAAGCAGCTTTCCGATTTTCCACCGCTTTCCTTTCCCTTACTTGCCATCAAACCAAGCCACATGCCACGTCCGCCCTTCTTCGAGCCAGGCCAAGGCGCATTAACGTTTGTAATTGCAGCTTGTCTCTGACGCAGAAGGGGATTCATTCTACTGATATCCCTCATCTCCCCTCCTGCCACCCGCCTCTTGGCCCACTCGTTCTCCTTCTGTCAGCCACTTAAAACAATATAATCTCCATTAAAAAGCCTTTTTGACATTGCACACAGTGAGACAGTGCGACAGGCAGACAGCCAGACAGATAGTCAACTAGAAAGAGGGTAACACGAGGGTGTTCACTGTACAGAGAGAGAGAGAGGAAGCATCGATTGCACAACATAATGAGTGGGCTGCTGATGAGGCTCTGCGCCTCATGTCTCATGGCTCTTCTACCTCCGGCAGATGTTAGTGGGGATTTGTGCCAGCGGAGGACAAACTGTGGGCGCCATGTGCTAATTGTAATTGAGATGCGAATGTGCAAGTGGAATTGGTTACACTTGGGGGAAAAGTGTTGGGGAAATTTAAGAAACAAATTGTTTTTCAAGGATAAAACTAGTTTAGATTGAATTTAAAGGCAATTAATGTGAAATTTCATTGAGTTATTAAACTTATTTATGTGAAAATTAATGAGAGGAAGCTGTAAGCTTAATCTTTTTCCTAACCAGCTTGATTTCATAAGCAAACCTTTTTAACTTTCCAACTTTCTCTCAGTGCATCTAATCCAAATTGGTAGTACAGCATATGCTGGTGGCTCTGTGAATGTGGCACACTCCTCGAGAGACCCTTAGCCTAATCACCTGGCATCATCACGGTTCTCCACGCAAAGCATGTCAGGACTTGACTTGCGGTCTCGAGAACGGATTGGATTCGATTGCGATTCCACTCGAATCCGAAAAGGGATTGCTTAACTGAAGGACTTCTCTGGGTTGCAGAACTTAAAGAGCTCAAGTTTAAAAATTCCAATGTTAAAAAACAATTTTCTGCGATACGTAAATGAACGAAAATGGGCAAAAAGAACGAAACAAAAAAAAAGGCAGTAAAAGAATTAAAATACGTAATCACTCATACGTCATGTGGAACAACAGTGTGGAAGAAGGAAAAACTGGAAACTTCATTAAACTGCCATATGAGGCAAAATGAATTAACGACATAATAATGCCCAGCTATCCGACCGTCAGACGGATTCGACTTCCATATTCCGGGGAAAATTCCCGTTCTGTTAATGGAAAGAACGTTTTTGCATGCGGTCGGTAGGTTGGGAAATAAAAACCGGTAGGTGGAAAGCGTAATAATTGATTTCGCCTGATTGTTAATGGAGTTAATGGACCTGTCCACGTCTGATGTTCGTCTGTCCTTCTTCTTTTTTTCCCCCAAGGAACTTTAATCATGTTCCATGTTTCCACGATTTAAGTTTGTTGATAGAAAACATATAAATCAACATTCTGTTTGCGAGTGTGTTTTTCCAACTACTACTCTCCCTTGGAGAAACTTTTCATTTGAAATTTGAGAGCTGGAGTAGTAGCTGTATCTCCATCCTCTACTTAAACTTTGTGCTCACAAAGTGTAAACTTTCGTTGCCTGACTGCAGTTATTAATTGTAATTTGAAATTCTATAAATCCACAACAATGCCGGACCAGCAACAAAGATAACATTTTCCTTCTAACATTTGCAGGTTTTCTATTGCAAATTGTTATTTTTCGGCAGTCACACACGGACAAACTATGCCAAAGTTATATATTTTGTAAATTGAAGAGCTTGAAATATAAGATTTGATATTCCTTTGGTGAAATTTTAAACTAAATCTATAAATTATTAAAAATTATATAGCCTTTGATTGTCTAGAAATGAGTGCTCTTGAGATTTCCTCAGGGTATTCCATAATATTTTCAATGCATAAACTGAGGATTTTCCACTGTGGAAATTCGAAACGTTTTCCCTTCATTTTCCTCCCACAATTTATATACGTATACATATATATATATATTCATATCTAGAGTTTTGGTCCCAACTCATCGCGTTACGTTTAAAATTGCATGAGTCAGAGAGTTGGTTGTTGTCGTTGCAGTTGCATTTTCGTTGAAGTTGAAAGCCGAAGTTTGCTGGAGAAGGAGCATTGGCAATAATAACATTTTGCGTGCTTGCATGCTATTGTTGTTAGTTTACTCCTCGATGGCTCTTCTGTGCATTAGATATGTATGAAAAACAGCAAAATTTACTGACACAAACAGTTGGTTTTCATGGCTCGCCATGGTGGTGTAAGTAAGTAATGCATTCTCGTCTAGGTAATGCTAGATTCATGTATGCCCTGTAATTGTTACTTGGGGAGCTCTAAATAGTTTGTTTGGGGAATAGAGAAAGGGTTTTGTTTTTGGTTTATATATATTTATATAGTTTACTATGTAACATAATAACATTCAGCCAAGGCAAAAGTAAATTTAACTTCCCTTTCTAACCCAAAATGCCTCAAAGTTCCCAATGTAGAGCAAAATAATCGAAATGAAAATTTGAAATTATTGTAAATTGCTTGAGTATTATTATTGCTTAGACTGGCAATGGAGCTGACAACTTGCCACAACTTACTACCCCCTCTAACACTCTCTGTTCTATTATTATTATTATTATTATTTAGACACATATTGAAAAGAGGCTTTTGGCAAGCTCGAATGTTTAGCTATTTACTTGCTGAGATCCTTTAAATACAATGAGAGCTGTTGTTAGATAAACAAAGATTAATGGCTATACATATACATACAGGAAAGGGGATTTTATTGAGGATGTTGATGATGCAGAAGAAGAAGAAGATGTGCCACATTTTACACTAATTACAAATTCTGTCACTGGACGAGATAAACGATTGATTTAAAACTCAACTTAAGTGCTAAATGTTTGGTTAAACCTTTAAAATGGAAAGCATTAACATAATTACATTACAAAAACTGTATAACTCATACGCAAGGTGGGCTGTTTGGTCCTCATAGATATAACTCATACGCTAGGTAGGCTGCTTGGACTTCATATACATTACTAATACGCCATGTAAACCATGATTACAGTTCACCTAACTCATTTTCCCCAACATTTTACCATAAAAATCGCTACTAGCGATGTTAAGAAAATAATTAAAAACACTTACCTCCAACACTGGAGCCATTCTGCTGCGAGTAGAGATTCTGTTGGGCCGTCTGTGGTTGCGGCTGATACAGCTGTGGGCCCTGCGGCGGCGGGGGACCGGCACGGGTGGCACCCGGGGGCACCAAAACGGGGGCGGGACTAACCAGACGCATGGGCGTGCCGGTGCGGGGTCCTCCCATCAGCAGGGAGCCCGTGTGATCGAGGAAGGCCGGTATGACCTGCAGCAGCATCGGCACAAGGATGTTATCACGGTATTTTACACGTTTCGGATTTCGTTTTTTTGTACAGAGGTTAGAGTTCAGTTTTGTTGTTGTTGTTGGTTATGGAAGCGTGTTGTTGATGATGTGAGTGTAAAAAAAAGAGAAAAGAAGAGAGACAGAGCATAAATATACAACGTTTTAGGTCCACTTAACTAGTTAATGTAAACAAATTACAAAGGGAAGCTTTTACATTATTGTACACTTTATTTTAGTTTACAAATGTACAAATTGAAATCTTATTGCTGATTATTTTCTAATATTTTGCTATTTAATAAAGTTTCCTAACTATCTTTATAGTTTCTTGAATTTTAGGCAGATAAATATCCAAGTTATTAAAGTTAAAAATCAATTTCCCAATGACAAAGGTGTTAGGTTACCATTAAGCTAAGTTTTCCAAGTTAATAAAGCCTAAACCTTGATTCTTGTGCCCGCGATTGTTGGACGCTTTCCTACAATCACTTGACTCCTGTCACATGTACACCTCTACTCTGCATGTACACGGAATGCTTCCAACAATGTGTCCAACATTCCCAAACAGCAATGATGCGGGATGATAATGTCTATAGCTATGGATATATATCTCACCTGATACGGCTGATTCTCGGCACCCTGCTGCGAGGGGGTAATCGGACGACGCGGCTGCGTTCCCTGTTGCGGAATCAGATTGCCCGGATACATGCCCCAGGGCGCTACGCCGTAGTATTGCGGCATCTGGGCGGCAATCATGCCCATATATGGTGGAGCCTCCTGGCCCGGATTGATGACGTAGGGCGTGGCCTGTTGTGCGGCATAGGCAGCATTTTGTGCCTGCTGGGCGGCCAAAAACTGTTGCGATGCAGCAGCCATTTGCATTTGTTGTTGTTGCTGTTGTTGCTGCTGTTGCTGTTGCTGCTGCTGTTGTGACTGCTGCAGCGATCCATTGGGAACAGGAGCAGCACCCACAGCGGCCGCAGCACTCGCTGCCGATGTGGCAGCTGCTGCGGCTGCTGCTGCGGCCGCTGCATTTGTGGCAACTGCTGCAAGGCCCGGATTCTGTGAGCGAAACAGTTGCTGTGGGTAGGGGAAGAAAAAGATAATGAAAAGGTTTTCGAGGTTAGTTATCAGGTCATCTGTTTAATTGAAATCTTGTAAAGGTATTTGCTTGAAGTGTAAGTACTAAGAGTTGCTTGGATAGGAGGATGTTCTGTTTACCATTAAGCTGCCTGAGTTGAATTTATAACCTCAAAGAGCTAGGAAAACTCAAAGAACCAATCCACTTCACAAATATTATTTAAGACATGCCTCAAGCTTATGAATTTTATTAAAATTCTTAATTTTACTTCTTAGATTTTAAATAACTTTTCTTAACAACAAATCTTCATATCATTCTCCATAAGCTTAGTAACTAAGATAACATAGCAGAAGACTAAACCGGACTCCTTCTAGCTCACATGAAACTCCGGCTTAATAGGGCGCAACATATTGTGTTAAGCCCTGACTATAAGGGATATCAAGTAACCGCCACGTTGCCATACGTATTTTTCTCATTCGTAATAACTGGGCAGGATCCGCTCATGTTGTTTCTAGCTCATTCACACACACGCACACACACATACATACCAACGAGTGGTAACATGATAAAGTGTTTTCGATTGGAAAATTAAATCAAATCCAATCAAATCAGCATGCAGTATGCAGAAAAGAGAGTAGAATAACAAGAAGCTCGAAAACGGGGAAAACGCATGACTGACTGTTTTGTTACTCGATTTTTCCGGTATTTTCTTTATTTCTCTTCTATTTTATGCCTTGTCTTTGGCGATGTGGATCATCATCACCAGGAGCAACAGCCACTCAGGCATTGCTGAGCAAAAAAAGATAGGAAAATTGTGGAAAATGCATCTATAAATTGGTCTTTTTAGTTCGATTTAAACTACATTTTAGTTAGATTTTTACTACAAACTTTAAAGAACTTTTTAAAAAGCCAAACAACTACCTTTAGTTCTACCTTCAATATGTTCCATTTTCCACACACATTTCCCCTCCACTTTGATGTAGTGAAGAAATTAATGCCTTTTCCCTTCAGAATTCAACGAATTGGGAATATTCCCCGGGAAAGTCAGTTTGCAGACTGACTGTACTTTGGCATAAATTTGCAGTCCCCTTGGACGCACCTGTAGCCATTACCCGAGCATAAGGATATATGCATAACGGTTTCAATGACTTTGCTACGTTCCTCCTCTGTCAAGACTCCTCGCTGGAGTCTCCTGTCAATTGTTTACATGGCGAATTGAAGGGAAAACAAAGCGAATCTGAGAAAACCAACTGGGATAACATTAACATTAAGGAGAGTGCACAAGTCGAGGGGAAAGAGTGGCAACGAAAGAAAAAGAAATCAATGTGAATTATTGATGAATGGTGCAGGGCCAGAATAAAACCAAACGAAAAGGGCAAATAAAACTGAAACGTGGCGGCAGAAAAAGATGGCAAGGCAAAGTAAAATAATAATAACACGCAAAACTTTTTTGGAAAACATTCGGAGAAGAGGAAGAACAGAGGTTTTCCATCCACGCGAAAATGTGGCAATGGCGATGGCGATAAAAAGCAAATATCATGGCCTGCATACTTTTTCGGGCGCGTGATGCGTGAGAATAGCACTCAGAATTCAGGATTCCGGAGAGTCAGAATACAGGATTCAGGGCTGGCAGGAGCCTGCGGTGGTGTTGGTGTGCGGCCCACGAGCATGAAATAATAATCAGAAGCCAAATAAGCGTTGAAATCTGAGCCATCGGTTGCCATGGCCTGCCTGCCACCGTTTTCCCCGAAAAGGACTCCTCATCCCCATCCCCCTCCCGTTACCAACTTTCTTTTTCCCAGTTTTACTTCCCCTTTACGATTATTAAAACGAAATTGAAAACAAAGGGAAAGTGAGTGAAATTGAAGAAGGGACACGAGCAGCTCAAAGAGAGAACTTATGTAATTTCACGCCCGTAAAGTATGCAATGCTTTGATTTAGTTGCCAAGTGATGTAAGTGCTGCCCCTCGAGGCTAGCAACTCTGAAGGGAAAATGGTAGGTTTTACAGCCTTTTACAGTTTTAAAGTCACTTTTAGTTAAAGGGAACTTTTAATGATACAGTCAAGGTTATAAAAATATGATTAAATATATTTAAAAAAATCATTTAAATTGTTAGAAAGAATCCTTTTTCTTTATATAACTTTTTCTTATACAAAAAAATCTTCTCAAACTTCCTTTTCCAAATCCAAGCTCGTTATAAAGCCTTCTTGGATGCGACTTTAATGGCCCTATAAGTTTACATTCCCACTAGCCATTGCAATACCCTGTGATTTATGCAAATGGCCGGGTCAGTGGCAAATTTACGATCCGCACATGACACACTCGAGTTATTGTCCTAAGGCTAACATTACTCAGGGACAAGGGAATTATGGGAATTATGGGGCAAGGATTGGTAGCTCAATTCGGTTCCGGAGCAGCTTGGCAACAAGTGAGTGGAAGGCAAAAAGCGAAATTATGGAAAACATTGGCCACGTTTCCCGGTGTCGTGTGGCAACTTCTTCTCATTCGCATTCTCTGATATTTCACCCCCTCGCGTTTTTAACAATTTTCTTTTCGGTTTTTTTTTTTTTTTTTTTGGTTTGTTAGCCAGGTCTCTGGCATTCCGTACCCTGCGCTCTGACATTTTTATTTCATTTCATTTGCACATTGTAAGGAGGGGAAGAGGGGGGAAGGGGGAGGGAAAAGCGTGCTTAATAAGCTCCCTGGTGTACAATTTTCAGCGCTCGACTCGTAATGGAAATTATAGCTGATGTCATACACAGGGGAAATGCCCTGACTGGGGGTCGCCTTGCCACTGCTCTCACTATCCTGCCCTCTGCACTGAGAGAAAATGATATACTAAAAATTATTTATAAAATTATCATCTTTAAAGTCATCATAAATTAGAAGTTTTTGTTAAATATTTAATAAATCTTTAAGACTTTTAAGAGTTTTCCGTCCAATCTGTTACCTCTTTTTCCACCGTGCACCTGTATTTCTGTTTCTGTTTCACTTCTGTAACGCCCTTCGAGTGAAAGTGAGTCAACTAACTGTGGCAATATGCCCGCCCACCATAGCCCACCACTGGCCCCACCCAACTTGTTGCAAGTGGGTCGCCCCGCCAGTTCAGTTCAGCGGAGTTGAGGGTGGCAGCTTTTAATGTTGCCCTCGGCTTTTGCCTCTGAGTGGATTAGTTAGTTGGGAGTAAGCAGCAGCAGGTGGGGCGCACTCAGCTAGTTGATTTATAATTATGGCCGGGAAACAAAAAAAGGTAGCAGTGGCAGTGGCAACAGCAACAGTAGCAGCAGAATGGCAAACAAAGCGCTCGAGGACCTGGCCAAACTGGCTAACTGCCTACCTTGTCGCGGCGGGGAAAAGCCGGAAAAGTTTCAAGTGGCATATATACACAAAGTTCTGTTCAGCTTGATTTGCTGCAATTCGAGTGTTTTTTCTCCCTCTCCCTCTTTCTCTCTCTCTCTCTGTTTCTGTTTCTATTTTTGTTTTAGTTTTGGTTTCTGTTTCGGTTTTCCTTTTCCTTTTCTGCTCTTTTTTGTGTTTTCCACAATTTGACATAGTTTTTTGTTGTTTGCGAGTGACGGGAATTTTCCTCAAGTGTGGATTTTGTTTGAGGAAAAACTGGGAAATTATTTCGAATTAGTTTTCGCATTTTTGCCCCAGAAGTTTGGCTTCTTTTTCCTTGTGGTTTCTTTTGTGTGGCCAACTTGGAGTTTTATTAAATTAGCCTGAAGAATTTATATTTAAATATTTGACTCGGAAAAGCTATTGGTTTTCCATTTTATTTGCATTGGCAAGTTGGAGTTTAAAGAGTTTCTTCATACACCATCAAATAAGTTATTTTTAATGATAGATTTTCTATTTTATTTTCAAGGACTGCAGCTAGAAGCTTCTCCCAATGGCTACTTGATTTAATTTCCTATTTTTTTCTTTCAATTTCCTGCGCTCAACTTGAACTTCTTGGAGTGGCTCACTTTCCCCAGCTGCTGACTTCGAGATGACTGCCATTACTCACGCTCAATGTCTCCGGTTGGATGGATGATGACTCCAGCTCCTTGTTGGTCCTTTTTGCAGGACACTCCTCATGAGTTGGCAACTACTTGAGCTGAGCGCTGCTGCGCTTTAATTAAATATCAATTACGCAGCCAACCCTCTGGACTAGCTCAAGCTGAAAAGCAATCAATTAAGTGTGCTTCTCGAGGAAGTGCCCATTTCCCAACCCCCCTCCCCCCCAAATTTTCACCCCTCTCCACCACCCCTTTTCATTTCCCTCCATCTGCATAGACGAGCAGAGTGAGTGCAACTCAAATATTTGTAGTCTGTGCTAAGGCGCAATAAAAACAGAACGCAAATTGAATATGAATGATGGAGGAGCACAGTTTAGCTTTGGCTATGGGTACACCCCACCGCCTTCTCGCTAATGAAAGGACAGTCAGTGACAGTTTAGGGTGGGCGGTGGCTAAAAAAGGGGTGGCACCCGTTGTGGGTGTTTGGCTGACCCTTGTGGGTCCTCTTCCACAAACGACTTGTAAACAAAATTAATGCCACAAACAAACATTAGCGCACTTTCGGCGTGTTCTGTTCGCGTTGTGTGTGGCTCATTAGGCAACCACCACCCACTACTGCCCATCCAACAAGAAGTCTGGGGAAAGGGGCGAGGAAAAGTTCTAATAAAGAGAGAAGGGGGAGGGAGGGAGACTGAGGGAGAGAACTTGAATCCAAAAGAGTGGCCAGCTAGCTGACCATTAAACCGAATTACTTAATGACCGCACGCGTGTGCTTTTGATGCCTACTTTTAGGCTCGGGACACACCCACACATACACTCAGAGAATTTTCGGTTTAGAGGCTCTTTATGAAAGAATATAAAAGTCCTAAACTTCAATTTTAGATGTAAGTTTTTTTCATAGGTTAAAAACCCAGAAAAAAAGGTGCGATATTGGGAAAACGCTTAAATATGATTTTTGGATAAAAAAGCCCAAAATCATTGTCAAAAATGGTCGGAA